CTAAATTTAGTTAATTTTAAGAATAGTAACGACTTAGGAGATTAACACATTATTCACATTTTTAATTGAGTTTAATTTTAAAAAATATATATTCAATAATCAAAAACGTTAATTCTTCTTAAATGCAAATTTAAGAAGAACTACATCCCTTCTCGACTTGTAGTCTCCAGTAAGATCATTGGGAAACATGCTGCAATTCTGGCTATGGTGACTGTTCTATTCAAGAACAGTTCTAACTTTAACTTAGATGTATTAGGTATTATACCTATTCCTAGGTATGCTAATACTTTTATTAATGTTTTCGTTGAGGTCTACAATATTCACGACTGAAATTTGAAAATTAGGAAGAGTATCGAGTTAGGAGATTAACACATTATTCACATTTTTAACTGAGTTTAATTTTAAAAAATATATTCAATAATCATAAACGTTAATTCTTCTGAAATGCAAATTTAAGAAGAACTACATCCCTTCTCGACTTGTAGTCTCTAGTAAGATCATTGGGAAAGCAAGCTGCAATTCTTACCATGGTGATTGTTCTATTTCAGAACAGTTCGAACTTTTAACTGAGATGTATTTGAAGTATACCTACTGTCAGGCTAATTCACGACTAAATTTAGTTAATTTTAAGAATAGTAACGACTTAGGAGATTAACACATTATTCACATTTTTAACTGAGTTTAATTTTAAAAAATATATATTCAATAATCAAAAACGTTAATTCTTCTTAAATGCAAATTTAAGAAGAACTACATCCCTTCTCGACTTGTAGTCTCCAGTAAGATCATTGGGAAACATGCTGCAATTCTGGCTATGGTGACTGTTCTATTCAAGAACAGTTCTAACTTTAACTTAGATGTATTAGGTATTATACCTATTCCTAGGTATGCTAATACTTTTATTAATGTTTTCGTTGAGGTCTACAATATTCACGACTGAAATTTGAAAATTAGGAAGAGTATCGAGTTAGGAGATTAACACATTATTCACATTTTTAACTGAGTTTAATTTTAAAAAATGTATTCAATAATCATAAACGTTATTTCTTCTTAAATAAAAATTAAGGAAGAACTTCATCTCTTATCGACTTGTAGTCTTCAGTAGTATTATTGGGAAGCATGCAGCAATTCTGGCTATGGTAATTGTTCTATTCAAGAACAGTTCAAACTCTTAACTTAGATGTATTTGTAGTATACCTACTTGTAGGTATGCTAAATACTTGACAGATTTTATCTTCATTGTATTAATGTTAATAAAATGAAGATAAAATCTTAACATCATATTTTAGCTTTTCAAAATCAAATTGTTGCCCTGCACATTTGTCTTCTAACTATCAAGTTTCGCATGCTTGCGTTATCATTACTAGATATTGCTCGTGCTGCAGCCGTGAATTATGGGAAGTTTGCGCTGTAAAAATGCTTCGTTTTCTTATTCCTTAGGAGTAATTTAAACAGTTCCAGCTGTTTCCTCTATGTATTCGTAGTATATCTACTTGTAGGTATGCTCAGTACATGAAAGACTTTCTTTATTAATTAATTCTTTATTTTATTAATGTAAATAAAATGAAAATAAAATCTGCCAGGCATATTGATGACTAAATTCACTTATTATTAAGAATAGTAACGAGTTAGGAGATTAACACATTATTTACATTTTTAACTGAGTTTAATTTTAAAAAATTTATTCAATAATCATAAACGTTAATTCTTCTTAAATGAAAATTTAAGAAGAACTACATCCCTTCTCGACTTGTAGTCTCTAGTAAGATCATTGGGAAAGCAAGCTGCAATTCTTACCATGGTGATTGTTCTATTTCAGAACAGTTCGAACTTTTAACTTAGATGTATTTGTAGTATACCTACTTGTAGGTATGTTAAGTACATGGAAGACTTTATCTTTATTTTATTAATGTATTCGTTGAGGTCAGCAATATTGACGACGCTACTCATCTTTGTAATGTTTTATACGATTACCTACCTAATTTAAAAATTATTAGGAAGAGTAACGAGTTAGGAGATAACACATTATTCACATTTTTAGTGAGTTCAATTTTAAAAAATTTAATTGATAATTATAAACATTAATTGCAATTTACCTTATCAATTGTAAGATTCGGTTGTTGGTCGAATTTTATAATTCAATTCCGCATAAGCATGCAGTGACAAAGATTAACTTATTGAATAAGAGTTTTATAATAATAGATTTTGCCTTGCTAGAGAAAAAATGACAATCTTAAATTATTCTGATGCACTTTCATTGTTACAGTGTTTAAAGCTTCAAAAAAGTTTGTAAAAATTGCTGTACATATGTTTTATAGCCTGTCATTTATTTTTAAACATTAAAAGAATAAAGTTTTAAAGAAACTGTTGTAAAGAAACGTAACATTTCTTAAATTGTTTGTTTGGCCTTTATGAAAATAAATCCTTTTTAGAAACGTAACATGTTTTTTTAATGTGCTTGCTTTGATCGAGGAAATGTTACGTTTCTGTTTCATAAAAGTAAATATTTTCTCATCGAGTAGGTTGTATTGTATCATCTTCCGAAAATGTATTGTCTTCAAAAAAAATTGTTCTCTACTTTTACGTCTTAATACCACGTTTGTTTTCTCTTCTTTCCTTGATTTCATTTAATTAAATTGATAAATTATCTTGAGACGAGATTGGTGAATAATACAAGATCAGCTTTATTATAAATTTTTTAAATTCAAAAATTATAAAACAAATATTTTTGTTTGTGTAAATATAGGAACATTAGATTTTTTAATTTTAAAGAAAACATGACTCCAAATTTTAAATTTTTTCTGTATCCATGTATTTTAATTACATAATTGATTATAAATTAATATTGCGTATTATTGTAAAAATAACTCAAGATGGAGTGACACTATGTATATTTTAGTCTCTGTAAAAATAACTTTTTGCTATAAATTAAAAATCAATCGAAATTTGTAAAAATCACCAATGATTGAACAGCGTGACAATAATGAAATATGAGTATTTTACACTTTCTTCACTTGTTTGTGACACAAGAATTGTATAATTTCTAATGTCTCCAATTTTCTTCAAGTTGATCAATTTGTAAAAATTATTCGCAAACTACACATCAACATTTAGAGGAATTTTCTGATTTAAATTTTGTACTGAAAGGTACATAAATATTGTGCGGGATCAATTTTTCCATCATTCAGAAAGGAATATGATCCTCATGGATTATAAAACCAATGAATAGTCATCTTTTAATTCATTGGGAGAGAATATTATTAATACATCGATTTTGATGAAAGATGTTCATCTTTAAATAAATTCAGACATCTTTTCTGATAAAACAAACATCTCTATAATATAGACAAAGGTAAGAATTTTTATTTCATCTTCAGTATTATTATTTTGCATGAATTTGTAAGTGTGAAACAGAACATTTTGTTTCCTATGATCGCATTCGAATATTTTGTTGACACTAAGTTGTTAGATGTTCAATATATTGAATATATTTTGATTTCCAGTTTATGAATTCTGAATATCTGAAATTTTGAATAATCTAATTTATACAAAAAAAATGATAGGGTATTTTGAATTAGGTGCCTATTCAATGATCAATGATGTATTTATTAAATGTTCTCGTTTATAATTCCAATAATTGATTTTTGTTGCTCCTCATGAAATCGTATTAATTGTAAATCTTCCACTAATTTGAAATGATCAATCAGAAATCTTGAATTCAGAATGAAATCACAAATGGAGTCTTTTTGGATCATGCCGTTGTAGAATCTATATTTTTAATTTGCAATCCTTCGATATTTAGTTAAACAATAATTTTACAAACTATACAACTTACAAGAAAAGAAAAGATGCTTATTGCCCTTTAAACTTGTTGCTATAATTCACAGGAAACAAAATGGCGGACACAATATGGCGGTAAAATTTGAGAAAATTAGAATTTAATCAAATTTGCTTGAAAATTGTTACTCTGAAGTGTCTGAGATGGCTGATTTCGAAACCAATATCAGTTTTTCAAAATTTAAAATGGCGAATCCAATATGGCGGACTAAATTTTAAAATTCAATCAAATTTGCTCAAAAATTGTTAATCGGGGGTTTTAGGGGTCGCTGATTACGAATCCGATGTCAGTTTTTCAAAATTCAAAATGGAGTAAATTATGAAATTTAATCAATCAATTTTTAAGCTTGATTAAATTTTAATTTTTTCAATTTTCCGACATTTTGCTACCTGTGAATTATGGCAACTAGTTTAAATAGCAATAAGCTTCTTTTATGATGACTTTTAAATATGCCAAGTTTCAGACATTTTTTTCCAAAATAGAAATTGATTTGAAAAAACGAATTTGAATAACAGCAAGAAAATTTTTGAATTTTAAATATTAACTGCATTTGAACAATAATTTAATATTCGATCGGATTTAAAGTAAATCCAACCATGATTTTTTAATTTTTGAATAAAATTTACGATTTTAATTTTTTTTTATGAAGGAAGAAAAATATTAAAATTTTAAGATTAAAAATTAATCTTCAAATTTTAAGCAAATGTTGCATTTTAATAATAAATTAAAATTTTTTAAATATGAAACTGTAACATAATTAAAGTAAATTATCACAAACATAACCTCAAAATGATTTGCTTCTTAGATACTTTTCTTCGAAGCGTGCAACAAGATTAAAGTTGAACTAATATTTGTTTTGCTTGTCTAGATTCTATACCTTAAATTCTAAGCTAGAATTTCCAATTTAAAAAAAAAAAAAAATTTTTCGTAATAAATTAAAATAATTGATTTAAAAATTGTTTGAAATAAAATGTTCTGTTTTATTAAGTGAAAAGAAACAAATTTTCCAAAGTAAAATTGGAAAATGAAGAGTAAAATTTTTTATTTAAATAATATTCTTAAAATTTATGCAAAATAGAAAAATAAGTAGAAAATGATTGCTTAAGAGATATTTTTTCCCGTATATTATTTATTTATCAGTATTTTTTCGATATTTTTTCAGGCGGCTTTGGTGTTGATTTTTCCCACAATATCGACAATGTTGAAGTGGGTATTAATAAAGTGGCGAAAAATTTATTAGAACACGGAGTGACTGCCTTTTGTCCAACAATTGTGACATCATCCAAAGAAACATATCGAAAGGTACTTCCAAAAATTACAAGAACAAATGGCGGAATATCGGGCGCTGCAATTTTGGGTGTTCATGTCGAAGGTCCATTTATAAGTCCTCGTAAAAAGGGAGCGCACGAGGAAATTTTGATTCGACAATTTGATCAGGTTCGTAAAACTGATATGTTAAATATCAATTTTCTATTTTAGAAAAAAATTATTTCAATTTTATATTTTTATTTATATTTTATAAGATAATAAGAAAAAAATATTTTTTATAAGATAACAAGAAAACAATATTTAAAAATAAAACAAAATTTTTTAAGTTAAGAAGAAAAAAATATTTTAAAATTAACCAAAATTTTATAAGATAACAAGAAAAAAATATTTTAAAATAAAGTAAAATTTTATAATATAACAAGAAAAAAATAGACTTTTATTTTTGTTGCAGGACTTTCAGAGTGTTCTTGATATCTATGGCGATTTAAATAACGTATGTTGCGTTACGTTGGCACCGGAAATTCCTAATGCCTTATCAGTGATAAAGGAATTACAACGAAGGAATATCATGATATCTGTTGGTAAGAAAAATTTTATATTTCTAATTTTCATTTATTTCATTTTTTTTTCTTCAAATATTTTTTGTCTTACATTGAAATTATAAAAATTTTAATTACTGGGGAAAAATAAAATAAAGAACAAGTTTTTAAATGTTTGTTTAACAAAAATTATTGAAGTCTTGAATAATTTAATTTAGGAAAATTCTAAAAAAAGGAATTTTTAAAAAAATTATAATTAAATTTATTAAATTTATGTATTGAATTCCCGAAATTTTTATTGTTTCTTGATTTAATTTTAATTTTACATTTGTTCAGGACACTCAATTGCAAATTTAAAAGAGGGCGAGGAAGCTGTTAAACATGGAGCTTCATTTATCACACATCTTTTTAACGCTATGCTTCCGGTGAGTAAATTAATTTTAAATAATAACATTTTTTATCCTTTCTCTGCAACTTTAAATTCATTTTCTCTTAAGTTCGTTTCAAAATTTTTTTATTTGCTGCATAAAAATAAGAAAAAAGTATTTTTCTTCTTCTTTTTAAAAAAACTATATAATAAAGAAGACAATCTTTTTTTTAGTTTCATCACAGAGATCCCGGATTAGTTGGTCTTCTAACGTCAGATCAAATACCATCGGGAAAAATTATTTACTATGGAATAATTGCCGACGGTGTGCACACACATCCGGCTGCTTTGAGAATTGCCCATCGCACGCATCCTCAAGGTAATTAATATTATTTTCAGAATTATTTATTTAAAAAAAAAAATTTTACTCTACTTTTATATTTAAATAATTGAATTATTGTAGTTGAATTCTGATAAGAATTGATTTGAAGAAGAATTTTAGTTAAAACTTTAGAAAATAATTAGAAGTGTTATAAAGTAGAATTCTTTAGAAGTAATTAAATTTTAAAAAGCTTTTAAATTGAAAACTTTGAGATTCTAATTGCTGTAAAAGTATAATAATATTTAAAATTTAAATATAAAAAATTATTAATTTATAGCTGCCTTCAAAATTAAAAGTTTTGAATAATATTCAAAAATTCTAAAAAATGATTGAATTTTGGGACTTGCAGTTCAAATTTTCATAAACAATTTTTCGAATGGTTTTAAATTGAAAGTATTTCGAAATTTTAAGGAAAGAAAGAAAAATAAGTATTCAAATATTTGTTTTACAAAAATGATTGAAATTTGAAAAATTTAATTTGGAAATTCTGAAAAAATTAGGTTCTTTAATAGTAATTAAAATATTTTTGAAGATATATACTTGAATTCCCGAAAATAATTTTAATAAAATTGAAACAAATGGAAATTTTGTAAAATTTTATTAAATTAAATTCTATATTTTAAAGAATTTTATTTTTTCATCTTTAGAAAATTATTTATTTAAATATAATTGTATTTATAAAAATACATTATTTTTGGTGAATTTACAAAAATTATTCTATTTAAATAATTCGATTCTCGTATAGTTGAATTCTGATAGGAATTGATTTAAAAAATATTTCAATTAAAATTTTTAAAAATAATTAAATATTTAACGTGTGTTATAACAGGAATTTTAGGAATGAATTAAATTTTAAAAGATTTTTAAATTAAATTCTTTGAAAATTTAAGGGAAATAAAAGCTTAAAAATATTAAAATTTTTATTTTAAGGAGGTTCTCTCTCTACGTGGTTAGTCAAAGCAATGTCCATTTAAATTTTCATTTGAATCACGTAGTACAAGCGCAACGCTTGACAACGTTGGATTTATGCTTCCTCTTTTCCGTTTCGTGTCGTCTGCAATTGTTTGTTTTGTAAATACATACGGTAATGTGATATCATGTCGGAAAATTTAGAAAATAGTGCTGAAAAAAGTGTAAAAAATTATTATTGGAAGGGTAAAAAAGTTACCAAAAAAGTGTACGAAAATCGTTGTCGAATGCAAAATGTGGGTAAAAATCTTCGGAGTGTTTATGGCATTAAAAATGTTGAACCTAACCTCAAAAATGATTCAAACTGTGAATTTGTAAAGTGCGAGTCTGCTGAAGGCAGACGAATCGTGCATTTAAAAACGTTGGCAGAACAACTTAATTGTAAAAATTGTAAATCTGTTTTATCATTAACAGACATTGTAAATGAAAAAAGATTTGGTTTGGCATCTGTTTTCAATGTTAAATGTAACACGTGCTTACTTTCCACACAAGTTTCAACGGACAAACAGCACATTGTATCCGGTCCAAATATGCATAAACATTTTGATGTAAACACAAAAGTTGTTGTTGGTGAGTATAAACAATTATAATATCATTTTTTGTAACAAAATGAATGAAGTAAAATATAAGCATCTATTTCTAGGTACACTGAATGGAGGAATGGGTAATACTCACTTAAATAAAATTCTGTCGTCTTTAAACATTCCAGAATTCAGGTGGAATAATTTTAAAGTACACGAAAAAGAAGTAGGTATCGAGGCTGAAAAAATGGCACATGCTAGTTGTTTGAAAGCAGCTAAGGAAGAAAGAAAGCTTACTATAGAAAAGTATGAAGAAGTGAAACGATTGTTGTAAGTGTTTTTTTACATTGTTCGATACGTGCATTTTGCGATCATATATTGTTTATTATTGCATTTCATATAATTATAATTTTAATTGAACACTTTTTGATTAAGAATATCTTTTCCATTTATTTTTAAAATATTATATGAGATCTTTTTCAATTGCTTATTTTTTATAATGATTTACAAATTTTTATTTTACAACGATACAATTTATTTTTTAATCAATTTATTGAATCATAATATATAAAATCAATTTAAAAATCTATTAACAAAGTTTTTACACATAAATTATTTTTCATGTTGTGGAAAAAATAATTTTTTTTACATTTTATGCATATATATATTAAAGGATATTGATATGTACAGTGTTTATAATTCTGTTATATCTATTTTAATTGACTTTGAATAAGATTTTTCTTTCATTATCTTATAAAGCTTATTTATTCTCTTATTAATTTATGAAATCAATTATAAACTATCCAAATGCTTTATTGAGCACATGAAATTTGTAATGTAAAGAGATCTTGAATCTTTTCCAATAAATTGATAAAATATGTATATTAATTGTAAAAAATAGAAGAATAAACAATTGTTTTTTACTAAACAAAGAGATTGAAACCTATTTATTACGAGTCCTTAATTAGATATTTTATTTTATTTCAGGCCTTCAAATTTAAACGTCGAGTTTATGTTTCCGGACATTCCGAATATTCCGAATTTAATAGTAGAGAATTTTAAAATTTCGGCAGAAAATAAAGTACGCATTGCTGCATCTTTTGATATGGGTTGGTTTACTAGGGGAACAGGTAGAACGTACGACAGCATTTCGGGCACTGGGTCACTTATAGGGTTTTTTTCTAAAAAAGTTCTTTCTTACGCAACATTCAATCGAAAATGTAGGATGTGTGAAAATGGACATGCGAAAGACGATCATGATTGTCGATTGAATTTTGAGGGAAGCGCGAAGGCAATGGAACCTCAGGCAGCTGTAGAGATTATTGCAAATAATTCAATTTTAAAAGAATGCAATTTAGAGGTGGGAGTAATGATTGGCGACAATGATAGCAGTGCAATCTGTGCAGCACGAAACGCAAGTGCTCATGATATTGTAAAGCAAAGTGACATAAATCATACCAGTAAAGGTTTGACTAATGAACTTTTTAAAATTCAAAGTCGACATAAAGAGCTAAATGCAACAAGTATAAAATATTTACAAAAGTGTTTTAATTACAGCATTGCTCAGAATAAAGGAAACTGTGACAAATTGTCACAAGCTATTCAGAACATACCATATCATTGTTTCAATATTCATGATAATTGTGGAACGTGGTGCACATTCTCAGAAAATCCTGAAACTTATAAGCACGCAAATATTGATGACGGTTTCCAAGATGAAAAACTTTTTGAGGATTTAAAGTGCCTTTTTAATATTATGGCCAAAAATGCTAATCGATTTGCTGCCGGGGTTTCAAGTAATCCTAATGAAAGCTTAAATGCCACGATTGTTAGTAAAGCACCGAAAAGTCGGGTTTATGGAATGTCAACATCAAGCGATGTTAGAGTTGCTTGTTCAATTAATAAAAAAAACGAGGGTGAGAAATATGTTCCTGATTTATTAAATAAATTAAATGTATCTCCCGGACAGCACACTAAGAAATATACCGACAACGTAGATGAAAAAAATAAAAAGAGATATTTAAAATCTCAAACTCGTCCGTTTAAAAAACGAAGGTTATTTCTAAAAAAACAAAAAACTGAATTAAGAAATAAAAAAGAACTTTCCGAAGGAACAAATTATTCACCCAACATTGGACTTCTTACCGCTTTAGACGAAACAATTCCTCTTTTCAATGGCAAAAACAATTTTAAACCTATTGTAATATTTTTTGACCTGGAAACAGGAAGTCTGAAAAAAGATACTGACATTTTGCAAATCGCTGCAAAATATAAAGACTATCAATTTTCAGTATATATTAGTCCAAGTCAAAAGATTTCGGAAGAAGCAAGTCTTGTTAATGGGTTGCGATACATTAACGGTCAATTGCTTCTCCACGGAAAACCAGTGGAATCGGTTTCATTAATGGAAGCAATACTTGCATTTTACGAGTTTCTCTACTTTTTTGGAAAAAAATGCATACTTGCAGCTCACAATTGCAAATTTGACTACCCGCGTTTAATGTTGGCGATTGCGAAGGTTTTTATGTCAAAACATTTTGGATCAATAGTTGCAGGATTTTCTGATTCATTGCCCTTAATCGCGAGGTCTACGGGTAAAAAGGGGAAAGGGCAAAATAAATTGGAGAATCTCGCAAAAGATTTTGACATAAATACAGACGAGGCTCATAATGCAATATGTGATGTCCAAATGCTAGAACAAGTTTTAATAAAATTAAAAATTTCTGACAAACAGATCGTCGAAGCCAGTGTAACTTGGGATGCAATTGAAAAAAAAACAACAACTGGAAAGAAATCAGTAATTGGAAACAGAGCAGCAATTAGAAAAAAAGCAAAAGTGTCAAAAGGTTCAACGTTTCTAAACCAGCTAGATCTCTTGAATGAATGTACTACATATGCTACGAGGAAGAAGATAGCAGCTGCAAATATCACGTACGAAAATATTGTTGATGCTTATAAAGAAAATAAATTTATGGGTCTGCTAGACATTTTAGGCGTCGATGAAAATGGAAACGTGAAAGTCACCAAACAGCGAAGAGTGATCAATAAAATTGTTGAGTTTTTAGAAAAAAACTCCAAATAATCATGCCAAATTATGTAACTTAATCAAAGCGAAATATTTAAGTGCATATTATTTTTACTATTTATTATTTTTATTATTTATACTGTCAAAGAATAGATAATGTATTATATTTATTTATTATTTACAATGTGTTGCTAAGAAAAACAAAAAAATACCTACATATTGTATTTAATTGTTAAAGCATAAGAAAACAACGAATTTCGAGTTCTTCTTAACATGTTATAAGTCTGTTGTTAAAGTTACCAGCAGCAAAAAATTACTCACTACGAATTGTTGACTTCGTAAAAAAATTTCTTACCAAATTTTAGTTGTAAATTATCTAATACAAAATATTGAAATTTATTTCATTATATGGTTTATTGTATGTATTATTTAGAAAAAAATATTTATTGCGTTTTTATAAAATAGTAAAATGTGATACTACAAATAAATAATAACTATATGATTTCAACAAAAATATTTCACGTTTTGTTCACCCAACCAAAATTTATATATTATTTATTTATTAAATTTAAAAAAATTTAATTTAACTTTCAATTTTAATTAATTGAAATTATTAATTATTCTTTTCATTTTACAAAAATTTCAATGTTTTATAAATTTTTTGAAAAGTGTATGAAAATTAAAAATAATTAAATTAATTTTATGCATATTATTTTTCAAAATTTTTAATAAAGAATTTATTATTAAATAAATATTTATTAATTATTATTCATTATTACGAATTAATATTAAAATTAACTATATTACTTTCAAATTTCGCGCTTTTTCTGTACCTAACCTACAAGATGCACCGTTGCCAAGCGTTGTACTGAGTAAGTTCTGATTGTCAAAATATGGTGTTTTTTTAAACAAAATAATTAATTTTGAGTGTTCTAGGTAAGGTCTGATCAATTTTATTTTAATTAATTATATATTAGTTATTTAACTATAGGTATAAAAAGTTTGACTAATATCTGTTTGTCAGGTTTATCATAATTTGAGATTGAAAACCAAGAAAATTCAATTCCCCATAAGACTCAGTGTTAAATGTAAAGAAAGAAAATTATTTATATCTTTTGTCACAATCAACCTAGACCTGTAAAAATTTAACTACATCTTCCTTAAACCATTATCTATTAGTATATCAAATTTCATAAAAAACTGTTTGTTATTTCTGTTTGCGAGAGAACCTCCTTAAAAAATTATTAGTTACATTATTTCCCTTTAAAAATTTTTAAAGTTTTGAATAATTTTATTCTAGACTTCTAAAACAAAAAATTGTTGAATTTTGGAAGAATTACAGTTACAATTTTTAGAAATAATTAAATTTTAAAAGATTTTTCATTGAAATTGTTTGAAATTTTAACTTTTGTGAAAAGGTAAACAAGAAAAAGTTTTTAAATTTTTGTTTAACAAAAAGTATTGAAGTTTTGAATAATTTAATTTAGAAATTCCGAAAAAATTTGTTTCTTGAAAAAATGTAATTAAAATTTTTTAAAAATAATTCTATTTCTGAAACTAATTTTAAAAAATTGAAACAATTGAAAATATTGTCATATTTTATTCAAATAAATTTTATATTTTAAATGAATTTTATTTGTTTACTTGTTTTAAATCTTATTTTGAAATATAATCGTATTTTTTTAAGAATTTTAATTAAAAAATTGGAGAACAATTGAATTTTAAAAAAATTAGAATTTTCACGACTTTCACAGATAATAAAATTTTTCATATGAATTTAATTATTTTTAAAAATTTTAATAACATTCTTCGCAAGAATTGAATTACTTTCATAAATTGTAAAATATTCATAGCAATTTAATTATTTAAAATACAATATTCATAAAAATTTTTTTATTTGAAAAAATTAAAAAAAATATTCTTGTCAAGAATTCAATTATTTTAATAATAATAAAACTCATTGTAGGGTTTCAATTATTTTAAATACAATTTGTAATGAATTTTATGAAATAATTTATTTTTTTCCAAAATATTAATAAAATTCTATATGAGATTCAATTACTTACAATTTTTTTTTTTTATAAAATTTCTTCTTAAAAAATCAATTATTTATTTGATTCCGCCATTTTGAATTTTTGGAAAATATTAATAAAATTCTATGCGAGAGTTCAATTACTTGCAATTTTTTTTTATAAAATTCTTCTTGAAAATTCAATTATTTATTTATTTCCGCCATTTTGAATTTTGGAAAACCGAATTTTTTCGTTACGATAAAAAATTTTGTGCTTCTGAGGGTTAATAGAAATTTTTATTTTTATTTTTCAGGATTGGTGCTAGTTACTGATGCGATTTCAGCTTTGGGCTTGAAAGATGGAATCCATAAATTGGGCCAATTGGAAATTGAAGTCAGACATAGTAGAGCATATATCGCAGGGACCGATACTCTTTGCGGTAGCATTGCCAACATGTCAGAATGTGTTCAATTTTTCAAAGAAGCCTCAGGTAACTTTATTTTTTATTTCTATTGTTCATAATATTTTATACTTTATATTTATTTTTCGTTATTTTATTTTTATCTATTAAATTACATTTTAACGTTTATTAATTATACTACAATATTTCAATAAATTTCTTTATTTTATTTTATCGTCAAGTGCTAAAAAAAATTAAGTCCAACTAATTTTTACTTCTACTTCAAAAATTTTATTAGCGTTTCTTTTATTACAGGATGTACAATTATGGAGGCTTTACAGGCAGCAACTCTACATCCTGCGAGATCTTTGAAAATTGATTCACAAAAGGGAGTTCTTAATTTTGGTGCCGACGCCGATCTTATAATGCTCAATGATAAATTGGAAGTTCTCTCAACGTGGATCGCTGGTGAATGCGTTTTTGAACGTAAATCCCAAAATACTCACACAATGATGAAAAACTGAAAATTCCATTTATAAAAAAAGTAATTTTGTCACAAATACTAAACAAATTGGATATTTCGAAAAAAATATTTTTTTAGAAAAACTACTTTGTATTTTAAAAGTATATTTTTAATGTATCAACTTTTATAAGCATTCCAGACTGATAACATACTTTGATGTACTTGTATATTATCTATAAAAAATGTTTTGTAAAATTTTTGTAAATCAAAATTTCATTATTTTTTTAAAAATGTTTTGTTTACTTCGAAAAGCAAAAGAATTTTTAATTAATGTTTATAAATATTTCCTAAAAATTCTTTTCTATTGACTGAAATTAAATTAAATGCGAAATTAAATAAAAATTGTAAATTCGTTTGCGTAAAATGTATCACTAAATTTAAGGTTTAGTTTTATTTACTAACAATAAGTGTTGTGTTGAAGAATAATCGAAAGCAATATTTTACCTTATTTAAATAATTTTTGTACTATTATTGTTATTATTAAACCATACCGGTTGAACTATTTTCACGAAGGTAAAATATTGTTTTGCTTTAGTTTTGAAAGTAAAAATAAGAACAAAATTCAAAAAAACAAAATCGTAATAAAAAATGTTAGTTGATTTAATTTTTTTTCGTTTAATGAGAGAAGTTCAATTAATTCAACAACATAACGTTTATTGTTTGTAACCATTTTCTACATGTCTTTTCGTAAGAAAAGTCAAGTTTTGTACTTGACTTTTCTTTAAAAATTAAAAAAAATTTATTCTTTTATTGAAATACGGTAGGAATATCATTATCTCAGTTAGGATATCAATATATAATTTCGAGTGAAATACTCTTTTGCATTAAACATTTTTATTTTTGTCTAATACTCACAACTGAAATGATGATATTCTTACCGTATAGGTACTAATTCTCTTCTCTGTAATCTGTTTACAAATATAAATTTTATATTATCGGTTGTACCAATATACTTTGGTTTATATAAATTGTAAAAGAAAATTGTTAATTATTTTATTTTCAATAAAGAAAATATTTTAAAAAAAAGATTAATAACATTATTTTTAATTATTTCCTGGTCACGTGAACTTATACCTGGTTTATTAAAAAAAAATAATTTGTTGTCATTGTTTTAAATAAAATTATGGGTCCTTTATTCTCACATTGGGTATATTTGGATAAATATGAAATAAATATATAAATAAATATAAAATCTTTTTTTACAATATTTATTCAAAGTAAATTTAGTTCGAACGATACATTAATCATTATATATATTATTACCAAGTACGTTCTTATTTCTTAATTAATATAGGAATCAAAAACAATGTTCATATAATATTCGTTAATACATGATTTTTTCATAACAATCTTTTTATTTATTTATTCATGACCCATATACGCGTAACAATTTTAAGACTAAGATTTACATAAATATAAACTAAAACAAAGCCAAAAGTGAAATGTTAATTATTAAAGTAAATAACTGAAATCAAGTTACAAGATAAATGAAAATAAATTTGTAATGAAATAAAAATTTTATCTTTATTGTTTCTGCTGAAATTTCGCGTGTAGCTTACTAATTGCGACATATGTGGATTTAGACCTTCATTAAACTAGTTATAAGTATTTTGAGCACAAAAATTGTTCAGAACAATTTTTATATCTTGAAACAGAAAAAAGCTAAAAAAATCAAATAATTTTGCAAAAAAAATTTTTAATGCGAATATTTAGAAAAATAAAAAAAGTTGTATTGTTATTTGATATATTTCATTAGGACCTTAATCATTCTTTATATGAGAAAAATCTGAAACATCATGTGTCGTTTTCATATGAAACGTCCCATTATTTTAAAAATAATTCGTTCATGCGCATGCGTCTTCAAAGAATCTTGCCACAAGATTGCTGTATAAATTTACATACTACCTGGGAGTAACTAAGGAATATATTTAAATTACTGTCTAAACTAATTCTACTACTAACTTTCAAGATTTATGGAATTATGTTAAACATCATATATAAGTAAACATTTCTTAATATATAGGAATATAATTTGAATAATAGTAAATGAATTTATGTAAATTCTCGGAAAAGAAATTGTTTAGAACAACCCCAATCCAACAGAACAGAAACAGAGCAAAAGACAACTTTGCAGAAATATTCTAGTGAAATTTGAAATATGTTCCGAAAGAATTTAGAAAAAATCTAGAATCAAATAGTGAAACGATTGCCTAGATTTGATTATCATCTGTCTGCATATTGAGTTAATCTTCTTCTTCTTATTTGTCAACACGTCTAATTATTCCGATTCTATGGACTTATTGTTACTCTTTAATCATCTTGCGAATCATAATATTCAACCCTTCTCATCCTTTTAAGCTCTGGTTTCTTCTAAATCCCTCACATGGAAAAATGCATCTAACAAATCTTTTGGCTTTTTTGCCCAAATCAATTCTCCCCAATGGCACGGTAGCGCCCTAATAAATGATTTAATTGCCACATGCTGCACATATGACATTAATCCATTCTCCATATCACAATTATTTTGGTATTTCCAAGCAGCTCGTGTTTTACTAACAAGAATTTCCAACCTGTTATAAAATTCGTCTAATGGTGTTTCGTTCCTGTAAATCCGTATGTTACGAATTTCATCTATATAATCCTCAAATGGCCTTTTTGGCGCAAATCGACGTTTTAAAAGATCAGTTAGATCTTCTACATTTTTAAAATTTTTGATCTTCGTGCATTTCCTTGGATTACCTCTTAATTTATTCAAGATCATTCTTACTATCTGCCGTTCATCGCAAACGGACCTAAGGACAAAAGGTCTACTTATAGCAGAATCTATGTCATCAATAAAGTCAAACACCGACGAAGTACCATCAAAAATTGGTATTAAATTATATGCCAATTGAATTGCGTAAAAATTTGTTATCATGTGACAAAGTGTTATTAACTTATTTTCAGAGTTTTTGGGAACTTCTTTATGCGGGAGCGCATTAGATTGGATTAAGCCAGTTTCTACGTTAATCTCTTCTGTCGAAGTTATTGGATTGGTATTCTCTTGTTCGTTACTCATTTTCTTAAAAGGTAAAAGAAAAATACTGATTTAAAATAAATGTAAGTATAAAATAACAAGTTTCTTACGAAGGTATTACTGACGATCTATTAATGGTACTTTTTCCAAATTTCTACTTTTTACACTTTACCAAATCCACTTGCTTGTCCGATTAAAGAGAAAGAATATCTGAAAAATATGTTAGAAAATTTTGTGTATTTAATACCAAATATTCCGAGTATTGTCAGTTTTTTTTAAAATTTATTTGTAATTTTAATCAAAAAGATAAGAAATGCAATATGTTTTTATTTTCTGTGTAAGAACATTTTTTAGAGAAATTTTTACTTAACTCACCGACTATTATAATTCCAACCAAGAAAATTAGTTTTAGTCCATAGTAGCTTCAGAATAATTGGCGTAAAATATTTTCTTCGCAGTTCGCTTCTTTTCCTTAAAATCGCCTTCTTCCTCCTTGGACCTTGTTTTCTTTTTTTGTTATTTTCTGATTTTGTTTTGATACAGAACTGAAATATAAGAATCAACATTAAAACAAAAAAATTATGGTCTAGGGGAGAGAGAGAGAACCATCAGGTTTTTAAAATTCTACAAAAAAATATTAAATATTCTATTCTTTTTGACTCTGTATGTTTCTAGGTAGTCAATTCAAAAAAATAGAATTAGGCTACAAAAAGACATTTCAAGCTTTCATTTATTTAATATTTTTTGAAGAAAAAATTTTACGGAATTCGAGTAAAAAAAATATTTAAAATTTATTGTTTAAATAAATTAATTTTAAAAATTATTTAATTTCTAATAAAATATTATTAAAATTCAATAGATTCCCTACAATTTTCATATTAAATATTTTTTTGTAACTACTATCATAGATTACGAAATAAAAATGGTTGAAAAAAGTGACTTAAAAGTTTAAATAACAATATGTTGCAAAATGCATGGAACGCCCCAATAACGGTCAACTAAGCAGACAGAGGGTTAACATTTGTATTAATATATATGATTATTATAAAAATAATTCTTGACCGTGCGTTTCCGAAATTCAGTTCACATCACATTTTCAACACTTAATATTTTATCCGAAATTGACAAAACCACTAAAAAAAGGGTATTTTTTAACACTAATTGCATGCATTTTTACAGTTTACTACTCTATATTGCCTTGAAAAGTGTAATTCTCTTTATTTTCTTTTCTTGAATTCCACTCGAAGTATGGCAATAGAATTTTTGAAGTCGGACAGCGGCCATATTTAAAAAAAAGTCCATTTATCGAATTCAATAAATTAAATGACCGCACTCAATTCTAAATAAGACGCTAACACTGAATTATTTTCTTAATAAAGCAGGTTTATTTTCTTATTTATATACTTGGTTGGGAATATAAGAATTAGTCTTTAAAACATAAAAATTCGACTTATTTACGGAATTTAACATTTTTAATTATATCTTTAATAGTTATAAAAACACAAGGAATGGAAACTTACGCTTGGGATAGAGATGTTCTTATTTGCAAATTTATCCGTACTCCTTAGATTACCTTCCTGTTAATTTTGTTCTTGTATATTGAATTTTTGGTTTTCTCTTCTCTAAATTCAAGTTTTTTAAGCACTTTACACTTCACGATGGTCGGAAACACCGAAAAATTCTAAGTCACTTTCAGTTTTATTCTTTTAAATAATCCTCCAGAATGATTTTATATGAGAATACCTAATTATAAACTTTTTTTATTTTTGAAATTCAAAAAGTAAAAATTTTCAACTCAATGGCAGGATTCAATATCAAATTAGTAAGAATCAATCACTATATAGCGTTCTGTTGGAAGCAAATCGTTATATATCATTTGCTGCACGGATTTTATTGATAATCAGTACTAATTAACTCTGTGGCAAGTAATCGACTGCAATATAGTGTAGATCACATCCTGCGCATTAGTGCAAATGTCATAAAAATGGGAGTTTCCTTTGCATAGCAGTTGCATAGCAACCCTTTTGCAATGTTGCACTTTTCGTGAATGCATGCAACGTGATTTGAAAACTTCTATCACAAAGTTTCTGTTTTAATAATTCTTAATATTTTCATTTATATACACTTTCGAATCATTTGCGCCGAAAAGAAATGCTTTTAATATTTAAAATAAGCGCGCGGCTAACTTCTTACTTACTGTTTTTAAAAATAAAATTAGCAATTTTAAAAATAATAGAATTTAAAAATATTTAATTCAAATTTTTTTCCATAAAAATAATATATGAATTGGAATATAGTTCTAATACTATTATAACTATAATAATAATATATTCTAAGACAATGAATTCAGGAAAAAGTCAGAGATTTTTGTTAAAAATACTGGAAAAAATTAATAATGTTTAGAATTTATAAGAAAGCTCTGAATTTTTTTGTCTTTTTGTTTGCCTCATAAACTGTGGAATTCGTATATACGAATTCCAAAAAAAAACCTTCAATTTTTTCTATTTCTGACAATAATTTCTTTTTAAAATTGAGCAACTATCATTTCTTAAAAAATAAAATAAAAATTTTAAGAAAATTAAAAAGCTTAAACTTAAATATTTCAAAATTAATTGAATTTTAAAAGAGTTGCGTTTACAAATTATTCATAAACAGATTAACTTCACATGGTTTACTTTGATTGTATAAAATTTCAATTTTCAATGAATTTAATTATAAATAGCTAAAATAAGTTCAGCTTTTGATTTTAATGTCAATACATAGTTAATAATAATGTCTATTAACTATTCTAATGTTCTTATAAAATAACAAAGTTTTGCCTTCTGAATAAATCGAAATTTCTATAACAATCGTGATTCAAAAATATAAGTTCTCCAAGCTTTTCACTCTTTTTTTTAAAAAAATGCTTAAAATTTTCTTGAAAAATATGTGATGAATCCAGATTTAAAAAATATAAATTTTTTTCTTTTTTTCCAAAAGGAACTTGAAAGTAATCATAAAAGTGGTAGTTTCCTTTGCATACGTGAGCAGTTGCTTAGCAACCCTTTTGAAATGTTGCACTTTTCGTGAATAACTATTTTTGAGCGATTTCAAAGAGTTTTAAAAGTTGTCCACCATTTATAATTTTTAAACTCTAATCAAAATCTAACTTCAGATTTGTATTAAGCGATCCCAGAAAGGTTTAAAAAAATTGTCATTTAATTTTTTTCCTTGGAATTTGCAATTTTTATTAATAATATTATTTGTCGGTTCTTGTGAGACTGACTGCTGACTACAGAGATCCTCTTCTACAGGTATTTTTCAAGTGACAAATAAATAACATCAAGTTTTTATAATCAGAATTTATAAATAAAAAATTTTATTTTGAGAAAAATGGGTACATGTTGTTATGATAAATAATTTGAATATATTGTATAGAAGTAAAAAAAAACTGTTAAACAAACTAAAGTCTGTAATAAAATGATATTGACAATGCAGGCGAGAATTTTTTGCTGACATATGAAGCATATTTTAAAGAGCAAAGTTTATAACAGGACTTTTTTAGATTCAGTTCAAAAATGAAAGAATATAATATCAAATATTTTGTCATTAAAATTTCGATCTTATACATAACACAAACAGTCTTTAATATAATTTCAACAGAATATAATTTAAATAATAGTAAATGAATTCATGTTAATTCTTAGAAAAGAAATTGTTTAGCTAACAATCTCAATCCAACAGAACAGAAACAGACCAAGAGACAACTTTGCAGAAATATTCTAGTGAATTTTGAAATATGTTCCGAAAGAATTTAGAAAAAATCTAGAATCAATGTGAAACGTTTGCCTCGATTTGATTATCATTTGTCTGCATATCGAGTTAATCTTCTTCTTCTTCTTTGTCAATACGTCTAATTATTCCAATCCTATATATGATTATGGACTTGTTACTCTATAATTATCTTGCGAATCATAATATTGAACCCTTCCCCTATGTTCTCTGGTTTCTTCTAAATGCCTTACATACGAAAATGCATCTAACAAATCTTTTGGCTTTTTTGCAAATACTAATTCTCCCCAATTGTACGGTAGAGCCCTAATAAATGATTTAATTGCCACATGCTGCACATATGACATTAATCCTTTTTCAATATCACTATTATTTTGATATTTCCAAGCAGCTCGCGTTTTACTAATAAAAATTTCCAATCTGTCATGAAATTCATTTAGTGTTTCGTTCGAGTTTATTCGTAAGTTATAAATTTCATCTATATAATAATTAACTGATTTTTTAGGAGCACATCGATGCTTTAAATAATCGGTTAAATCGTTAATGCTCTTAAATTGTTTGCGATAGGCGAATTCCTTCAGTTCATCACTTAATTTTTTAATGATAATTGCTATTATCAACCGTTCATCGCAAAAGGACTTGATACTCTCCGTAACAGTGTTTATGTCATCAATAAAGCAAAACACCGATGATGTGCCATCAAATGTTGGTATTAAACTATCGGCAAATTGAATTGCACAAAATTGTGTCATCTGTTGACAAATTTTCGTTGACTCATTCCCAGAGTTTTCAGCAATCTCTTTAGCCGGGCGTACATTAGATCGGATGTCCAGGCTAGTTTCTGTGTTATTTTTTTCAATCGAAGTTATTGAATTGGTATTCTCTTGCTCGTTACTCATTTTTTTAAAAGGTAAAAGAAAAATACCGATATGAAATATAAATGTTAAATAACTACAGTTCCACACAATGGTATTACTGCGACGATCTATTAATGGTACTTTTTCCAAATTTCTGCTTTTTACACTTTTCCAAATCCACTTATTTCTCCAATTAAAGAGAAAGAGTTTCTGAAAAATATGTTAAAAAATTTTATGTACTCAATAAATCGTTTAAATAATAAAACATTAATACAAACTTTATAAAAATTAATTATTTAAGCAAATTAGAGCAATAAAAAATAAGATTAAAAATGTAAATTATCGCTCGTTTGAGTCAATTTCAATAATAACGTGTATTTAGAGGTTATGTTGCGCGCCATAACTACAGCACTTGCATTTAATAGAAATGTAACAATTATGGCGGGGAGCAATTTTTTTTCTTAAATAATTAAATTAATAATAGTTTAAATATATTCCTTTACGTGCAATCATATCGAGTGAGGTCGAAAATAATGTTTTCAAACATTTTCAAATAACTATATTATTCCATAGTAAATAATTAAGTTTTTCACAAAGTCGTCATAATTGGTATACACTTATCCTACCATAAGTTTTTTAAAAAATTTATTTATAATTTTAATGAAAAAGATAAAAAAATGCAATATGTTTTTATTTTCTGTATAAAAACATTTTTTAGAAAAATTTTTACTTAACCCACCGAATAATATAATTTCAACCAACAAAATTAGTTTTCATCCAGGAGCTTCGGTACAATTGGCGTATAATATTTTCTTCGCAGTTCGCTTCTTTTCCTTTAAGTTGCCTTCTTCCTCCTTGTTCTCTTTTTTTATTTTCTGATTTTGTTTTGATGCAGAACTGAAATATAAGGCCGCAGTCCCATGGCAGCGTTTTGCGTTGCGTTGTAATGAGAGAGAATGCAGCAAACGTATATTTGCGTCTTTTTCTCTCCCATTACGACGCAACGCAAAACGCTGCCATGGGACTCCAGCCTAAGAATCAATATTAAAACAAAAAAATTATTATTTTGGGGAGAGTCGGCGCTCCCCAGTAAGAAACGAGGAATAGAGAATATCGAGAATATATATAGGTAAAAATGATTCGTACGAATTTCGTTCAGAAATCCGACCAAATTCCTACAGAAATTCTATTGAATTCGTATAAAATTACTAGTTTAAATTTGTGTGGCATTTTGAAACATTTTTTCACATGAATATTCCTGCGAAAAACCACCCGACTTTTTAATATGGATTTTCAAAAAAAAAAATTCGATCGGAAAATCGTATATAGAAATTCTTATGACAATTTGTTAATAATTTAAAAATTTTCAGCTGATATTTCATGTTGAATTCCATTTGAATTTCCAAGCAGAAATTTTTTAAAAATTTTCCAAATGAAATCCGTTAGTAATTCGCTCGAATTTCGGACGAATTTCGTATGGAAATTTGGCAGAAAATTTTTGAAAGAAATTTTTAGCTGACATTTCATGCAGAATTCCATACGAATTTACGAGCAAATTTAAAAAAAAATTTCCATAAATAATTCGTTAATAATTTGGTAGTATTTCGTACGGAATTTGTGCGGAAAATTGTCCGAAAATTTCTTAAAGAAATTGTCAAAAATATTTCCGTGATAATTTCCATACGGGCATATCTCTGGAACCTTTAACTTTCATGTCCCTCGCATATATTTCGATAATTTCAATAACTTTTTACTTTATTTTTGTTGGAAATATTAAAGCTTGATAAGATGAATCAGTTCCAAAAGGTTTTACATTAATTTATTAAATATATCAATAATTATTCCAATCTGAGTGCCCGATTTTTTACAATATCTACTTGTCCCTAACCATACTCTCGGATGGGTTAAACGATAAAACTTTGTAATGAATAAGAGTTACTAATTCTAAGACGCATCTTTTTAAAGTTAATTAAACAGTGAACACTTTTCCGTATGAAAATTAAAAATTTGTTAATTTTGAAAAAAGTTATAAGCTTTCAAACGTTGTCCCTCACTTTTAACCTTTTTGATCGTAATCGAGATATTTATCATTTTTCATTAATAAGACAAATGGCACATCAAAATGACTTACGGGAAATAAAAGTTCAAATTATTAGAATTATTTTGAGACATAGTAAATTGATGTGCCTCGTGTCTTCAAAAAACTGTTGTAATTTAAATAACAGAAAACACGCGCGTACAAAATTTGAAAACGACCGTAATTCGAGTGATACTCCACGAAAATCAAATAAAAGTATTTTAAAAGTACTTGTAAATATTTTCGCATGTGCCATTTAACATCCCGTGAATGTGCTTCAAGAAAAAATACTTTATTGCAAAGATAATGTAAAAATATTTGTCAATTACGGTCGACCGTAATCAACCAAAAGTTTTTAGAAAAGAAATTGTTAAGTATGAAGTTGTCGATTCTCACTTTTTTATAGAAACTGTTAATAAATAAAACTGAAGGTTAAGTTTCAATGTTTATATTTTGATTTTTTAGACAGAATAAATGATCGAAAAAAATAAGATATATAAGAAAAAAGAAAAATAGAAAAAAATGAATAGAAATTGGAAAGTTTATGAGTGTTAAATTTAAATAAAATGTATCTGGAAATTGCAAGGTAAACTTTATACATTATAATTTCATATTTTTACAATTCAGTTTAATTAAAATCTATTTTTAAAATAAAAACCATTTTAATTTTTTAGTAATTCAAACAAAAAATAAAAGAAAAGTAATGTTAATGACTAGTAATAATATAATAAATACAAAAGTAATATATTATATAATAATATAATTATTATATTATAAATTATAACCCCTCAGTTAATTACTTTCAACTGTTTTCGATTCTAAAAAACAAACACCTGTTAAATATTTTTTTGTTGCACGTTAAAAATAATTCGCAATTTTAAATAGTTTATAACTTTTTGAAGACGAATCATTTTATCTGTCCACTTGGATATTTTGAAAGCTTATTTCTTAAAGTTTATGTAGACAGAGTTTCAATACTGTGCTCAATAAAAAATTAACAAATTTTTTCTCATTGAAAAGTTAAAGGTTCTAGAGATATGCCCATACAAGTTTCCGAGCGAAAATTTGTTTTTTTTGAAAATCCATATTAAAAAATTCGGGTTTTATTCGCACGAATTCGTGTTATTCAAAATGCCATACGAATTTTACTAGTAATTTCATAAGAATTCGATAGGATTTCTGTACAAATTTGGTCGGATTTCTGAAAGAAATTCGTATACGAATCATTTTCATCTGGGTCGAAACGCGTAGTTAACGATGAGAGGGCACTATGACCAGGACACCATTTTTGACATATTCACGAGTGACTATACATTCTTCCCTAACTGTTTATAATTGAAAATTATTATTAATTAGTTTATTATTATTTATTCCTTATGTTTTAATTATTTACGTTTTTTTACACGGAAAAAATCTTGGGTGACGTGCAATCCCAATCGTCGGAAAGTGGGGGGACTATAGTTTGGATGTGCTACGTTCTCAATTCGGGAAATCTACGTTCCCATGTCGGTGGCGCTGAACACCCAAGATTTGAGACTCAAAACCTTGGGACTGCAATAGCCGCATCTTGGGCGTTCAGCACGCCCAAGTTGGAAATGCAGCTCCTCCAAACTAAAGTCGTATCGCATTCGTACATTTTCGGTCTACTTGGAACGGCACGTTCCAAGATTTTTTCCGTGTATAGACCGTAATGTATGTATTAAGTTGTTTATGAGTCACTTTACACCAAAAAGGATAATGGAAGCCGAAAACACGCGCGTACAGCGGAGACAGCGAAGATTTTGCATGTAAAATCTTCGCTCTCTGTGCGCGCACGTATTCGGCTCCCATCCTCTCTGGTGTAAAAGTGACTAAATTATGACTTATTCAGAATGTTTTTCAAGCACTTACAAAAAGTAAGAAATATCTTTCGACAAATCAATTGACACTATACTTACACACGAGACACGACGTTTTACCTCCGTTTAGTTTTTACCTTTTTTACTGAAAGTGAACATAAGATAAGTCCCATCCCCATGGTGGTAGAATAGTGAAACAGTTTTGACCAATCAGATGACTGGATTTTTTGAACACTTATTCTGATTGGTCAAATCTATTACACGCTACTCCACTATTCTACCAGCATGAAGTTCAACGCCCAATAGATTTGCGAAAGTCGTTCGTGAACACGATTGTTACATATGAGTCCTTTCTTTATATAGTTTCTAAGTCACTTTCAGTTTTATTTCTTTAAATAATCCTCCAGAATGATTTGGTTAGAATATTTATAAACTTTTTATATTTTTGAAATTCAGAGACGCCTGTTTATCCCCGTTTATGCAAATGCTCTAATAGTCATTTGATCTAATTTAAAGGTTATAAATATTCAAATGATCTAAAGAACATTGAATATAATGTGATTTTATATAAAAGTCTAATTAATAAAATGAGTTTATTCTATAATTTATTTTTAAGCCAATAATCAAAATATCCAATTCGCATTTTCTATAATCATAAGCAATTATAAAATTTTTTCACGCAAACTTTCAACTGATAAAATAGTTGTATAAGCCAAAGTTTATTTTTTATAATTTTATAATAACCTAATTTTAAAGTGTTATAATTTTTAATTTGTATAAATTGTAATTTAACAAATGTCTGTCAAATCTAAATGTAGTAAAATACAATTTATTTAAATAAAATATCTTTTTTAAAAAATGCTAACAACCTCGAATCGTCAATTGATCAAATATTCAAAACATCTAATCGTCATTTCGTCCAATGCTAAAAACATCGAATCGTCAAATGGTCGAATGCTTAAAACATCGAATCGTCAATTGATCAAATATTCAAAACATCTAATCGTCATTTCGTCCAATGCTCGAAACGTCGAATCGAGAAAAAGTTGAAAAATTTGCTTGATGTAAGTTAACATTTATTTAAACCAAGCAAATTTTTCCAATTTTTGTCGATTCGACGTTTCGAGCATTGGACGAAATGACGATTAGATGTTTTGAATATTTGATCAATTGACGATTCGATGTTTTAAGCATTCGACCATTTGACGATTCGATGTTTTTAGCATTGGACGAAATGACGATTAGATGTTTTGAATATTTGATCAATTGTCGATTCGAGGTTGTTAGCATTTTTTAAAAAGATATTTTATTTAAATATATTATATTTTACTACATTTAGATTTGACAGACATTTGTTAAATTACAATTTATACAAATTAAAAATTATAACACTTTAAAATTAGGTTATTATAAAATTATAAAAAATAAACTTTGGCTTATACAACTATTTTATCAGTTGAAAGTTTGCGTAAAAAAATTTTATAATTGCTTATGATTATAGAAAATGCGAATTGGATATTTTGATTATTGGCTTAAAAATAAATTATAGAATAAACTCATTTTATTAATTAGACTTTTATATAAAATCACATTATATTCAATGTTCTTTAGATCATTTGAATATTTATAACCTTTAAATTAGATCAAATGACTATTAGAGCATTTGCATAAACGGGGATAAACAGGCGTCTCGAAATTCAAAAATGAAATTAGTAAGAATCAATCACTAGCGTTCTAAAACGGTTAAATTCTAATCGCAGGGCGACTAATCGACTGCTATAGTGTAGATCACATCCTGTGCATTTTTAGTGCAAATATCATAAAAGTGGGAGTTTCCTTTTGCATACCTGAGCTGTTGCATAGCAACCTTTTTGGAATGTTGCACTTTTCGTGAATGCGTGCGACGTGATTTTTTTCTCGTTCTTTATTGAAAAATATTAAATACGTATTTTTTTTATTTTTGTATATAATTGCCTAAATTTGCCAAAAGTTTATTTTCATTCATATCTATTTCTTCAAAATTTTATAATTAATTTCATAAAAATAAAGTTAAAAATATTTCAGTTCGATGTTAATTATGTTTCTTTATTTATAAATTTGTAGCATTCCCTGCTGGAAGTAAATAGATAGAAACCTTTTCTCTTTTAATCCCTTTCTATTGCTAATATAGAAAGAGATATGAATATTGTATAACTTTTAATCTCTTACCTATACTTCTTTATGCCTTTCTATTCCTACCTTTATCAACTTGTTCGCTATTTCTTTTAATCACCTTTTTTGAATAACTTTTAATAGCCTTTTTAAACCCTTCTATCTCTTTTTATATACAATCTTATTGCAACTTTTTGTTATCCCTTTCAATCACCTTTTCTCTATTACTTTTAAAATCCTGTCTATTTCCTTGTATCTCTTTCAATGTTAGACCTTATAGACACTATTCTTTATACCTATTAATAACCTATTCTCAATACCTTTTAATAACCTGTCTATAAACTTTTATATCTTTTTATGACAGAAGTTCTTGATATAATCTTCTTTGTCCACATTTATAACCTTTTCTTAATAACTATTGATATCATATTTATACCCTTCCATCGCTTTTTATGTAGGATCTTATTAACACTTATTTATTCCCATTATTAAGATAGAAATGCGAGACTGCAAAACTTTAAACTTTTTCTATTCCTTTTTATCATTCTTTTTTCCGAATGGTATTCTTTTTATCTTTTTCCAATCCCATATTCTATCTCCTTACTTCATTTAGAAGAGATATATAGGGATAGACAAGAATATGGGGATTTGAGGAGATATAATAAGTTATCTCTTCTAATCTACTATAGTATATCCCTTTCTATATACATACTCATAAAGATATACGCGCATGCGTCGATTTTCCCAGCTGTTATGTGTCATGGCGTCGGGTCAGTAGATCCGTAGATCAGAAAGCGTGTGTTATGCACTGTGCGATTTTACGTTTTTGTTTGAGTTTAACTTTCATATTTTTGTAGTTTATTGTAAATATATTTAACCAATAAATGCTTATCAGTAATAGACAACCAAAATTAGTTTTAAACTCACACAGCACCGAAACTTTTCTAAAAATATATTAAAGATTTACTTGCAAATTTTTTATAGTTAATAGTAATGAATTAGAACAACACGATTAAGAAACTCAATTAACAACAATAGAGAAAGTTTTTAATTGAAATTAATCGATTTCTTCTATAAGGGATATCTCTGTTTTTACTTTCCTGTGGATTAGAAAGGATGTGAAAATGGATAGAGAAAGATAGCAATGTGTGAATAGAAAGAGATAGAAAAGTTCTATCTTCTTTAATTCACCACTTTGCATCCCCAATTTCTTATCTCTTTTTATATATTTTTTTCTATATATTTCTATATCTGAAACTGTATATAAAGAGATTAGAAGGGATAAAAAGATATATAAATATAAGGTTATAGAAAGAGATAAACAATTTGTATCTCTTTTAAGTATCCATTTTGCATCTCCAAACTATTATACCTTTTAATCTTTTTTTATCCCCTTTTTTTAATCTCTTTGTATCTCTTTACTTCCAGCAGGGTTAATACATTTTGATATAATTTAATGTCCAAAAAATTGTACAATTCTTTAAATTCAATTATATTTAATATTTCAGATTTCTTATCTTATAAGAATTTTTTAAAAGGGAGTGTTCACCATGGCCCTGTATTTTTCTAACACTAGTTTAATATTTTTAGTATCAAAAAATTCAATATCAGTATCATCATTGAAATTAGTAGAATTTGAAGAACCTGATTCAAGTGAACATTTTTGACATTTTGAGGTACTAGAATCTTTCGAATCCACTTTCCGTTTTAAAGTTTTGTTGGTCGCATTTTCGATTATTGGTTGAAAATTTGTAGTTTTCCTTAGAATAGCATTCTTCACCAGTAGTTCTTCAAATTTCTTCATAAATTGCTAAAAAGTAATGTTAATTTATATATATATTTAATAAATATGTATAATTTCTTCAAACAACAATTTTTTTTAATAAAAAAGTTTATAAGAAATCTAATATGAAGAAATTTGGTTAGTTATATAAATTTTGATAGTTCAAAAATTTAATGTCTAAAGTGTATCCATCTTAAATAAAGCGTTTGATAATTCTTATAATTTCTTGTATTCTTAAATGTGTAATATGTTAGAGAGATAAAATATTTAATGAAAAATTTTCTTTTCACCTTTTTAGCCCTGTCAATCTCTTCTTTCGTTCGATCAGATTTTTTATCGAACTTCAACAGAATCGTTCTTGTTTTGATAAGAACAATGTTTTCTTCTTTGACAACACAGGGGGAATTATTATCTTTCTCACATTTTCTTAATCGGTTTTTTTCGCTCTCCATTTTTTTATTCAATTTTTTTTTTAAATATCTGAAAATGATTTTTTATCCGTTCTGCAGTGTTTCGTTCCTTTAAATGCGTATTTTATTATAAATTTGATGTATACACGGAGAGAAATTTCTGTTAATTTTTGTAAGGAAATTATGGAAAAAATTACTGTGCTTCCGCCCTGTTTAAAAAAATTATTAAAATGGATAGGATTTGATAGAATTTTCTTCCTTCACTCCTTGAAATTCGAATCCAATTTAATCAAATATTGAAAATCCAATCCACTTCTATCCAAAGTAGAAAATTAAATCCATTCCTATCATAAGTTTTGATGTATTATCTATCAAAGTTAATAATATTCTAAAATTCAATATTTTACTATCAAGAGTTTGGATACGAATTCTATCAAATTCTATGAGTCGAAAAATCTTATAATTTTCTATCCATGAGCTTTGATTGAATACCTATCAAATTCTTTCCAAATGAAAATCTAATATTTCTCTATCCAAGATTTGAATACAAATTCTATAAAATTCTATGAGTTGAAAATTCTTATAGTTTTCTATCCATGACGAGTTTTGATTGAATATCTATCAAATTCTTTCCAAATGAAAATCTAATATTTCTCTATCCAAGATTTGGATACAAATTCTATGAGTCGAAAATTCTTATAGTTTTCTATCCATGAGTTTTGATTAAATATCTATCAAATTTTTTCCAAATGAAAATCTAATATTTCTCTATCAAAGATTTGGATACAAATTCTATCAAAATCTATGAGTCGGAAATTCTTATAGTTTGCTATCCATGAGTTTTGATTGAATATCTATCAAATTCTTTCCACATGAATATCCATTATTTCTCTATCAAAAGGTTTGGATACAAATTCTATCAAATTTTATGATCATTCCCCAAATGTCATTTTTCCGAAAAGTCATTTCACCGAACTGCACTTTTGCGAATAGTCATTTTTGCGAAAAGTCATTTTTACGAATTGTCATTTTTGCGAATTGTCATTTTTGAGAATTGTCACTTTTGCGAATCGCGAAAAGTCATTTTTACGAATTGTCATTTTTGCGAATTGTCATTTTTGAGAATTGTCACTTTTGCGAATCGCCAATATTACGAATTGTCATTTTCCGAATAGTCATTTTTGCGAAAAGTCATTTTTATGAATTGTCATTTTTGCGAAAAGCTATTTTTGCGAATTGTCATTTTTGCTAATCGCCATTTTTACGAATTGTCAATTTTCCGAAAAGTCATTTTTGCGAAAATTCCTATAGTAAACTTGTATGCATATATAGATTCACTATAGGAATTTTCGCAAAAATGACTTTTCAGAAATTTGACAATTCGCAAAAATGACATTTCTCGAAAATGTCGTTTCGTAAAAATGAAAATTGGCAAAAATGACTTTTCGGAAAATTGACAAATCGTAAAAATGGCGATTCGCAAAAATGATTTTTCGGAAAATTGACAATTCGTAAAAATGGCGATTCGCAAAAATGACAATTCGCAAAAATAGCTTTTCGAAAAAATGACAATTCGCAAAAGTGACATTTCGCAAAAATAAGTATTCGCAAAAGTGCAGTTCGATAAAATGACATTTCGGAAAAATGACATTTGGGGAATAATCATGCGCCCCTTTATGGTTTTGTTGTGAACTACAGATTTTCATAAAAGTTTTAACATTTTAGAAAATCAACGAAATTTTTTTAACACAGTTGAGCTGTTTTTTTTATTTTTTTATTTCGTTTAATGTTATTTTTTGCAAATATTTGCAAAAAATTACAAAGCAGTCAAATGACATTTGAGCAAAAATTTATTAAATATTTAATTAATATTTTTAACATAATAGCATATATTGCAAATCTCTATAAATATTTTAATTTCTGCTTGTATTTTTATAGGTACTTACAAAAATTATAATATTTTACATAAACTTACGTTTTTCAAAGTTGCAGTTTATATAGACAGGTCGAAAAATATTTCTCACGTCGATTCGATAGCCGCGGTCGTTAAGCGTTTAGATAGATAGGTCATAGGTGCGGGGTTCGATTCCCATAGGGTACAAGTTTTAATTTAATTCTTCCAGTTTAATTAAAATGTTTGTATGTTTGGATTTTGGAGTGTGCTAAGAACATAATGTTATTAATGGTCATAAGAATCTTTTATTATTTTTTCCACAAATATTTTTTTTCAAAGCGTATGTTTTCAATTGTAACCACCTTGGATACAATAGGAAAGAACTTTCTGTCATTTTTCGATGTAGGATTTGATAGAATTTAAATCAAAAAATCTTATTGGATTGGAAACACTTTTTAATAATCAATTTTGATAGAATTTGATAGGACTTTCTTTGAAATCAGTGGGACAACATGGGACAATTTTCGGATAAACAAAGTATTGATTTGGATAGACTTTCTATTAAAAGTATTTGATAGAAACTGATTGTAATTGTTGAAAATTTTGGATTCAGAAACACGATTGAAATGGAAAGAAATTTTTTTCTTTCCATTTCTATCAAATTTTTTAAATAGGGCGTATAAAATAGGTTCGTTTTGTTGGCAAAGTAGAATGTACCATTAACCAACACAGTTTATACCTAAAAAAACGAAAATATTTGCTGTCTCTTTAACTACAAAAATTACTGTGCTACCTCAGCAAAGAAAATACACAGAGAAATAATTTGACATAAGCTATTTGTGAATGTGACATTCTTTTTTTACAATTCATATGTAATGAATTAACATAAATTAAATAATGTTTGTTAATTAATGACTGTTAATGTTTATTTGTTTTACATGTGACGCGATTATTATATTCCATGTATATCATGATATCAAATCAATATTTGAGGTTAAGTTGAAATTCCATAGTAAACCATTGTGTGCATACAAGGCACACATAAGTTTGATTTCAAAATTTCTAGGTTAAGTGAAATCATGGACAGTAAAAATTAAAATTTCATTTCCAATATTTCTTTATATCACTAATTGAAACATAAAATCGAAAACGTCGGAAAATTTTCCTTGCCAACAGGTGAGGAAAGTACGACAGTAGCAATCGTAGCAATATTAAATGGATGTTCGTGATACTTCGGGTATCATCGGCCTTCTTCAACTTGACTTCATGCAGGCAGCACAGTAAAAATTTGTGGGGAGCACGGTCTATTTTATTAACCTGCGCATGACTATTTCATGGTATACGGTTAATATATTTTGCTTAGGACCAAATTAGAAAGTCCTGGTTCAGCAATTTTTACAGTGCTTTCAAAGAAATATTCCGAGGCCATTTTGGAAATAAAACTGTTTTCCATATGAAATAAAATTGTGCGCAAGTCAATATTTCTATTCTTCCGATACAAATAGTTCAGTAAAAACATTTTGCACATACTTTCAGGTGACAAGCACAGTAATTTTTATTGGAAATTTCTCTCCGTGTATTCAAGCCGATTTTTTAATAGATTAGTAAATTGTTTTTATTTACTTTATAAATATATTTTTTAGAAAAGTTTTTACTTAACTCACCGACTAATATAATTTCAAGCAACAAAATTATTTTTGGTCAAAAGTATAGCTTCAGAACAATAATTGAGGATCCGGTTCTAGCAGCTGTTCAATTGGCGTAAAATATTTTCTTCGCAGTTAGCTTCTTTTCAAATATTTTGATAATTCCTTTTTTTTGTTATTGTAATAACGTGATACCGAGGAACTTATAAATAATTAAAGTTCCAATTTAATAATTAACAAAAGAGATTTATTAAAATATATAAATGCACGGATACGCACGTACAAAAGATATCACGGAGAAAAATGAGTTTGCTATTATATGGATAGCGAATTTTTAGCTATTGCAGCTAATAATTAGCTGTTTTAGCAAAGAAAGTTAGCTATTTTAGCTAATTATTAGCTGCATTAGCTAACAATAATTGCTATCCATATAATAGCAATTAAGGTTAGCTAAGGTAGCTAAAAATTAGCTGAAATAGCTAACTATTTTTCTCCGTGTACGCAATCGCTGAGCATCGAACAAGAGTTCGACATAAACTAAAGTAAAAGCTCGAACAGCTCAAAATAATATTTCAAACAGCATTCAATAATAATATTTCTTGTTTTTTTCCATATCCTGAGTTCTTGAATAAGTTTCGAAATAACTCTTGAAAAAAAGTTTTTCCGTGCAATAATTCATAATATTTTTTGTCTTTGTTTGATAATATTTTTTATTTTTTCATAATATTTTTTGTTTCATAATATTTTTATTTATATGCATTTTTTGTATCCCTTCCTTCGCGAGAAGAAATACTTTCACTATTTGTAAGAGACAAATTTTTTATTTCATACTCTGCAGGAATTTACTTTATACTCTTATGAATTTTATTATAATTTTAACATTTCGGATTATAGAATAATGTTTTTATTTATTTTATTTATTTATGTACATTGGTATGCCCGTGGTGTTAAAATTTTAGATAATATAATTGAATATTAAAAGCATTATATAGCATGAATTTTTAAAAATACATAATTAATAAAATACATAATTGAATTTTTTCAAATTTTCTTTTAAATAATTGAAATAATGTAAAGAATCTTATTATGTATGAAAATAATTGAATTCCTGCGTCGAATTTTATTACATTTTTTTAAATAATTGAATTCTTTTGAGAACTTTTATTAAAAAAGTAGATTGTGAAAATATTTGAATTTCAACGAAGAATTTCATTCTTACAAAATATTTAAGAGAATAATTCCATTTTTCTAGGAATTTATACTTTAAATTGTATTATAAATAATTGAAATCCTCAGAAAAATTTTATAATTTATGAAAATAATGGGATTCTTACAACGAATTTTATCAATTTTTTTTTTTTAAATAATTGAATTCATGTGAAAAATTTTATTATTTGTAAAAATAATTGAATTTATGCAACGAATTTTATTAGGTACATTTTATTTAAAAAAATTATATTCTTTTAAAAACTTGTATTAAAAATGTAAATTTTGAAAATTTTTGAAGTTCAGCGAAGAATTTCATTATTTGTAAAATGTACCTATAATTTAATTCTTGCAAAAAATTTTTGAAGATAATTTTATTTTTTGAGAAATTTATTTAAAATTGTATTAAAAATAATTGAAACCATGTGAAGAATTTTATTATAATTTTTGTAAATACTTAAATTTTTTTGTTGAAAAATTTTATGGAAATTAAAATTTTTATAAAACATGAAGATATCAATCACTCCGAGTCTTCGACTCGGAGTAATTGATATCTTCATGTTTTATAATAATATTCTTATAAGTTTTTTAATTATGTTTGAATTTGAATGTTTTGAAGAGTTTTAATTCCTATGGAAAAATAATAATTAAATACTCATTTAAAAATTTAGTTATTGATGTTTGCGAATAATTTTACACTTTAAGAAATTCGTAAGTAAATGTAATAGAATGTTTTTTTTTTGAGTATATCTAATAATTTTGAGAGTGAATCAAAATATTTTTTATGGTCAGGGAAAAAGTGTAAATTTTGTCTGGAAATCAGGGAAAAGTCAGGGAAAAATAAAATTAAATATTTGTGGCAACCCTGTTCTACAGGTATTTTTAAAGTCAACAAATAAATAACAACAAGTTTTTATAATCAGAATTTATAAATAAAAAATTTTATTTTTAGAAAAATGGATACATTTTGTTATATATGATAAATAATTTTAATATTGTATAGAAGTAAAAAAAACGGTTAAACAAATAACAAACTAAAGTCTGTAATAAAATGATATTGACAATGCAGGCGAGAATTTTTTGCTGACATCAAGCATATTTTAAAGAGCGAAGTTTATTACCGAATTTTTTTAGATTCAGTTCAAAAATACAAGAATATAATATCAAATATTTTGTCATTAAAATTTCGATCTTATACATAACATAAAATTATTAAAATTTAACACATTTTTTCCATGTTGTCATCTTTATAATGCTTTCTTATTTGGAACCAGTTTTTATCAATACATATTAACAAAGTTAATAATACTATTTTTTTAATGTTAGTTCTAAAACATTAATTATCAATTTTTTGAAAATTCAGAAAATTCGTGCTGCTTTCAAACAAAGAAAGTATTATTTTTTCTTCAATGAAAGTTCTATTTTTGAGTTCCATTAATGTAAGAGAGCAATATATTACAAATGACGAGTAGAACTAATTTTTTGAAATAAGTAAAAAAAAATTTTCTTACGCCAATAGAATTAAGAATTTTGAAAATTAATTAACTTATAGCTCAGCGGTTATTTCTTGATTATCTTCATATAAGTTTCCAGTCAAATAGAAAAAGCAAACATAGTAAAAAATTAATACACAGCGTCTTTTAAATTACAAACGTACTGTGAATGTCGAATTCCAAAAGTATGCGCTGGCGGATAGTCCAAGTGAACCTGTATTAGATAATATCTTATTATAATTTATTACAAAATTGTTTGTCGGAATTTATAAAATTTAACTGTAAAATTTAAGTTTAATATAATTTTAGTTAATTTTCAAAATGTTCCAGAATGAAAATAAAATACCTTTTCAGGACAGTGAGCACCAGGTCCAGGTTTTTGTGAATGATCATTCGGCAATTGGAATCTTGCACTTATGCTGTACGCTGGACTTTTTGATCTAATTGCATCGGGTTTTATTGCTTCGTAAGCACCAGGTCCTGGTACAATAATTCTATTGTCAGTGAAAACTTTTTGCCTTCCCGAAATTGAATAAGCAGGTGCTGTTTTCTTGTTACCCTCTTTATTTCCACAAAGGCCAGATGGAATGTTATAAACGTTAGGCGCTAAAGGAGTGGTAAGCGTTAGTCTGACGGAGATCAGTTTTTCAAATTGGAAATTGAGAAATTTATTTATTAGATTGAACTAGGAAAATTATGTCGGGATTCGGAGATCAGATGTTTTGGGCGGCTGAACTTAAATCGAAGTCCGTTTTACACCTATGAGGTGAGATCAAGATTCCTATCGGAAGAACTTGTCGGATTGTATGTCGGAAAACCGTCATCGAGACGTATTTAAATTTTAATCACACGGAGAGACCCACATTCGTAAAAATTACTAAAAATGGTTGCAATGACCGGAAATAAGGGGACTTTTAGCATAATGTGCTACAGAATTAGATAAATTTACAAAAGAAATAGATAAATTTGCTACATTGAAATAGCAAGTTTTAATATTTTGTGTAAGAGTTGTAAATGTAGCAAAAATTGATTATAGTTTTCTCTAATTTAATTAGACAAAATCTGACAAATGAAAACATTTTCCACTAAAACCTACGATCCACTGTAGTAATTTTTGGTGAGCAAGTGTGGCTAGCGAGTGCAGTCATATGGCGCCTGCATTTCTATTGGTTGCTAACTTCGTCAATCTCCGTAAATGAGCCGACGCCATCCGATCATTGACAGTGACTATGTTTCGCGTATGTAAAATAAATTTGGATATTATCTACAATAATTAAATATAAAGTGAAACGTAGGTCGTTCGGTATCTCAGAAATTGACCATTATAAATTAATAAACTTTGCATTTATTCCTGTCCCAAGAACTATGTCTTATAGTAAGTTGTTAAAAGTAAATTGCTTTCTCGTAAGTGCTGTAAATTTTCATCATTCAATATATAAGGAAACAAAGATGTATACTTTCAGTGAAATTCGTTGTCGTGCGTGCAGTTGTGTATTAGTGTATTAATTAACCGCGTCTATATATATAAGTGAAATAAACATGTGTGTGTCTTCAAATATATAAGTGTGTGTGTGTCTGTGTATGTAAAAATCCTTCCAGTTTGTCTCCATTAGTCAAGAATTGACGGGAAACCGGCGACAAAAATCCGTATTTTTTCTTTCACTCTTTCTTTCTGCATTTACAAACGACTGTAGTAATTTTACGTACACAATGCTTCTGAGTTTACTACAGTTATTTGGAACTATTGGACGAAATAGTAAGAAACTTTGCTAATTTGGTGAACATTTGTCGGGATTAGTGACTTAGTGTAGAAAATAGTAAAAAATACAAAAAGTCCCCTTATTTCCGGTGGTTGCAATGTGAAAATAGTAAATTCTAGTGTGATTTTATACAAAAATTAGTAATCTCGGTCTCTCCGTGCAGACACAGGTAAGAGGAAAATTACGAGATTTGAATTCATAAACCTAGAATAGGTAACGAGCTGAACGTATCGAACATATTGTTTGTGGGAAGTTGAAAAAGTAAAACTTAGTAAATCAGTTTTCAGTGTTCGGGGTGGAATCATAGAATCATCAGCGAATTGTCAATCAGCAAAAACCGTATTTCAATCTAATAAATATAAATTTCTCTCTACATATTAATTAATCACCTTGGAAATTATTGTACAGGGATTTAAATTATTTTCTCCTAGAGAATCGACTTGCACTTCGTTAGTTTCCGTTTTTGTGGTAAGTTTTAGGTTAAACGTGGTCTGAAGAAAAGCATACTTATGAAATCATTTATATCAACAAAACTAAGAAAATTAGTGCATGAATTGTGAATAAGCATAAAGCCGCTATGACTACTTTCTATTTTGTTACCAGGAATATTGTTTAATCTTTCCACTGATGATCTTAAGCCGAAAGTGAAATGAAACGCTTTCTCAAGCATCAACATCGCTTTTTCCGGACAGTATTCTCCAGGACCTGAAAAGTAGAATTTACTGTTATATCTACAAAAATACCAGGAATTGTACCTGTTGTACTACTACTTTAACCCTTTCACGCCCATGGGACATATACGTCCCACCTACAAAATCCTCAATGTCTTTGAAGAAACTTAATATTTTTGAGTTTAATTTAGTGCGTTCTCTTCAGGAAGAATAGGGCTTTAAAAATAAGTAACCTAGATCATGTTAAAAAATTCCTATTGTTTAAAAAAATTCATAAATTATTGTTAAAAATCATGAATTTTTAAAATATTTTAAAATCGCCTAAAAATTGTTACTCGGGGGTTTTCGGGGTCGCTGATTACGAATCCGGTGCTAGTTTTTCAAAATTCAAAATGGCGGATCTAATATGGCGGACGACAAATGTAAAAATTAAACGGATTAGCATGAAACTTGTTACTCGGGGGTTACTAGGGTCGCTGAATACGAATCCGGTGTTATATCTTTAAAATTCAAAATGGCGGATCCAATATGGCGGGCGTTATTTTTAAAATCGTTTAGTTTCACCAGAAACTTGTTACTCGGGTGTTTTCGGGGTCGCTGATTACGAATCCAGTGTTATATTTTTAAAATTCAAAATGGCGGATCCAAGATGGTGGACGATTTTTTTAAAACATTTTAATTTCACCTGAAACTTGTTACTCGGGGGATTTCTGAGTCGCTGATTACTAATTAGGTGTTAATTTTTAAAAATTCAAAATGGCGGATCCTACACGGCGGACGACAAATGTAAAAATTGTTTGGATTAGAGGGAAACTTGTCACTCAAGGGTTTTTATGGTCTCTTATCACGAATTTGTAGTTTATTTTGAAATTGCGATTGTGTATTTATTTATTTCTGTCAGTAGATGGACTTGTTTCTTTCTACTCTCACTGGATTCGTAATCAGTGACCCCGAAAACCCCCGAGTAACAAGTTTCTGGTGAAACTATACGATTTTAAAAATAACGTCCGCTATATTGGATCCGTCATTTTAAATTTTAAAAATATAACACCGGATTCGTATTGAGCGACCCTGAAAACCCACAAGTAACAAGTTTCTGGTAAAACTAAACGATTTAAAAAAAATCGTCCGCCATCTTGAATCCGCTATTTTGAATTTTTAAAAAATGATGTCATATTCGTAATCAGCGACCTCAAAAACCCCCGAGTAACAATTTCCAAGCCAATCCGATCAATCTGTAAAAAAGTTGCCCGCCATATTGGATACGCCATTTTAAATTTAAAAAATTTTATAATTCTGATATCAGATTCGTAATCAGCGACCCCGAAAACTATGAATAACGTTACACTTACGTTTTTTTAACCGTCCAGTTATGCCTGGGTGTGAAAGGGTTAATCTTGAAGTAATGTCCTAACGGAAAGTTTAAATATACTATTGGAATTTTTGTAAAACCCCTTAGGATAGATATACCTAGTCCGTAATCAAAAAATAATCTCACCAGGGTTTTCATTCAATTTTCCAAGTGTTGGTTTACCATATAAACTGTATTCTGGTCCCTTATTTAAATTCACTTTCTCAGGACTGTAAGCTCCTGGAGCTGAAAAAATTTACGGTTTATTTTCGTCTACACATTTTTAACGTACCATTGAATCAAAATTCAGGAAAAAATGATTGTATACCAGGAGTAGTTGTGGGTTTTTCCGAAGAACCTTTTCCATATAAACTATATTCTGGTCCTTTATTTAAATTAAATTTTTCCGGACTGTAAGTTCCAGGAGCTAAAAAATTTTTTCAAAATTAATAAATACCATTACTACTATAGTAATAATGGTATTTGTTAATTTTGCATTGAAAATTATCTAAATACGTACCAGGGACTTCGTTAGGTTTTTCACAATGTCCTTTCCCATATAGACTATACTCAGGGCCTTTGTTTAAATTCATTTTCTCTGGACTATACGTTCCGGGAGCTAAAATATTTATACACTTCTAATTTTGTACGGTTCAAGAAATTTTAATTTCTGTTCTATGCAATTATTTATAAACGTTAATGTACCTGGTACATCATTCGGCTTTTCCATTAGACCTTTTCCATATAAACTGTATTCTGGACCTCTATTTAAGTTAAATTTCTCAGGACTGTAGGTTCCAGGAGCTAAACAAAATTTTCATTCTTGATAAATTTTACAAATCTAAAAGTCTAATTACTTTTCCAAACCAACTTTCAATGATGACGTACCTGGCACATCGTTTGGCTTTTCTGATGAACCTTTCCCATATAAACTATATTCTGGCCCCTTATGTAGATTTACTTTTTCAGGACTGTACGTTCCAGGAGCTGATAAAATTTATGTGTGAGTTAATATTAAATGATTTATAGAAGAGGAAAAAATGGAAAACATTTACTTACCGGGAATATCATTTGGTTTCTCTTGTTGACCTTTTCCATATAAACTATATTCCGGCCCCTTGTGTAGATTTACTTTTTCAGGACTGTACGTACCTGGAGCTAGTATAACATAATTATGAGATAATCAATTTTTATTTCTATTTATTTTGTAAGAATTGAAAATATTGCCACATGTTTGCTTATACCTGGCATGTCATTTGGTTTTTCCTCTAAACCTTTTCCGTATAAACTGTATTCTGGTCCCTTGTGTAAATTGAATTTTTCAGGACTATATGTTCCGGGAGCTAAAAAAATTTATTGAAGTTTATTTTTGATTTTTAAGGAATTAATTGAGGGTCTTGATTCTAAAAGGCGATGTACGACATTGGGTTCTTAATTCTTATGGCGTATATCCTCTTATAGAATCCAGTTCTTCAATTATTAATTATTAAATGAATACTCTGTTATGGTCAACAAATATATTTATATCTCCATCTGTATTGCTTCATATTCGACATGAACTGCAAAACGTCTTAGCAATTTAGTCTGAATCCTACCTTGTTACTGTATAACTTTTGATAATAAAATACCATTTTCAGAAGCGGTATAAAAGTAAAATGAGTCTTTTAAGAAATTGGACCCAAACATAAAAATTATAATACCTGGGAAGTCATTTGGCTTTTCTGATTGACCCTTTCCATATAAACTATACTCTGGTCCTTTATGTAAATTGACTTTCTCAGGACTATACGTTCCGGGAGCTAAAAAATAAATTGTTCATAACTTTCACAATAGGACTAATGTTAGATTCGACTTTTTGATTCTTGAAAGAAATTTTGTATATTTTTTCAGATAATATTCAGAATATGTAACATTTCAATACCTGGAATGTCGTTTGGTTTTTCCGATGCACCCTTTCCGGATAAACTGTATTCGGGACCTTTGTTTAAATTTACTTTCTCAGGACTGTACGTTCCAGGTGCTACAAAGAAGTTGCATTACGTATTTAATTAACTTTATTATTACAATAAATTAGGATGCCGAATCAAACAATGGCACATAACCCATTTGAATTACATTCATCATACTCTCTTCAATGATCCGTTAGCTCAATTGCTACCAAACCGTTTTTTAAGTACATGAAAAATTAGTTATTGTTGATATTACATACCGGGAGTATCACTTGGTTTCTCTGAGAGACCCTTTCCATATAAACTATATTCCGGACCTTTGTGTAAATTGATTTTCTCCGGACTATATGCTCCAGGTGCTAAAATTAAGAATTTGCTATTAATTATCTAAGTTCCGTCTAAGATTTAATTTCTAAAATTATTATCACAACAATCAAGTACCTGGATTATCATTTGGCTTTTCTGATAAACCTTTTCCATATAAACTGTATTCTGGACCTTTATGTAAATTTACTTTCTCAGGACAATAAGCACCAGGAGCTAAAAAATAGTTCGTTTATGATGTATCCATGTTTACTTCTATTTTAGTAAAAATAAATCCTTACCTGGTGTATCGATTGGTTTCTCAGAAGCACCTTTTCCATATAAACTATATTCCGGACCTTTGTGTAAATTGACTTTCTCCGGACTATATTCTCCAGGTGCTAAAATTAAGAATTTTCGATTAATCATCTAAGTTTACCATCATCTAAGATTTCATTTCGAAAATTATTATTACAACAATCAAGTACCTGGATTATCATTTGGCTTTTCTGATAAACCTTTTCCATATAAACTATATTCTGGACCTTTATGTAAATTTACTTTCTCGGGACTATATGTTCCAGGAGCTGAAAGTTTCAATCGTTTTAATAAGTAAAATGAATCTTAAGAAAGAGGAAAGTAAGGAATACTGTATAAGGATTACTGCGAAATAATATTTAATTACCAGGAACATCGCTTGGTTTTTCGCAAGGTCCTTTTCCATATAAACTGTATTCTGGACCTTTATTCAAATTGAATTTTTCCGGACAATACGTTCCAGGAGCTGGAAAATTTGTTTAAATATATTTGCCGCTAATTTTATAATGATTACCGCAAGTAAATAAATCTATTAATATAATAAAGTGAATAAAAGAATCTAGTACCGGGTGTATTATTAGGTTTTTCGTTTGGACCTTTTCCATATAAACTGTACTCTGGACCTTTGTGTAAATTTGTCTTTTCGGGACAATAAGTTCCGGGCGCTGAAAATAATTGTATTTATTTTATCGTTAGAATTGATTTCCGGTTAAATAAATAAATTACCTGGCATATCATTAGGTTTCTCCGTTGGTGTTCTAAGTCCAAAAGTAAACTGTAAGGATTTAAAGAGATTCACCTTCTCTGGCGAATATGTTCCTGGAGCTGTAAACAGTTCATGTTTGGTAAATAACGACTGGATTATATTTTCATTCGTTGATGTGAAATTATATGAGAAAATGGGAAATTGATATGAGTGTAGAAATTATGTTCAGTATTACCTGGAAGATTATCGGGTTTATCGGCATTGCCTTTGCCAGTTAAACTGTATTGGGGACCTTTGTCGAGGTTCACTTTTTCAGGACAGTAAGTTCCAGGAGCTGTAATATATTTATGGATAATTAATACTAACACTAAGTACTCCTACAAAACTTTTGAGTAAGTACTTCGTTTACTAAACTTTACCGATTTTATGAAAGTTTAGTCATCAAAGCCATTTTCTCAATATTAATGGTTTGCTGTTTACTTTAATGGGATAATTACCTGGTGTTTCATTAGGTTTCTCTAATTGAGTGCGCAGACCGAAAGTAAATTCTGGAGCTCTATCAAGTCTTACTTTCTCTGGACAATAGGTACCAGGTGCTATAGGTATAAAATATGTATATTATTATTTTCTCTGTATGTACAAAAAATATGTATTACTTGATCAAAACAAAAGTACACTTGTTTATATAATTGAATTTCTGATTTATTTACAGTGTGTTTACTACGTGATTTTTATGAATAATGTCACAAGTTTACTAAGTCTGTTTTCGGCGTTCGCTCTGATGGTTCGACTCCGGGTTAGTTGTGAATTTGTGATTGTGTCAAGAATTGAAAAAATTTAAATAATTAAATAACAAACTTTTCTTTTGTAAGTGCTACATGCTTTTCTTATTATGCGTGTACAAGTGCAAATATCTAGCGAAGAAAATTTACTTTATCACATTTTTTTTACCTTCTTATTTTTAGAAGAGAAAATGTCTGCAAGTTTGAAGATACTTTGATTCAATAAGAATGAAAAATAATATTTTTTCAATTATAACTTTTAAGATTATAAAAATGTAGAACATAAAAAAAAAATTAAAACATAATTACCAGGAGTGTCATTCGGCTTTTCCGTCATGGTTTTTATGCCGAAACTGTACTGAGGAACATTGTCGAAATTCACAATTTCAGCTTTATAATCGCCCGGCGCTACATGAAATATTCATTCACAAAAATTATCTTTGCAAAATAACAATTTAGAGAATAAGAGTTTAAATTTTTTTTAATTATTTTATGCAACTCAGACGTATTATGGTCACTTTATCTAAATATAGGCGCATTCTAAGTTCGCCCTTATAACCTAGCGGTCAATAAAGTGTCTATTATTGACCTAGGACAATAAAGTGTCTATTATTGATCTATAGGGCAATAAAGTGCCTATTATTGACCTAGGACAATAAAGTGTCCATTATTGACCTAGGGTAATATAATGTACTTTATTGACCGCTCGTAGGTCAATAAAGTACCCATTATTAACCTAGGTCAATAAATGTCAATAAAGTACTCATTATTACCCTAGAGCAATAATGGACACTTTATTGACCAGCTGGGTTATATTTATGGAGGAACTTAACATGCACCGGTACAGATATAGCATAGAATGACCATAATAAGCCTTTATTGCATAATGTACTATCAACGTTTCTATAAAATAATTTTAAAGTGCTTTCAACTTTTTTAGTTTTGAATTCAAAATTTAAGAGCAAAAATTATAAAATAAAAATTTCCACTTGTTAAAAAACATGCGAATTATTAAAAATTCGTACAGTAAAAATTTCAAATAATGAATATGAATGTTTAAAAGTTACATGTTAAAGTTTTTTTTATTAGAAATTAGCTCTTGAAACTAATAGAATCAATTAAATTATTAAAAATTTAGTTTAAATTAAAATTTTACTAATTTTACTATTTGTGCGTGCCTGTTATTTATAGCAAATAATAAAGCACGTGCAGAATTTTAAAAAAATTAACATAGGTCCATAGTTGAAATATAAAATTCCAGACCTAATCCAGATATATACGATGAACAAAATCCGGTTACTCAGAATTGTACTCACAATCAGTAAAATTTCTGCGCATGGAAATTTTTTTTTAATTAAAAATACTGTTGAAAAAAATTAAGTTCATAACATGAATTCGAAATCGAAGTGCAAAAGTCGATTCACTTGTGAATATATATAAAATATGAGCACTGCGAAAAATTTTAATAAAGATAAATAAAATATTTTATGGAGAATTTTAAAATGAATATCTATAAATTTAAAAAGATATGATTTAATGAAAATTTATAATTGCTGTGAATGAAATTTAAAAGTTTTCAATAAGAAATATTAATATTGGAAATTTATATATTTGTTTAATGGTTAAAATTTACTCACCTGGAGTGGCGCTGGTTTTTTCCGAATGTACTTTAATTCCAAATGAATATTTCGGCGAATTGTCGAGAATAATTTTTTCTGCCTTTTGTGGATCGTAGTCACCAGGAGCTGGTGTCACTTCGATTTTTCCAGATTTTGTACGACCATGGAGGGAAAGTGCTGGTGCAACGTCCTTTCCTGGAAAATTTTTTATTTCATAAATACTAAATTATTTTATTATTCATCGTAAAATCTTCCAAATCGATAAAATTTATATTTTTCGTAATATATTTTGATAAATATTACATCGTAAAAAAATTCAAAAGTTATTTTACATAAAAACGCATGGTGGCCACCTTGGAACCCTCGAACCCTATATTGTTATTATTATTAATTTAATGCTGCAAGCTTACAATTCAAGTTAGCATAATTTGCCAAAATGAACTAAGAACAAAAACTTTAGTTTCAAAGCTTTGCGGCAGTTTTTAAATTTCCTCCGCCACATTGGATCCGCCATTTTGAATTTTGTAAATCTGACTTGAAAATCGTAACTTTTGAATTAAACTTTGATCGTCGTTTTAATTGTAATTAAAAATTTTTATTTTATTTTTTAAAAAATTTGTAATTATAATATATTTTGTTGAGAATATAAAAAAAAAACTTAAATATATGTGCTTCTTCCATTTGGCAAAAAAAAAAATAAAAATGATTCAAAACAGCAAAAATATCCTTGTCACTTTGTCTGTATCGTTATTCTAGAATATTGGAATTTCCGATACTTTTGTTGTTTCATTCCTCTACACAGAAATGTTTGATCAATAAAATGAAGTTCGTTTGGGGGTTTTGCAATTATATTATTCTTCATAGAGTTGTAAACCTAAGGAATTTGGAGGCACTCAAGTTAGACATTAATTTTACAGTTACTTATATCCTTATAGTTCAAAATTGTTGCAATTTCCAATGGAAAACTTTTAATAAAATTACTCAATTACAGTTTTGTATTTAAAATTAAGTTTACTTCGCAATTAAAATATTTAAACAATTTCCTTCATTCTTCAATGACTTTCTTTCATTTTTGTTTATAAAATTATAAATATTTAAAATCAATCCTAATTAATGCTTGTTTTTTTTAAATTTTAATTTTAAAAATTATTAAAATTATTAAAAATTTTTTAAAAATTTTATTTATTAATTCTAAAAATTTAATTCTAATAAATAAATAAAGTTTGTAGATCAATTTTTTTATTTTCTACATTCTAAAAATAATGTCATAGAATAAAAAAAGTAATCAAAATCTCCTATTTATAGAAATTTCTATTCATTTTTTAATGTCTATTTATAGACTAGTTTTTTGAGTTCATAGTCACGGAATAATATATAAAATTTTTTTTTTTAATTTTTGTTGAAAATATAAAAAATTTCTTCTATGAATTTGGCATTCCTTAGAATAACTGCTAATCGAAATTGAATGTTAAATTTCAAAGAAAATGTATTAATTTCTAATGGTTTTTTCTTAAATTAAGATAAGAATTTTTTTTTTTAATTTATCATACCTTTTGCACTGAGACCAGAAACATTGTATTGTCCAGGACCTGGACCAGGACTGTCGTTTTTGTTACCGTGTCTAAAAATTTGAAAAATTTCAATTGAATTATATTCAAAATTTAATTTTTCCTTTTAATAAATATTTATTAACAATCCAATGCAAAGAAATTGAAAAAAAGAAATTTGAAAATTAAAATTTAAAAATGAAACTGAAAATTATAATTTAAAAATTAACAAATTTATAGGGGAGAGTGGGTCAAAGGCGCTAGGTTTACATTATTATGTTCAATATTGCCTTTGCCCCACATAACAAACTTTTTTTTTACTTTAAATTAAAAATATTTAGATACAAAATTTTATTTTAAAAAATAAAAGTTTGTTCAGTAAAATTATCATTTTATTTTTGCAAAACAATTTTTTTGTTATATTAATTCTTAAAATATTTGATATTTTTAGGATTTTTCTTTTTTTAATCAATTGGTCTGATTACTACTTTTTAAAGTTTTTAACTCTTTTTCAATCAAAATGTAAAATAAATTTAATTTTTTAAAAATTGTATTTTTATCTTTTCCATCGAAACAAATTATAGGGGCCGTCCATAAACTACGTTACCAATTTTTCAGACATTTTAGACCCCCTCGTTACCATTGCATTAAATGCAATTTTGAAGAATTTTTGACCATAAACGTATAGTTTATGGATGGCCCCTTATTTGCTTCCAAATGAAAGTTGAATTTTTAAAATTAAATATTTAAGAATAAAGTTTAATATAAAAATTTAAATTTGAAAATAAAATATTAAAATTTTAACTTAAACGTTAAATTTGAAAATTTGCATTTAAAAATTAAATTTAAATTTAAGATTTATTATTTTTAAGATTTTTCAGAAGTCACTTCTTGAAACTATTCGGAAATCATTCCACATCACACTAAATTTAAAACTTTAAAATTTTTTTAACAAATCCATAAAAATAAAATAAATTGTTTATTCAAAAAATTTTAATTATTTCGATCGAAAATATTATTACCTGCTACCAAATGAAAATGCTGGTGCCCTCCCACGCTTTGAATCAGGTACAGTTTTTCCTAGAATTCAATTTTCAAAAATTACTACATACATTTAAAATGAATTAATATTAAAAATTTGATTAATTAAACAAGGTAAATAAAAAACATAAATTTCAAACTCAAGTTATTTTTAAGTCGATTGCTCAATAAATTAAACGTATAATTAAAAATTAAACATTAGTTTTCCTTGCGTAGCAGAAAATTTAGATTTTAATTGTGAAATAATTATAGATAAAGGGCAAATTAATTAAGTTCGATTTTTAGCAATCCATTAAAGGAATTGAGGAATATAAATCAAAATAATACCCAAGAGTGGTGGAAGTGTGACGCATGCAGGCCCTGGACTACCAAATTCGGCGGCAATTGGTCCTCTTCTTCTCGTAGGCGTCCATGGCCTTTGTGTTAAACCACCCATATCAAGATCAACTTCAAGAGCGTTCGGTCGTTTATTAATATTCCTTAAAAAGAAGGGAAAAAATCATTTTTATCAGGGAAGAATTTTTTAATTCAATCCATATATTATACTATTTCATGTAAAAGAAGAAATTAAGAAAGAAATATAATAATGAAAACTCGTATACATATTCAGATTAAGAGACATTCAAGGAAATTATTAGAACCTTGAATATTATTACTTGTTTACTCATTTGATTCATTTGATTCACTATGTTTATTTATTTTTTTAATTACTTAGTTATGCAATTATTTATTTTTATTAAAAATTGTTATTTGTTATTGTTTATTTATTTGTTTACATATTTTTCTTGCTTTTTCTGTTGTTTATTTACTAATTGACTTAAATAAAATAATTGTTTATTTATTTATTTACCTATTTACTTAATTTTGTTTATTAATTCATTTTACTTATTTGTTTACAATCCGTTTTATTTATTTAATATTTTGGCGATTGATTTGTTTGGTTTTTTGTTTATATTTGGTAATTATTTTATTTACTTATTTATTTAATTGTTTATTGGTTTTTTTCACCTTGTTTACTCAGTTTATTTATTTACTTAGATATTTGTTTGTTTATCCATTTTTTTATTCACCTATATATTTGTTTACTATTTTGTCTGTTTATTCATTTATTTTCCTCATAATATATTTCTTAATTTTTGTAGTTATACTTATTTGATTATTAATTATTTATTTTAAATTCGTTTCCTCTAATTATTCATTTGTATATTAAAATTTTTTTTATTTATTTGTTAATCTAATAATTTTATAAATATTTTTATTTATCTATTTAAACATATATATGTTCGTTTATATATTTATTTTATTTATTTATTTGATTGTTTTTTGTCTATTAATTAATTAATTTATTCATTTGTTTATAATTTTGTTTATTTATTTAATGATTCGCTTTTGTTAATTTGTGTATTTACCTTTTTTTCCAATTATGTATATTGTTTATTAATTTTTTTTCACTTTCTTATCAATTAATTTATTTATTCATTTTTTTATTTACATGTTTTTTCTTCTTTATTATTAGTTAAATTATTTTGTTTATTTTCTTCTTCATTTGATAATTAATTTGTTTAATCGAGTATTTATTTCTTTATTATTTTTTTATCCCTTTATTTGTTTTTTTGTTTGTTTATTATTATTTATGTAAACATTTATTTATAAATTTTTAAGTCATTTGCTTACTTACTTAGTTGTTCATTTCTTTTCTTCTTTATTCATTATAGTTTATTTCTTTGATAATGTGTTTATTCTCTTTTTGGTTTGTTTATTTTTTAATTAATTAATTTATTAATTTGTTTATTAATTTGTTTATTCACCTATTTATTCGTTTATTATTATGTATTAATATTTATTATTATTGTTTACTTGTTTTTTTGTTTATTAATTTAATTTTATTATTTGTTCTAGTATTGCCTTATTTGTTACTTTATTTGTTTACAAATTTTTTTATCTATTCGTTTATTTATTTTTTCACTTACTCGTTTATTTTTTAATTTATTAATTTCTCTATTTATTTGTTCTTTCCTTATTTACTTATTTATTTATTTACTTATCCTTTGTTTAATTTCTTGTTTAATTACCATTTTATTTGTTAATTATTTTTTTTTATCTCTTTATTTGCTTTTTTGTTTGTTTATTTATTTAAATATTCATTTATTTATAAATTTTTTAGTTATTTGTTTATTCATTTGTTTACTTATTTATTTGTTATTTTCTTCTTTATTTATTTATTTGTTTATGTTAATATGTTCATTCTCCTATTAATTTGTTTATTTAATTATTAATTTGTTATTCGCCTATTTATTTGTTTATTATGTTTTTTTGTTTATTTATTTTTTGTTCACTCATTTATTTTATTAATCGTTTTATTATTGACTTATTTGTTTGTTTATTTATAAAGTTCTTTATTTATTTGTTTGTTAATTTTTTCACTTACTTGTGTATTTTTTAATTTATTAATTTCTTTATTTATTTGTTGTTTCTTTATTTATTTACTTACTAACTTATTTATTTGTTATTTATATTTGTATTTATATTTATACTTATATTTGTTTAATTTATATTTTATTTGATTATTTTCTTGTTTATTTATCTATTAATTTGTTTATTATTTTGTTTATTTATTCATTTGGTTTTTTGTTAAATTTTATTATTTATTGCTTAATTTGTGTACTTATTTATTTGTTCAATTATTTGTTACTTTGTAACTTTTTTAATTATTTGTTTATTCATTTGTTTAATTATTTACTTATTTTTTCTTCTTTATTCATTAATTTATTTGTTTATTAATATGTTTATTTTCCTATATTTGTTTGTTTATTTGCTAATTAATTTGTTTATTATTTTATTTATTTTATAATTCGTTTTATTATTGACTTATTTGTTTGTTTATTTATTTATTATAAATTTCTTTACTTATTTGTTTATTAATTTGTTTATTAATTTTTTCACTTACTTGTTTATTTTTTAATTTATTAATTTCTCCATTTATTTGTTGTTTCTTTATTTACTTACTTAGTTATTTATTTATTTACTTATCTTTTGTTTAATTACTATTTTATTTGTTTATTTTCTTGTTTCTTTACCTATTAATTTGTTTATTATTTTGTTTACTTATTCATTTATTTTTTTTGTTAAATTATTTATTCCTTAATTTTAATTTGTATACTAACTTATTTGGTTAATTATATTTATTACTTTGTTAACTTTTTTTATTTATTTGTTTATTCGTTGGTTTACTTAGTTATTTTTTGTTTATTTACTTCTTCATTTGTTTATTTACTTCTACATTTGTTTATTTAAAAATTTTTATTATTTTTTTATTATTTTTATTATTTTCTTAACTTAAAAAATCCTCAAAAGTTTAATTTTTTTTTTTTTTTTTTTTTTTTTTTTTTTTTTATTATTAAAGTTTAAAATTGAACTAACTTTTATTTTCGATTGTAAACCTTATTCATTGGCTTATAATATATCTTAATTTACTAATATTAAATATTAATAATGTGAAAATTCAAATTTTTACATAAAAATAGTTTCAAATATATAAATATTCATGAACCTACTCGACAAAATTCAAACTATATTTTACATAAAAAAAATTTTTTTTCTCTCTTACATTATTGAAAATTGATCGAGTTTTAGAAGAAATAAATTCAGAAGACAATTGCAATCTTCGGGAACTTTGAATTATGCAACTGACCTCGAATGACAAACAGAGTATAGATACGAGTCATGAAGTTCCTTATAAGAACATGCCCATGAGGGGCTTTCACGTTAAATCGCCCACCGTTCCGTTCACGATGAAAAGTTCAGACTTTTTTTTTTTTTTTTTTTTTTTTTTTTTTGAGAATTTATCACGTTCATGTACGTTTGCCTTGAAGAGGGAAGGAGGAAGGCCTTTTCTGAATTTATTGTTAAATCTTCCTCTCAAGAGCGCCAATATGAATCAGTTACTTTTTTTTAATTCAAAAGAAATGCCTTTGATGTATAAATATAGTATATTGAATACAAATTTTGACTGTTGGAAAGTGTCTTGAGTTGAGTGCGATTTAATTCTAGGTACGAACACTTCAGATATATATACAACTATGACTCATTGCTCTCAATTTATAATAAATATATATGTCTTAAGATCGAAAAAATAAAATTTTAAGAATATATTTAAATATGTAATTTAAAATAAATATAATGTTGAACTCCTTTTGTATTTACTTTAAGTGATAAGATAAGTGAAATAAAAAAATAATTCAATATAAAAAAATAAATATATAAAATAAACAAAAAATAAATATTTATTTTTCTTCACATATATTCAACTAGAGTAAAATAAATAAATAGAATGTAGAATAAATATAAAACAAAGAAAATCAAAAAATAAATGAAAAAAATGTTGATTAGAGTCATAAAAACAAGAAAATAAAAATTTTATAAAGAAATAGTTTTAGAAGTGAATTAGGCTAGTTGCTTAAGTTTCTAGACTCGTGTGCAATAGGTTTTGGGTTCGATTCTCGCCTTGAGTAGTTATAAATATATTTTTTAATTTCCATATATTAGAAAGAAATTATACATTTTAATATTTTTCATTACTGAAAATTGCCTTATTTATCAATATATTTTATCATAATTTTTAATTATCAAACAAATTTTTTTTAATTAGTATTTTTTATGATTAAAATTTTTTCATTTATAAATTTCTTTTATTTATTTATATTTTTATTATTAAAATTATGTTTACTTATTTTATATTTTATCATTAAAAACCTTTTATTTTCTTAATTATAAATTAATTTGTTATTTTATTATTAAAAATCCTATTTTATTTTCTTAACTGAATCAATTTATTATTTATATAATAATGATTATATTACATAATATAAATAATAATTGTAATTATAAAAAAAAATTAACAAAATATTTTTAAAAATTTTCTTTTTTTTTTGTTAAAAATAAGTGTTACAATTATTACGACGAACTAAAAATACTGCATTACAAAGTTTATTTTTTAAATGAAATCGCATGTGTATACAATCCTATATGTTGTTAGGAAATATGAAATTATACTAATTTAATGCAACCTCCTACATTATTAGACTTCCGCATATATCAACTATTTTATAGAATATTAAAATGATTTTCATTTAAAATAGAAATATTTATAATTATAGTTCAAAAATTATTTTTACTTTAGTTAGATAATATATTCTTGGGTACCTTTCATGAGAGCTCCTTATAAATAAATAATAATTTATTAATTTTTTATATTTTAAGTAAATAATAATTTTTTTTTATTTATTTAAAATATAACAAACATGAGATTTGCCTTTTTTTGAAGAAGTATGTATACTTATTAAATGTAAATGTAAATGTTAAATAAATAAATAAAATAATGAAAAGTATGTTAATTAAAAAATTTTAATTTTGTAAATATTCAATATAATATTTTCAATTAAAATAGATAAATAAACATTTAGTTATATATCTGAAAATAAATAATTAACTTTCAAATTACAATTATTTATTATTTTCATATTTTGAATTTAGACATCGAATCATTAATCTGATGTGAAAAATAAAAATGGCGGATCCAATATGGCGGACTTTAAAATTGTTACTAGGTAACTTGTATAGAGTTAAAATTGATTTAAATAACAATTTTGACAAAATTTAAAACTAAAGAGTAAGTAAAAAAAAAATTTATTTAAGATAGAAAATTTTAGAAATGTGTATTTTTTAAAAAAATATTTTAAATATTCTTCTGATGAAAAAAATGGTTTATTTTTCTAGGTGTAACGAACGGTATCTTTGAGAGTTATTCGTTGAAGTTTCGTAAAATATGCTTTAAAGGCTTCGAACAACTTTCAACAGAAAATTTCCACCAGAATGACACATTCAATGTTCGTAACTTTAATCGTGTTCTGAATTTCAAATTTCACACATAAAACAAGTTCACAAAAAAAAAGAAAAAATTCGACAAAACCAAGATATGTATATATACTTAGGAATTTTTTACCTCTCATAATGGAAAATTCGAAAAAAATTATTATAATTAAAATATCTTAATTATATAATTAAACATATGACCCTGCGAAATTAGCGTCGACGCTCAGCGTCGAAAATGGGTTTTTGAGGCTTTAAGGGACGAAAATATTATATTACTAAATTCATCTCTTTTAATTATTTTGAAAGTTAAAAACTTTTTCAGAGTAAGCTGAAGCTAATCTAAAATCTAAATCTAAGCTAATCTAATCTAAAAGCTTTAAAAAAAAGAAAAAAAATTGTTTTATTCTTTTCGGTTTCTTGAGAAAAATTCTTTTCGACGCTTAGCGTTGACGCTGATCTTATAGGGCTCTAATTAAACTTTGTAAAATTATTATTAGAATACTTTATATAATTATAATATTCTTTTAATTATAGTTGCCACTTTTTAAATTAATTAAAAAATTACTATAATTTTTAAAATGCAACAAAATAATGAAAAATTATGAAATTACAAAATTATTTGTAATTAATTATTATACTATTTATATGAAAAATTATTTATTTATTCGAATTTATTTATTTATCAAATAATAGATATGATTTTTACAAAAATATGACATAATAAAAAATAAAATTTGTTTTCCTATTTGATTAAAAGTTATAATAAAAATTGTTGCCTTCAATTTTATTCTTTCAGTTTATTATCTTTTGAAGTTCATTTCTTGATTAAATAGGGAAAAGAAAATTAATTTTTTATGGTAATTTTATCTTAATAATTGTGTTTTCTTGTGTTTTAAACTTCGCTAAGAGTTTAAAAATTTTTAGTTTCTAATTGTATTTAATAGGTTTTTGAATTTTTCGAAAACTGAATTTTTTAAATTCTTTTTTTATTTTTCAAATTTGAAACTCGAATTTTGACTTTATAAAAAAAATAATATTAAAAACTTTTTTTTTTTACTTTGCGAATAGTTGGTTTCAATTCTCAAAAAAAATTGAATTTTTATGAGTTTTTGATTACTCTCAATTCCTTTAATTTGGATTCAATTTTTAGAAACTGAATTAAAATAATTTCATTCGAGATTTATTAAATTTTCTAACACATTAACAAAAAAAGTTATAAAAAAAATATTGAAAGTTCATAAAAATATTTTTTAGTTGGTTGCAAAATTAAATACTGCTTTTATATTTAAATTACATAAAATGAAATTTTTTATTTAACTATAAATAAAAAAGAAAGAAGTATTTAATAGTTATTATAATTATAACAATTAATTATTTATATTAATTATTAATATGACAATTTTAATTGAAAAAAAAGTTTTAATTTTTAATTTTAATTTTAATTTTTTTTTAAATTTTTTTTAAAATTTTTTTTTTTTTATTCTATTTCTATTTACAAAATGAAAGAGAGAGTAACAAAAACATAAAATTAATTAAAAAAGCAATGTTAGTTAATAGTTTTAAAAAAATAAATAATTAAAATAATTTAATACTTGAAGAGTTAATTTTTTTAATATACTTCCTTCTAATGCGGACACACTTTTGTATTCATACAAACGGAAGAAAATATTTTGCAACTCTCCGGAAATAATTTTTTCAAAGTTCCTGTGTGAACAAATTAACATACCTTGATTAAAGTTAATTTAAAAAAAAAAAATTTTTGATTTATAATTTAAAATTAATTTAAAATAAATATTTGACATGTAAAATTGTTTCACATTATAGTTGATTTATGAATAATCGATAATTGATAATTTTTCCTTGAACGATTCGTCCAACCTTGTCTGAAGGAGATCATAGTATTTAATGATTACGTTATTTTATTCTAAATGTAGCATTTATGTAGCTTTTGATTAAAATAGTATTGTAAAAATTACAAAAGTCACGATTTAAGAAAAAAAATGTTAAACTACATTTCTTTTTTAATATAAAAAAATTTTTTTAAATATAAATACATCACTGAGAATAAGAAAAAAGGTATTTTAAAAAACTTGAAAATCTTTTTAAAACTTAAATAATGTATTTTTAGTAAAACGAATTTTTTTAAAAATAAAACTGAATGTTTTATATACAAACTGCTTTTAGGATTCAAAATTTCGCAAAATTAATTTTTTTTTTTTTTTTTTCATCAATAATGTCATAATTTAATTAATTTATTTTTATAATTACATATGTAAATAGTAGTACCTCTTTTATGTCTCCGCGAATTTTTAAAATCAAATTTACGAATATTTATTTAAGCGGCAATTATTTCGAATGTATGTCGATTAAAAGTTCAAATTGTGATGATATCAATACAAGACGCGGCGGAATACTGAAGGTAAGGAGTCAAGGAAGAAAATAGGAAGGTAATTCTCTCGTGTCTCCACTACTATTATATAGCGAGATAAACACAAAACGCAAGCGCACTTTCTTTTAAGATTTTAATGTTTTTTTTATTATAAATCAAAAAGAAAATTAATATTTTCAAAATTTTATTTTAATTTACATTTAACAATTTTTTTAAATTTAATTTCGTTAATTCAATTTTCATTAATTTGTATAAAATATAAATTAGAATCTCCGTTATTTTATTGTAACTATTATTATTAATTATTAACTCTATTATTTTATTGCAAATCGAGGCCGATTTTTAAAAAATCGGCCTTTTTTAAAAATTAAAAATTTTTATTTATTTATTTATAAACATTGAAAAAAGCACTTTTTTCATTAAAATAGTAATTCTTTTGTAATACAATATTTGCATTCACCGCTTAAAGAAATAAATTAATATAAAATCATCAAAGAAACATTATCCACTTGGAAAAACAACATTTTTATATAAATAAACAATTTAGAGACTAAAAACTTGATTATTTAAAAGTTGCTATATTTCATTGTTTAAAAGATATATTTATGAACCAAAAAAAATATTTTATGATAACTGTAATTAAGATATTGAAAAAAAATTATTTATTAATTAATTTAGTAATAAACCAAGCATTTTTAATATAAACAAATAAACAATAGAATTTTTTACCTTATAGGTTTAAAATTAACAAACAATAATTGGATTCGTAGGAAAATTAAAAAAAAGATATAGCTGCTTTTTTCATTCAATTTGCAATTGTTTAACAATAATTGTTTAAACAAATTAATAAAAATAAATTTTTTTTTTATTTTATTTTTTTTTTCTTTTAACCTGACTTGGGGTGATTGATAATTTCAACTCTATTATTTTTTAAAAACTGTTGACACCAATCGATTCTGTATAGAAAAATTAATAAATTTCTGCGTAGGGGGTCATTTTTTTCTTCAAGTCGTATTTTGTTCATAAAATTGTTATAAATAAATTATTCTGGATAAAGGATATTTCATCAAAGGTATAAACAAATGGATTTTAAGTAAAATTAATAATTGGATTTGAAAAAAATATACTTGTTTTTTTCCAATTTCCAATTGGTTAACAATAATTGTTTAAAAAAATTAATAAACATTTACCAATTTTTAAAAACTATTGATGCCAATTGATTTTGTGCAAAAAATTAAGAAAGTTTTTGTAAGGATCATTTTTTTTTGTCCAAATCGTATTTTGCTCATAAAATTATTATAAATTTTTATTAATTTGTTTAAACTAATATTATTGTTAAACAATTGGAAATTGAAGGCAAAAAAAAGGTATTTATATAATTTATTTTATTTAATTTGAAAGCCACTGTAATTTCAACTGCTATTTTTATCACTTGATAACCATATCATTTAATCCTTGCATATAAAAAGATCTTCATGATTTGAATCTTGTTTCACGTAAAAAAAATAATTAAATTTCAAAACGTTTTCAAAATGAAATCTTTAAAAATTTTAAAAAAATATATAATAAAATTTAAATATATTTTTAACAATTAAATTTTTCTAAAAAATTATTCAAGTTTTAAATAATTTTAATTCAAATTCTAAAAAATAATTAAATTTTGGAAAAATTGCATTTTTAATTTTTAGAAATCTTTAAAAGGTAAATTTCAAAAAGTTTTTAAATTGAAATATTTGAAAACTTAAGACGCTGTAAAAGTATATATATAATAATATTTATTTTAAAATAAATTATTTTTCTGAAAAATTATTTAAGTTTTAAATTATTTTTCTAAAAAATTACGTAAGACATTTAGGAGGGAGGGGGGTCAGCAAGTTCATATTTTCAAAAAAAAATGTCGTACGTAATTTTTATATTATATATTTTTATATAATTATTTTTATATAATTTTTATACGTTATATTTTTTACGTAATTTAAGCCCCCAAATATGGAAATTTTGTCAAAAGTTTTATTGAAATAAATTTTATTTTTTAGAGAATTTACTTTTTTTTTTTACTTTTAAAAATTATTTAAAAATTATAATCGTATTTTTTGAAGAATTCTAACTTATAATTTGGAAAATAATTTAAAAAAATTGAATTTCTTCTCGAGAGATAATTACGAATTTATATAGTAAAGCTGGACCGGACGCATCGGATGTATACGTGAGCAACATTGTTGCTCTCTATCTCTCCTCTCTCTCTCTCTCGCTCTATTGCATTGCATCTCGTGGTATTTGAAGTGACAGTCCGATACTGACTGTAGTAAAAAAGGCTAGTATAGAAAATCCTCTGACTTGCTTAACACTTAAAATATCAGGTGTGTTATTATTTTCTTTATAAATATTCATTAATTCGTGTTATTAATTTTTAATTTTTTTCCCAATGTGACGCATTTAAAAAAACGAAAGTAATAATTGTGAAAAATTCCCCATTGTTTAAATACTTTTTTCTTAATTTGGGTAATTAATATAATTTCCTTTTGTTGTGGTGAACTTTTTCTTATATTCTTCTTCTCTTCTGCGTTGTGAATGAAATGTCTCTTCCTCTGGAATGTGATAGTCGAATTTCAAGGTGTCAACGTATTCTGAGTAGTTTATTATTTAATTTTTTATTTTTTATTATGTATAATTCGAAAATAAATTAATTTGATTTTCAATTGTGTTAAATTAATAATGAAAAATTTTAATAATGTTAAATTAATAATTAAAAATTTTTTAAATGTTAAACTAATAATTAAAAATTTTTAAAATGTTAACTTAATAATTAAAAATTTTTAAAATGTTAAATTAATAATTAAAAGTGTTAAGAATGTTAAATTAATAGTTACAAATTTTAAGAATGTTAAACTTTAAAAAAATTTGAACAATATTTAAAAACAACAATATTGATAAATTAATGATTAAAAATTTTAAAAATGTTAAACTAATAAAATTAAAAAATTTTAACAATATTTAAAATTTTTAATAATGTTAAGTAAATAATAAATCATAAACTATAAAGATGTTAAACTAAAAATTAAAAATTTAATAATGTTAACTTAACATCGTTACAATGATATATAAACCTAATTGATTAAATGTATTAGACAATTGCTCTGATATTATAATTTTAATGTAAAAGCATCAGCCTGTATATTCTTAAATAAATAAATAAATAAACTTAATATTTAAAAATTTTAAGAATGTTAAATGAATAATTAAAAATTTTCGGAGTGTTATATAAATTATTACAAATTTTAAGAATGTTAAACTAATAATTACAATGTGAAACATTATTTAAAATCATTAATGTTAAATTAAGAATTAGAATTAAAAAAATTTTTTTTTTAAGAATAATTGTAATTTTTTATAGCTATAATAATTTATTAATAATTACAATAATAACTAAAATAATTACTACTAAATAAAGTAATTTATAAATAAAAACAAAGTAAAATAATTAATAAAAATAAAAAAAAAATTATAAAAATTAATTAAAATATGTAATTTTATTTTTTTTCAAGACTATAGTAAAGACTATAACATAGGAAGCACTTCCCCTAATAAACTGGTCCAGACTGCATTCTCCTTTTGAATTGTGTAATTTAATAATATTAGATTACTGCATATATTCGCAATGTGTATATATGTTGGGAATTAAATGTTAGACAATAATGGCCCTACAACGATAATAATTGATGTCTCTATAAAGTGTCCAAATGACATCATCGAATATATAGAGACAGAGACTGTAAACCATATTCAGGCAACCCACACGAACATGTTTGTGACCTTAAACCGATTCCTCTGATGACGGTATTAAAGAAGATTAAATAAAATAATGTTTCGATCATGAAAATATGGGGAATATATTTATACATCATTATTATCAGCTTTTTCAATCTAAAATTATAAAACAACTTCACTGAAACGATACTGTTTCATTTTTTTAAATTTTTTCCCACAGAAATTTTTTTTTTTTTTTTTCATATTGTCATAAATTTTATAATAAAATGCTGAAGTTGACTTTTTTTTAAATTAGGAAAATAACATATAGTGAACAGTAAAAATGAAAAACAAAATTAATTTTAATTATAGGTATTCAAGGTTTATGAATTAATTTTAAAAAATAGTTAAACAATAAAAAAAAAGAGTTAAACAATTATAATATAATTTTAATATGCAAAATTTGTACGGAGACATTTTCTTCTGTAGGAAACAATTTAAATTTTTTGCTATAGATCCAAATTTTAAAAAAAATTTTTAATTCTTTTAAAATAAAATAACTTTTTTTTTGAAATAATTAAAGTTGTGTATGATTATTAGAAGTTATTTTTAAAATTTGCAGCATTAATGTAACGTCCCGCTTCAGTGCACGAGTATAGTTTCGCGTTTCACAATGGTGATCCATAACAATTGTATTCTCATTTTTCACATTGTTATATTTATTCCCTTAAATTCTATAACGAAAAACAAATTCTTAACCATTGTAACTTAATTCTTAAAACAAGGGAATTTTAATTGCTTTTAAGAAAGAAACTTTACTAACTTTTTAGTTACTGATGATTCCTATATACAATAGCACCTTTGGTCATGTTTCCGTCATCAGAAATTATAGTAACCATTAGTGCAGAATCTATAATAATTCTATTTTTTTAATTACAGAAATCTAAATGTAATATGCTAATGGAAAAAATGGATCTTGAAGAAGAACTGTTGCAAATGCATTCAACAAACGTTCAGAATACTAGTCTCTATAAATTACTTTTGGTGAGTTTGGAATCGGGACATTTTGCAGCCTTCAAGAGTTTTATTAACAAGGCTCTCAAAAAACATGATTCTGCAATTAATGTCGATTACATTTTTCCTGATCCCTATAATAAAACATTTCTGGACATTGCCTGCAGCGAAGGATTGAGAGATTTCGTTGAATTACTTTTAGAATTGGGTGCAAATCCCAATCGAATCAATGAATCATACAATCGAGCACCTCTTCACTTTGCAACAGAAAATCAACATGTGGAAGTTTTACAAGTAAATAATTTTTTATTATATGAAACTAAATTTGAATGAATTCAAGCATTACATTAATTTTTGAATTTATCTTCAGTTATCTTGATTTATCTTGATTTATCTTGATTTATCTTCAGTTATCTGAATCAAGACATGTTGATTTTAATCTAAATTTTGTTAAAGATTCTTTTGGAAGATCCGGCCATCAATCCCAATTTGGAGGTGGGACGTCAAACTGCTTTTCACATTGCAGTGAAGAACAAAGACTTGAAATGTGTCGAAGCACTATTGAGTGCCGGGGCAAGACCGGATATTGTTAATGCCAAAGGAATCACACCTCTTCATCAAGCAGCGTCTACAAAGCAGAAAGAACTCGTTCACCTAATTCTCAATACAAAATATCCCATTCCTCTTGATATTGATGCTTTTAGAGATTTTCGGGGACAAACTGCCAGGGATGTGTTGATACAAAACTTTCCCGAACAATCATTGCCTGAACAACAAAATCGAAAAATTGATTTCAATCTTCTGAGGTACTATCTAGACGCAAATGATGAGAAGAACTTTTTGGAGAATCTATCTCAAATTGATCAGAATGAACCAATTGATTTTTACGAACTGATAAAAATTGCTTCCGAACATAATTTGTCAGAGGCAATTGTCAAATTGATAAGTAGAGAGGAACTTGTGGAAATGTCAGAAGCAGCTGAGATTGCTGTACGACGGGGTCACTACGAAGTATTGAAGAAGATTCTCAACCATGACCGTCAAGTGGGAAAGAAATTGATTATAGTGGCTTGTCAGGAATTATCAACACCTTGTAGAAGAAGTGTGGATTATCAAAAAATAAGACTCAAGTGTTTGAAAATTATTCTGAAGCAAAAAGATATCGACGTCCGTATTGAAGATGGTAGGTAATACACAAAATTTTATTCTAATCCAAAAATGACCAGTAAACAAGTTGCATACCTTGGGGAAAGGATTAAATTATTTTTTACAAAATTGTAATCAAATTCTCATCAGAAGAATTTAATTATTTTTTTAAAAGTTAATAAAATTCAATACAATTAAATGTTTTAATTTCAACTATTGAAAAACGCGATTATTTAAAAAAATTAATAAAAATTCTTCGTAAAATTGAATTTCTATAAAAATTTTCAATTAAAATTATCAATGAAATTCCATTATTTTAAAAAAATATTCAAAGAAATTCATCAAAGAATTGAATTAGAATTATCAAAAATTTTACTAAAATTCTTCGTTAAAATTCAATTATTCTCAAATTTTTCAATAAATTTCTTCGAAGGAATTCAGTTATTTTTAAAATTTTATAGGATAAAATTCTTAACATTTTTTTAAATAATTGAATTTCTCAGATTTTTTTTAAATTTTTTGAAAATAATTAAATTCCATTGAAAAAATTTCATTAAACAATTGAAAATAATTGAAATTTGACGAAAAATTTTATTAATTTTTAACAAAGAATTGAATTCTTGTGAAAAATTTTATTCTTGAAAAGAATTGAATTCTTGGAAAGTAATTTTATTAAAATTTCATAAATAATTTATTTATTTATTTAGATGTATAATTGAATTTTTCATAATTTTTAAAAACTTTTTGAAAATAATTAAATTCCATTAAGAAATTTCAATGAAAAATTGAAAATAACTTAAAATTGACGAAGAATTTTATTGAATTTTGTCAAAGAATTAAATTCCTGTGAAAAATTATATTTTTGAAAAGAATTGAATTCTTGGAAAGTATTTTTATTAAAATTTCTTAAATAATTGAATTTCTCAGAATTTTTAAAAACTTTTTGAAAATAATTAAATTCCATCGAGAAATTTCATTAAAAAATTGAAAATAATTGAAATTATCAATGAAACTCCATTATTTTAAAAAATATTCGAAAGACATTCATCAAAAAATTGAATTAGGATTTTCAAAAATTTTACTAAAATTCTTCGTTGAAATTCCATTATTCTCAAATTTTTTAATAAACTTCTTCGAAAGAATTCAGTTATTTTAAAATTTTTGGATAAAATTCTTAAAAATTTTTTAAATAATTGAATTTCTCAGAATTTTTTAAAACTTTTTGAAATTTATTAAATTCCAATGAGAAATTTCATTAAAAAATTGAAAATAATTTAAATTTGACAAAGAATTTTATTAAATTTTTGTTAAAGAATTGAATTCCTGTGAAAAATTTTATTTTTCAGAAGAATTGAATTCTTGGAAAGAATTTTATTAAAATTTCTTAAATAATTGAATTTCTCAGAATTTTTAAAACCTTTTTGAAAATAATTAAATTTGATTGAGAAATTTCATTAAAGAATTGAAAATAAATTGAAATTTAACGAAGAATTTTATTAATTTTTTTTAAATAATTGAATTCCTGTGAAAAATTTTATTTTTGAAAAGAATTGAATTCTTGGAAAGAATTTTATTAAAATTTCTTAAATAATTGAATTTCTCAGAATTTTTAAAACCTTTTTGAAAATAATTAAATTCCATTGAGAAATTTCATTAAAAAATTGAAAATAATGTAAATTTGACAAGGAATTTTATTAATTTTTTTTTGAAATAATTGCATTCCTGTGAAAAATTTTATTTTTGAAAAAAATTGAATTCTTGGGAAGAATTTCATTAAAATTTCTTAAATAATTGAATTACTTCCAAGAATTTCATTTTTTACGAAAATAATTAAATTGTTTCGAAGATTTTCACAAACATTTTTGACAATAATTGTATTCTTAGGAAAAATGTTATATTTTACGTAAACAATTATATTCTATGATCAATTTTATTATAATTTTTCAAATTTATAAAGCATTTTATCAAAATTTTAAAAAATAATTGAATTCTCGAGAAAAAATTTATTATTTATGAAAATAATTGATTTCTTACAAAGAATTTTATTCAAATTTTTCTAAATAATTGAATTCACATAAAAAAATGTATTATTATTATTTGTAACAATAATTGAATTTTTAAGAAAAATAGTATTGAAAATATTTGAATTGTATATAGAAGACTTTATTGAAACTGCAATTTTATTAACTAAATCTTGTAAAGAATTTTTTAAAAAATTTTTTTAAATAATAGAATTTTTAAAAGAATTTTATTTAAATTTTGAATTCTTTCGAGATTCTTCATTAAAAAATTAAAAATAATTGAACTTGATTAAAATTTTTGAAAATAATTAAATTTTGAAGAAGAATTTTATTATTTATAAAGATAACTGAAATTTTGACCTGAATTTTTTAAAATTCTTTAACATAATTGAATTTCTGCTATCATTTGTGACTTCACCAAAATTCAATATTTTTTAAGTGTTTTTAACTAAAATTTTACTATAAATCCATTATTTTTAATAATTAATTAAATATATATGTATTAACAAATTTAACAAATTTCATAAGAATTTTGTTACTTTTAAAAATAATTGAATTTATTTAAGATGAATATTTTTATTTATGAAAATAATTCTTCATCGAAATTCAATTATTTTAAAAAATTTTAATAAAATTCTTGGCAAAATTTCACAGGAATTCAATTATTTACAAAATTTTTAATAAATTTCTTCGAAAAAATTCAATTATTTTCATAAGCAATAAAATTTTAACAGGAATTCAATTATTTAAAATTGTTTAAAATACAAAATTTCATAAAATTTTTCGAAAAATATTAAATATTTAAAAATATTTTTATAAAATTCGTCGCAAGAATTCAATTACTTAAAAAAAATGGAACAAAGTTCTTTTCAAGAATTCAATTACTTTTATAAATAATAAAATTCTTCACCGAAATTCAATAATTTTTATAAACTTGAATAAAATTCGTAGAAAGAATTAAATTATTTTCCAAAGTAATAAAATTCTTCTCAGAAATTGAATAATGTTTAAAAATTAAAAAAAAAATTCTTGTCAAAATTTCAAGTATCTTTATAAATATAATAAAATTTTTTATCAAAATTCAATTATTTTTGTAAATTTTAATAAAATTCTTGGCAAAATTTCACAGGAATTCAGTTATTTACAAAATTTTTAATTTCATCGAAATAATTCAATTATTTTCATAAATATAATAAAATTTTCACATGCAGGAATTCAATTATTAAAAATAAAAAATTTCATAAAATTTTTCGAAAAATATCAATTTTGAAAAAACATTTTTATAAAATTCGTCGCAAGAATTCAATTATTTAAAAAAATTTAACACTTCTTCTTTTAAGAATTCAATTATTTTTATAAATAATAAAATTCTTCGTAGAAATTCAATTATGATAAAAAAATAAATAAATTCTTGTCAAAGTTTCAAGTATCTTATTATAAATTAATAAAATTCTTTTTCGAAATTCAATTATTTTAGAAAAATTTTAATAAAATCCTTGGGAAAAATTTTAATTAATTTCATGAATAATAAAACTCATCGCACGATTTTAAATTATTCTTGGATACAATATTTTCATCAAATTTCTTGAAAAAATGTCATTATTCTTAAAAATTTTTTTTAAAAATTTGTCAAAAGAATTCAATTATTTAAAAATTTGTTGGTAAAATTCTTTAAATGAGAATTCAATTTTAACAAACATTCAAGTATTTAATAAATGATTTATTTTTTAATATTTAAATAATTGAATTCTTCTAGAATTTTCTAATAAAAATTGACCGAATAATCGATTTATTTTATTTATGAAAATAATTGAATTATTGACACGAATTTTCTTACATTTTTTTTTTTTTAAATAATTGAATTCTTTTGAGAAATTTTACTATACTTGTAAAAATAATTAAATTCTTGCCAAAGATTATACGTTTTACTTCGAATTTTGCAATAATATTTTAGGAGAGTATTCTTGACACTATAAGAAATCCGAAATTAAAAACAAAAAAGAATCGATTTTTTTGACATTTTGAACTGCATGGAATGTCCCCTTAAAAAAGAAGTTATTGGTTTTTTTTTTGAATAATTTTACAATTAAAGAAATTTGCAAATAAATATAATAGAACATTTTTTTGAGTATCTAATAATTTTTAGAGTGAATCAGAATATTTTTTAGGGTCAGGGAAAAAGTGGAAATCAGGGAAAAATAAAATTAAATATTTGTCGCAACCCTGATGTAACTTTTTAATGATTATTTTCGGATTCAGCAGGGTGAAAGCTATTCAAAAATAGTCTGCTTTTACTATCCCCTTCTGAGTAGAATTTAACCTTTTTTCAACATTTTTCTTTATATTATTCGACAGACAAAGGCAATACGCCATTACACTATGCGGCAAGGGCTGAAAATGCAGAAGCAGTGGATTTGCTATTGCAAGCCGGAAGTTTTATCGGTCATCTTAATCGACTAGGTGTTCCTCCTCTGGCTCACATGTGTCCCAAAACACTAGATAACTTCTTCAATTCCTGTATTAATAGCAATAATGAACGTTCGGACGATTATGAAATTAATTTTGACTATCAATGCTTAATGCCGAATGCATTGAAGAAAGATGGGGAGGAGCCACTCTTGGGTAGCAATCAAAGGAGTTCTGATATGAATTTTATGGAAATGCAGACATTACGCTACATTGCGGAAACTAAAGCACTGAAACATCTTCTGAAGCATCCGCTTTTAACTTCATTCCTATTTATCAAATGGAGCCGGATTCGTTACATTCTATACGTTAATTTATTTTTCTACCTTGTATTTTACGTATTATTAAATACATATATAATATTAGTAAACTCAAAGGACGGTGAGTTGAAGACTGATATCCTCACAGCGCAAGAAGGCACATTTTTGGCAGTGACCGTCATTGCGATAATAATCCTAGCTGTAAGAGAATTCTGTCAGTGTTTATCTTCACCAGGTATGGGAATCTTGTTTCTTTTACCATAAACCCCCGTAAAAAAATAAATCCCCAAAAAAAAAACTAAAAATTTATTATCACATTTTCAGGTCAATATCTAACAAGTTATGAAAATTGGTTTGAAGTGACGTTAATTATTTTGGCGGGAGTATTTTTGGTGAACCACAATTCGCAAATTGGAGCAATAGTCATACTGTTGTCAGCATGGGAAGTGGTGATTCTAATAGGACAACTGCCGAAAATGTCAACTGGAATTGAAATCTTCAAAACTGTTTCACTAAATTTTATCAAGTTCCTGATTCTTTATGCATTTTTGATACTTTCATTTGCGCTGGCATTCTTTATTCTGCTGAAAGACGATGAAAATCAATCATTTGTAACAGCGTCACAGTCAATTTTCAAAACAATTGTTATGCTGACGGGAGAATTCGAGGCTGGCGACATTCCCTTTCATCTGCATCCAGTACTGGGTCATCTAATATTTGTACTCTTCGAATTTCTCATCGCTATCGTTCTATTCAATTTATTAACCGGTCTTGCAGTTAGTGACACTCAGGAAATTTTGTCCGAAGCCGAACTTGTCAGCTTGATTTCAAGGTGAGCAAAACCATTATCCGTAAAAATATTTGTGGCGAGCCTATAAAAATATCAAAAAAATGACAATATAATCATTCTTGAAGAACTATCATAAAATTATTAAATAAAAAAAAAAATAAAATAAATAAAATAAAATTATTAAAATAAAAAAAATAAAAATAAATAAAATAAATAAATAAAATTATTAAAATTATAAATTATTTAATGAATAATTTTACTTAAATATATTTCAAAATTAATTGGATTTCAAAAAAGTTGCGTTTACAATCTTCATATATATATATATAAATAGATGAACTTCAAAAGGGTTTCAATTTGAAATTTTATAAAATTTCAATTTTAAATGATTTTAATTAGAAATTTTAAAGAACTTAGATTTTTGAAAAATGTTAATAATTCAAATTCTTCTGAAATTATAGTTAAATTTTTTAATATTTATTAAACTAATTATTAAAAATAATAGATTTATAGAAGAATTTTAGATATAAACACTAAAAAAATTGAATTTTGGAGAAGTTATAAATGATATCAGAAATTCAATTATTTTGAAAAATCAGCAAATTTGTCACAAAAAATCAATTATGTTAAGAAATTTTTAAAAATTCAGGTCAAAATTTCAATTACCTTTATAAATATAATAAAATTCTTCTCCAAAATTAAATTATTTTCAAAAATTTATCAAATTTTTCTCAAAAATTCAATTACGTTAAAAAATTCAGGTCAAAATTTCAATTATCTTTATTCAATTATTTTTACAAATAAATACATTTTTTATGGGAATTCAATTATTTTTACAAATATAAATACAATTTTTTAATGGGAATTAAATTATTTAAAAAAATTTGAATAAAATTCTTCGTAAGAAATCAATTATTTTCATAAATAATAAAATTTCACTCGAGAATTCAATTATTAAAAAAAAATTTTGTTCAAATTGCTATATAAATTTGAAAAATAATAAAATTGATTATAAAATACAATTATTTTCGTAAAATATAACATTCTTCCTATATGAATACAATTATTGTTAAAAATGTTTGTAAAAATCTTGGAAACAATTCAATTATTTTCGTAAAAAATAAAAATTCTTGGAAGCAATTCAATTATTTAAGAAATTTTAATAAAATTCATCCAAAGAATTCAATTCTTTTCAAAAATAAAATTTTTCACAGGAATTCAATTATTTAAAAAAAAATTTAATAAAATTCTTTGTCAGATTTCAATTATTTTCAATTTTTTAATGGAATTTCTCGATAGAATTTAATTATTTTCAAAAAGTTTTTAAAAAATTCTAAGAAATTTTAATAAAATTCTTCCCAAGAATTCAATTCTTTTCAAGAATATAATTTTTTACCAGGTACCCAATTATTTAAAAATAATTTAATAAAATTCTTCGTCAAATTTCAATTATTTTCAATTTTTTAATGAAATTTCTCAATCGAATTTAATTTATTTTCAAAAAGTTTTTAAAAATTCTGAAAAATTAAATTATTTAAGAAGTTTTAATAAAATACTTCCCAAGAATTCAATTCTTCTGAAAAATAAAATTTTTCACAGGAATTTAATTCTTTAACAAAAATTTAATAAAATTCTTCGTTAAATTTAAATTATTATTAATTTTTTAATGGAATTTAATTAATTTCAAAAAGTTTTTAAAAGTTCTGAGAAATTTAATTATTCAAAAAAAATTTTAAGAATTTTATCCAAAAATTTTATTTGAAAATAACTGAATTCCTTTCGAAGAAGTTTATCAAAAAATTTGAGAATAATTGAATTTCAACGAATAAATTTAGTAAAATTTTTGAAAATCCTAATTCAATTATTCTTTTGATGAATTTCTTTGAAATTTTTTTTAAATAATGGAGTTTCATTGATAATTTTAATTGAAAATTATTATAGAAATTAAATTTTACGAAGTATTTTCATTAAGCTTTTAAAATAATCGTGTTTTTTAATAATTGAAATTAAACATTTAATTATTGAATTTTATTAAACTTTTCAAAAAAAAAAATTTTATTCTTCTGAGAATTTTACTACAGTTTTCAAAAATAATTTAATTCATTAAAAAAATGTTATTAAAAATATAGAAAATAATTTATTTGATTATTGAATTTTATTAAAATTGTATTGAAAATAATTAAATTCCTGAGAAGAATTTTAATAATTATAAAAAATACTAATTTAATTCTTGCCATGAATTTTATTCCTTATAAAAATAATTGAATTGTTTTAAAGAATTTTTAAAAATGATTTTTTTATTTAATTTATTTAAAAAAGAAGTTGCTTCATGTTTTCGACTAATTTTTCAAATGAAAGAAATTTGTAAATATAATGTAATAGAACATTTTTTGGAGCATCTAATAATTTTTGGAGTGAATCAGGAATATTCTTCAGGGCCAGGAAGAAAGTCAAAATTTTGTCTGTAAATCAGGGAAAAAGAAAATTAAATTTTTGTGGCAACCCCGAGATCTAGTAATAAATAAAATTTGAGTAATTTTTATATTTAATATTCTTTCTTGCAGGACAAAGTTACTTTCATACATCGAAGGAGTGGCAGTGGGTTTGCCATTTTATCCCAAGAATTGTGTGGCCTGTTGCTTGCAACCAATTTTTCGGAGTTCGAGATTAAACCCTCTTTATTTGATTGCAAAGAGAATATTGGTGTTCAAAAAATTTTTGCCCGAAGGTAAATTGAGCGTGAAGCCATACAAGAATCATGAGATCGTGCTTCAGGGACGTGGAAGTTTTTCAAAAAAAGCTTTTCCAATACTCAAATTAGATTCGTCAATTACGACAAGTGCAAAGTCAATTATTGCTAAGAGGGAATATGTTTCGAAGGAGGATAAAATTATTTCCAAATTGGAATCATTTGATAAAAGACTGGATAAAATTGAGAGTCTTATTCTCAATTTGAGAGAAGCTTTAGAGGCGAGTAAAAATAATGACATCATCGACAGTTAGCTTCAGAGATGTTAATTATGTATTTTTGTATCTGCTACAATTTTATACAGAAAAATAAAAATATTATTGAAACAAAATTGAAAGATAGAAGCTAATGCAGATATTTTAATGCAAAAAATTAATTAAAGTTGATCACTACTTACCTTTTAATGAGATATTTATTGTGATCCTTAATATCTTTAATATCTTCTCTCATCTTTAAAGAGATGTTTAATAAGAATCTGCATTGAAAAAAATATGTTAGTAGATATACAGGGCCGGTTCTGGATACAGATTCCCTTACCGACATTTACCGACACTTGAAATAAAAATTGGTCTTCTCATTTTTTCTTTGTTTCTCTTTATAAATTTCTTGCATGGAATGGATTAGAACCATTTTTTATTTCAAATGTCGGTAAATGTCGGTAAAGGAATCTGTATCCCGAACCAACCCTGTATATCTAATTTAGATACAATTAATTTTGTAGTTTATATATATGTTACCGGCAAAGTATGTAATCAGGCATTTTATAAAATACCTAGGCAGTATATAAAATGCCTGTCTGTCTCAGGCAATGTGTATAAAAAAAAGATTTTCTATACATTGCCTAGGCATTATATAAAATGCCCACTAGACTTTAGGCAAAGTATAAAATTTAGTTTTATTTCAAATAATATACATTTTTCTGTTATAAAAATATTAACTTTCTTTTGTAATTTATTTGTTACAACACGGCATACTTGAATGACATTTCGACTGACACTGGACCTTATTTTTTATGCATAAATATTTGTTGCTTTGACAGTTTTTTACAAGAACATTTTACAAAACCTTGGCCTGTTCCTTTTTCTCGGTAGCTTTAACATTATTAACATCACTTATCAACTGCTTATACCGTTCGTCTGATAAAAATATACTGTTTTTTGCCATTGCATTTTTAATTTTAGAAAATTCGGAAAAAATCTATCCCTTGTCACTGAAACATTTCCTATTTCTGCACTCATTTTAAGTTCAAATTTATGTTTCTGCGACTGATTACCTCAAAATGTGAGAATTGACTGACAAAATTTGTATTTTCTGTTAATTAAGTATTATTCTTAAGAGTTAGAAATATTGAACTTCATTGTATAAAATTACTCACTGCTAACATGCAGCTATGTAAACATAGCTAAAATACTTATTGTTATATACTTATTATTTTCTATTTGTAATAGAAAAATCGTGGAAAGTGTTTATAGAAAAAGGTAGACGTTTCAAGCTGCTGAGACTATTATATACTTTACCTTATGCTCGATGGGCATTTTATAAAATACCTAGGAATTTTATAAAATGCCTAGGCAATATATGAAAAAATAATTTAATTATATACATTGCCTGAAATGGACAGGCTTTTTATATACTGCCTAGGCATTTTATAAAATGCCTGGATTTCATACTTTGCCGGTAACATATATATATTTTCTAACAGACTTTTAAGTATTTAAGAAAAATTTTTCAAAAATGTTTGTCAATTTACTATACAATTGAATGTTAAAATTTTATAGAATATATTTACAACAAAGTTGTGTATCAAAATGTTTATATCTTTAATAAAAAAAAAGAAAGAAAAATTTAGTTAGTCTTCTCAAATTTATTTTATAGTCCAAAATTTAATTCCTGATTCTATAAATCATTTTTAATTTCATATGGAATTGTCATTTTGACGAATTGTCACTTTTACGAAATATTGTTTTTACGAATTGTCATTTTGACTAATAATTATTGTTCCGAAATGTTATTTTTTCGAATTGTCATTTTTACGAAATGTCAATTTCAATTTTTACGAATTGTAACTTTTGACGAATTGACATTTTTACGAATTGTCACTTTTGCGAAATATTATTTTTACGAATTGTCATTTTGACGAATAATTATTGTTCCAAAATGTTATTTTTTCGAATTGTCATTTTTACGAAATGTCAATTTTCATTTTTACGAATTGTAACTTTTGACGAATTGACATTTTTACGAATTGTCACTTTTGCGAAATATCATTTTTACGAATTGTCATTTTGACGAATAGTTATTGTTCCGAAAGGGGCCGTTCAAAAAATACGTAACGCTTTAGGGGGGAGGGGGGGTCAAGCTATTTGTTACGGTCAGCAGAAAAAATGGCGCTAATGTATACAACATTGCGTTGCATGGGGGGAGGGGGGGGGGTCCAAATTTCCGAAAAATAGCGTTACGTATTTTTTGAACGGCCCCAAATGTTATTTTTTCGAATTGTCATTTTTACGAAATGTCAATTTCCATTTTTACGAATTGTAACTTTTGCGAATAGTCATTTATTCGAATTGTCATTTTTGCGAAAATTACTATAGTTTCGTAAAAATGATAATTAGAAAAAATGTCAGTTTGCATAAATGACAATTCGCAAAAACATAGAGTTATTAGAAATGACAATTCGTAAAAATGACAATTCGAAAAAACGGCAGTTCACATAAATGACAATTCGTAAAAAATGACAATTCGAAAAAATGACTTTTCGGAACAAAATAACTATTCGTCAAAATGATAATTCGTAAAAATGATATTTCGCAAAAGTGACAATTCGTAAAAATGTCGATTCATAAAAGTGACATTTCGTAAAAATGTCGATTCACAAAAGTGATATTTTGTAAAAATGACAATTCGTAAAAGCGATATTTTGCAAAAATGACTTTCCGCAAAAGTGGCAATTCGTAAAAATGACAAATCGCAAAAGTGACATTTCGTTATAATAACAGTTCGGATAAATGCAATTTATGAAAAATGCCAGTTTTTGACTATTTGACGAATAGTTATTTTGTCCTGAAATGTCATTTTTTGCAAATCGCCATTTTTACGAATTGACATTTTTACGAAATTTAATTTTTGCAAATCGCCATTTTTACGAATTGTCCAATTTTTGCGAACTGCCATTTTTCCCAATTGTCATTTTTACGAAACTATAGCAATTTTCGCAAAAATGACAATTCGAAAAAATGACTAATCGCAAAAGTGACAATTCGTAAAAATGGAAATTGACATTTCGTAAAAATGACTATTCGAAAAAATGATATTTCGGAACAATAACTATTCGTCAAAATGACAATTCGTAAGAATGATATTTCGCAAAAGTGACATTTCGTAAAAATGTCGATTCACAAAAGTGATATTTCGTAAAAAAGACAATTCGTCAAAATGACAATTCGTAAAAGTGATATTTTGCAAAAATGATTTTTTTGCAAAAGTGGCAATTCGTAAAAATGTCGATTCGCAAAAGTGACATTTCGTTAAAATAACAGTTCGGATAAATGCAATTTATGAAAAATGATATTTGGGGAATAATAATGCGTCTCTCCCGAGGATTATTTATTTCTAAACTATAAAGAACAAATTTCCGAAGATTTCAAGAAACAATTTTCCATTTCGTAAGAAAGAATAATTCTTATTCTTTCTGTAATAAATAAAAAATAGTTTTCTTTCGTGATCGAATATATAATTTTCTTGAAGTAAGAAATAGCAAATGTTGAACTTCCGTTATTATATTCATTTCCTAGAATAGAAATCATGAAAAATTGTAGACAAAAGAAAACTCTTTTTTAAAAATGTATTACAATAATAAGTGTATTGTGTGAATTTTTAAAAAAATAATTGCTTATATTCACCAGAAAAAAATTGATCTAAATATGTATACAATGTATGCAAAATGGAATATTCGACTTTCTCTTCCTCATACATTTTAACGTTCACAGAATTATGAATAAATAACGAACATTGATAAAAAAGAACTTAAAACGTTTCTTATCACGCATAGGGTTGAAAAAGTTTTTTTTAAAGTAAAATTCTTTTTATTTCCTCCACACTATATTATTTTTACAATATCCTAATATATAAAAACTGTAAATTTGTTACATGGAAAATTTTTAACGTAAAGTATTTTTAAATATTTGCCAAGATGCAACGTACAGGTACAGTGGAACCTCGATTATCCGAACCTCTGTTATCCGAAACCTCTATTATCCGAACCGAAAATCATTTTATCCGAATTTCTATTATCCGAACTTTTTTTTGGCTATCCGAATTTTAAAATTTATTTTCTCTATTTATTTTATTACTTATGTTTGTTTATGCCAAAAAAGTCTTAAAAAAATTATATATTGTGTTTTATTAATATATTATTATAAATTAATATATATACTTATATATCTTTGAAAAATGTATTAAATTAAATATGTACATATAGTTCAACTGTCCAATTTTTTTACTTTAATTATGAAAAACATTAAAACCTCTATTATCCGAATTTTCGATTATCCGAATCAGGCCGTGCCTAGGTTAGTTCGGATAATCGAGGTTCCACTGTATATTGAAAAATGACTGTTCTTTTGCTACTTTAAAGATAGCAATTAATAATTAATAAATTAAATTTCAATAACTACCGTTTTAGTTCTACGGAAGGAATTGTTTAATTTGGAGTATTATCGAATAAATAAAATGCACTTAGTAATAATTGGTCAGTGGCCGTATCAACCAAAATCGAAGGGCATTTTTGTGGCTACTGTACAAATTTCACTATTACTGAGTCTATTCGTACCGCAAGTATAAAAATCAGTCATTGTTACTTAATAAGATTCTTTTAAATCTTTAGTGCACCCGGGAAACCCAGATAGTGGATTTTGCTTTTGTGGTCGTTGATTGTGCATCTGAAGTTAGATATTCAAAATTCAAAATGGCGGATCCAATATGACGAACATTTTTTTTCAAAATTGATCAAATTTGCATAAAACTTATGTTACTCGAAGGTTTGCAGGGTTGTTGATTACGAATCTGAAGTCAGATTTTCAAAATTAAAATTGTCGACCCCTAAAACCTTGAATAACGACAGGTTTCAAGAGAACTTGCGTATTTTTTTAATAATTTACTTTTAGATGGTCTCAATAAAATTGATTATCGAACCAAGGCTTAGATGGATTAGATGGTTTAGATTGGATTCGCCATTTTTAATTTTGAAAATCCCGACTTTATAGATTCGTAATAAGCGATCCCAAGAACTTTCGAGGAACGAGTTTTAAGTGAATCCGCAACTATTTTTTAAACACAGAAGGGGCAGGATATTCTTGTCTGCAGCGCAGGACACGTTTCTTATATGCGGGGCTCTATTATTTTGAAAATAAGTAAATTTGTATTTTTTTTTAGTGCATTGGAATGTGGAATTACAGAAATGATGTCGATACACTTACAGAGTGTCTATCACCTGTTTGCGTGGCTTTTATAACTGTGACACTTATCCTAACGTGGACAATTAATAGAGATAAAGTTATAGATTTTTCATTAATTTAAATTTAATTTTTGAAACGTAATATTTTTAAATCTCTGGTTATATTAATAATTGAAATAATTAGATGAAACAACTATTGGAAGATATGATTGAAGACTGGGAATATTGGTCACCAAAGCCGGAAATAGAAATTTTACAAAAATATGCTATGGAAGGAAGAACCATAACAATTGCATATGCAAGTAAGCAAAACATAAATATTGTACTATTAAATTTTTGTGAATCTCCCAAATGGTCATATGTTGCAAACAAGAAGAATTTTTTGATTTGAAGAAAATTTAAAATAATTAATTAAGGTCATGTTATTTAGTGTAACGTATTCCTATATAGTTAAACATATGGAGCACGACGTGATCACTGAATAACGTTATCCTTAAGTTTTAATTTTAACTTTTTGAGATATGCTATTTTAATTATTTGGAGAGGTTGCCAAGACTATAGGGAACTTGTTTTGTTCTTTATTAACATATCTTTGTAACTTAATTTAATTAAAAATTACTAACACTTGCTTTTTTAGCCTATATTTATTCTACTGCAATTGCCTTTGTCAATTTACCTATGATACCTGTTATATTGGATTTGGTTAAACCTCTAAATGTATCGCGTCCAAAAACACCTCTTTACATTGCGGAATATTATATAGATGAGGAAAAGTACTTCTTTCCGATCATGTTACATCAATATGCTTGCAGCATAACATGTACAAACATGATAGTAGTTGTGGAAACAATGTTTATGCTCTATACACAACATGCTTGTGGAATTTTTTCAATTCTTGGGTATACTTTTAATTTAATATAAACTATTAGATTAATCCCTTAAGTGCAATGACAATATTATTTGACTTCCAAAATCTTTGCCATCGGCACTTAAAGGATTAAAATTATTCTCATATCTCATGTATGACCTTATCTAATAACCAATAACCATTCATTTGGACTTTGAAATTTAAATTTAAGACCGTCAGAGTAGAGATAAGTCAGCTAGCGTAAGCAGAGGGTTTAATTTAATTACAAACTTTTACTAGATCATATAGTAATCCTGATCTCATTTTTTTCTTTACTTGTTCAGATAATCTATCTAAAAGTAATGGGGAAAGATGGGAGAGGAATACCTTCATGTTTTAGTTGAACTATGATCCAGAATTATTCCATTACCATTTCATTGTAGTTACAAACTTCAACATTTGGTCGAACCAAAGAATGTTGATAGAATTAGGCTCAGAAAAGATATTGCATTTTGTGTTGAAATGCACAGGAAAGTTGTCAAGTAAGTATACTAATTTAAGATAAATCTTTTTAGCAGTTATTAAGTCTACTTTCAGAATTCTTTGACTTTAAAATTGTTCTGTCGTCAAGGAATTCTTGTAAATTTATTACCCTAATAGTAGTAAATTGTTGGATCGTTATAAAACTTTGTTAATTACTGTTAATTTTCTTTTAGATTCGTTGATAATATTAATGCATCATTTTCAACGGGGTTCTTCATCATAATGGGACTTAATACAGTATTGATGAGTGTTACTGGTGTGCAGGTGAGATTTTATCTATTCATATATTTTAAAAAAGTACTTACAAAATTCACCACGGTCTTCTATAATTAATAGTCGACAGGATTACATTTTTTCACATTCAGGTCATGCACAGCTGGTAGGCAGATAGGGAATGACGATAGCGCACGCCTTGTCGCGCATCTTCCGTCCCCACCACTCGCACTCGAAACTAAAATACGTAATAAGATAGAATAAAATAATAGGAAGGGACTTTTAATATTTTTTTTCTTTTTTAACTGTTGTATCTAGACGGCGTTGAAGATTGGGCAGCCTCGAGAGGGTTCAAGGTACGCTCTATTCACGGCGTCGCAAATGTTTCACTTTTTCTTTCTCAGCGTTCCCGGGCAGAAACTAATAGACCACAGTCTAGAAGTGCAGAAATATATGTAAGAATTTAGTATATACATACTTTGTACTAGCATTAAATTTAACATTTAACTATTTTTTAGTTAAATTTTTAATTTAATGCTGGTGCAAAGTATAATATATTATGCAGGGGCGGATCCAGCATTTACAATAGGGGGTGGCCAGGTTATATAAATATTTCAGAATAGGGGGTGGTCAGCTAATATATATAAATATAAAACAACATTAAATTAACTTGGAAGGGGGTGGTCATGACCTGCAAACCACCCCCCTGGATCTGCGCCTGATATTATGCACTTATTATTAGTTAAATATTTATAATTTGATGCTGCGGTGTAAAGGAGACGCATGATTATTCCCCAAATGTAATTTTTCCGAAATGTCATTTTACCGAACTGCACTTTTGCGAATAGTCATTTTTGCGAAAAGCCAATTTTGCGAAATGTCACTTTTGCGAATTGTCATGTTTGCGAATGGCCATTTTTACGAATTGTCAATTTTCCGAAAAGTCATTTTTGCGAATCGCCATTTTTACGATTTGTCAATTTTTCGAAAACTCATTTTTGCGAATTGTCATTTTTAAGAAATGTCATTTTTGCGAAAAGTCATTTTTACGAATTGCCATTTTTGCGAATAGTCATTTTTGCGAAAAGTTATTTTTACGAATTGTCATTTTTGCGAAAAGTTATCTTTACGAATTGTCATTTTTGCGAATCGCCATTTTTACGAATTGTCAATTTTCCGAAAAGTCATTTTTGCGAATCGCCATTTTTACGAATTGTCAAATTTCCGAAAAGTCATTTTTGCGAAAAATACAATAGAAAACTTGTAGGTTTATAAATTCACTATTGTATTTTTCGCAAAAATGACAATTCGCTAAAATGACTTTTCGAAAAATTGACAATTCGTAAAAATGGCGATTCGCAAAAATGACTTTTCGCAAAAATGACTATTCACAAAAATGAAAATTCGTAAAAATAGCGATTCGTAAAAATAGCGATTCGCAAAAGTGACAATTCGCAAAAATGACATTTCTTAAAAATGACAATTCGCAAAAATGGCAATTCGCAAAAATGACTTTTCGCAAAAATGACATTTCACAAAAATGTCTTTTCGTAAAAATGACAATTCGCAAAAATGACTTTTCGGGAAATTGACAATTCGTAAAAATGTCGATTCGCAAAAATGACTTTTCGGAAAATTGACAATTCGTAAAAATGACAATTCGCAAAAATAGCTTTTCGCAAAAATGAAAATTCGCAAAAGTGACATTTCGCAAAATTGGCTTCTCGCAAAAATGACTATTCGCAAAAGTGCAGTTCGGTAAAATGACATTTCGGAAAAATGACATTTGGGGAATAATCATGCGCCCCGGTGTAAAGTATATTATTATACTATACTATAATATGCTAAAACTTTGTAATATAATATTATAAATATTTTTTTAAAGATATAACAGTCCCTGGTATGAATTACCTGTTGAGGCACAGAAACTATTGCTTTTTATGATGAGAAAAACATCAGAACCATGTGAATTTGTTGCTGGAGTTCTGTTTCAATTTTCTATGCAGACCTTTGCGTCGGTAAGGGATTATTTCTCTTTTTTTATCATTTATATTTTGTTCCAAGTTTTCTTAATTTTGGATCATAAGTTCCATTTCCAAATCGTAAGAAATGTTATATTTTTTAGGTGGTACGAATGTCGATGTCTTATTTTACTGTCCTATCGTCGGTAAATTAATAAAGTCAAGATTATTTCCTAATTAGGTAAGTAAATATTATTCGAGATTTTCCAGTTGTAAAATCCCATTGAAATAATTATGCCTATTTTTAGGCTTTATTTATAATAAATAAAGAAAAGACAACTTTGAGGGTTAATACACTGTGACGTGGATTTCAATTAATTTTAGAATTTACTGACATTATTTCTCTATAGAAGTAAAAATATACTATTTTGAATATTTAATCGGCTTTTTTATCACACTCTAGAGGTCGAAAAAATAGGTGTTTTTTGAGAATTTTTTTAAAGCAAACTACGAAGGCAATCAAATAAATTATGATCTGAGGAGGACTTTATTGTACATTTATTAAAGTGTAAAAAATATAAATATTAAAAATTTCTTATTCTTTATAACAATAGCTAAAGGAAAGCGTAGGATTTTTTGCATAAATATTGATTTTTCGCCGATTGGTGTACTTCTAAATTTTAGTTATAAAAATTTGCCAAAAAATTGATTAGTAAATTGTTAATAACAAATGATCGATGCAATAAAAAAAAACTCCTACGCGTTCCTTCAGATAATATATTATTAAAGATGTGTGCAAAATTTGAACTTAATCGGTTGAAAATTGTAAAAATTATTGATGCGGCCAATTCGAAAAATGTAGTTTTGAGATAATCGCGTTTAAAGTTTTAAATTGTAAAAAAGCATACAAAATTTTTAAATACCTTTAATCTGCAATACCTGCACCATATAATTGTCCTTCCTGATTAAGGTCCTTATCTTACTCTTATCTTACTTGAATACACTCTAGTCACTAACAACTTTGAAAAAATCTGCTGTATACCTGCGTAGACCCTTCTACCCCTTTTAATTAATTAATTAAGGTAACATATTACACAAGGTTCATGGACTCGATCCTGCGAACAAATTCTTAAAACTAAAACGTATCATTACACATTGATTATTATTATTAATATTAATAATAGACAAAATATAAAATTATAAATAGGATAGGACAGGATATGATTTTTTCTATAAGAAATATAAAAAGGATGGAAAAATAAATATGTTTTAAACAAATTCAGAAAATACTAAGTATTTATTGTTATTCATATTATTTTCATTAATGCTCATAACTCTAGTAATATTATTAAAAGTATACTTATTTTTATTATCATTATTATTATTATTATCATTATTAACTTATTATCTAAATTATTCAAGCTGAAAAAAATTCTATAAGAATTTTTCTGCGTACTACAAAAAAACTATATCAATATTATGCACTAATCGAAGATTTCTATAATGCGTGTTTTACAAAAATTACTTAAATATTTTATATAATATACACGTTGCTAAAGTAGAAGACATTCAAATTTATCTTTAAAATAACTTTGAGCAGAATGCAACTGTTTTATGAAAATTATAGAAAAGACAACTTTTATGACATTTTTTTTTCGAAAAAATGTTCTAAAATGACAATAAATAAAACTATTTCAATTCACTGTGAATTGGAACATTTACATTTTTTTTAATAATAATCTTAAATATTTATTTAGATGAATATTTTTTTTTCGCCTAAAAATTACTTAGACTTAAATACTTATTCCTGAATAATTAATATTTCTGTTTAGATGTAATTTTTGTTTAGAGTAAACTAAAATTTTCTAAATCCAAACAACCGAAACATGATAAATATAATATTAATATTTCTCTTATTTTATTTCCCTTTGCAAAAATATTTCTAAGATGGAAAATGATATATTTTTGAAAAAGTTGTCTCATTAAAAGGTCTACAAAATTAATATCATTCCCATTAATCTTTTTATGGGGATTTTTTTAAAGACCGGAATAAATATCCGTTACAGTTTGCTGTTCGAACAATTCCGATTGTAATGCATTGAGAAACATTGGAACACTTCGTTGAACTTTTAAATATCTCTCAATTAGATTGTCCAATGTTTCTGAATATGGAGTTTCCAAAAGATTTACACCGTCGTTACTCATTTGAAAGAATAAAAAGTCGTCTGGAGACTCGGCATATTGACTGGACAATTTATACATTCCTTCTTTCGTTCTATCAACTTTCCAAGCAAACAGTTGATAACACGCCTGGCGAAATTCTTGAGTAGAAGATTTAAACGCCTCCTTTAGACGTGTAATTTTCAACTCGTGCGATTGCTTCAGTTCTGCTATTTCTATTTTTGTTTGAAATTTTCAAGATTAAAGAAAATGGAAATGGAAGAAGCTAGAAGTATTACTTTTACAAAATAATTCTCTTTTCATATATTACGGACTTTACGGACTTTAAACAATTTTTTAAATAAAATTTCTTGCTAAAATTCAATTATTCTCAAAAATAATAAAATTTATCGCAGAATTTCAATTATTTTTTTGTACAATTTTAAATAAAATGATAGAAAATTGCATTTATTTTTGAAATTTTTTTTTTTTAAATTCGCCGAAGAAATTTAATTATTTGTAAAAATTTTTGATCGATTTCTTTATGTTTTATAATAATTTAAAATTACTTTCATCACTTCAATAATCAATTATTGTTTTACAGAATTTTTAACTAAAATTCTTCTTTAAATTAATTATTATTAATAATTTTTGAAAAAGTTCTCTGAGAATTTTAAATCCTTCTGTTTACAAATCAATTTTACGAAATTCCATCGATTATTCGGAAATTATTCAATCAAATATATATTAGAAAATAAAAACTTAAAATAACTTAAAAAAAATTCAATTGAACTTTTACAAAAAAAATTTAATCTATACACAATTTTAAGTTAAAAGTATGAAAAATTCAAACATTCAAAGATTATAATTTGAAACCTTTTCAAAACTTAATTATTATCTAAAGTTTTAACTGAAATTTCATATTTGAATCAATTATTATTAGAAAATTCTACGAAAATACAAAAAAAAATAATTTATTGAAGAATTGAATGTTTTTTAAAATTGAACTCTCATTTAAAGAATTTTATCAACAAATTTTTAAATAGGTAATTAAAATTCTTTTGAAGAATTTCAATAAAATTTTTAAGAATAATTTCATTTTTCGAGAAATTAGATTAAAATTGTATTAAAAATAATTGAATCTCTGTAAAAAATTTGATTGAATTGAGAAAAGTTTTTGAAAATAATTGAAATTTTACCAAGAAGTTTATTAAAATTTTTGAAAATAATTGAATTTTGAAGAAAAATTTTAATATTTATAAAAATAATTGAAATTTTGACAATAAATTTGTTAAACTTTTCATCATAATTGAATTTCTGCGAAGAATTTTATTACCTTTGAAAATAATTGAATTCTTGAGACGAATTTTTTTTAATAATATTTCTTTTTAAATACCTAATTATTTTTAATATACAAAAATAAATAATTTATTAAATAATTGAATGTTTCTTAAAATTGAATTCTCAATAAAGAATTTTATGAACAAATTTTTAAATAATTGAATTCTTGTGACGAATTTTAATAAAATTTTAAGAATAATGACATTTTTCGAGGAATTCGATTAAAATTGTATCAAAAATAATTGAAATTCTGCAATGAGTTTTATTATTTATGAAAATAATAATTGAATCCCTGTAAAAAATTGTATTACATATTTATAAAAATAATTGAATCTCTGTAAAAATAAATTGAATATTTTTGAAAATAATGGAATTATTGCAAAGAAATTTATAAAAAATTTGTAAATAATTGAATTACTGTGAAATATTTGTTATTTGTAAAAATAATAAAAGGTTTGCTTAGAATTTTATCAAAAAAGTTTTTAAAATAATTCATTTTCTTTGGAAAATTTTATTCAAATAGTATATATTGAAAATCATTGAATGAAGGAGAATTTTTGAAAAAAAAATTGAATTTGTTAAAAGGAATTTTATTAAAATTTTTAAAAATAATTGAATTTTGGAGAAAAATTTTTATATTTATAAAAATAATTGAAATTTTGTCAATAAATTTTTTAAACTTTTCATCATAATTGAATTTCTGCGAAGAATTTTATTACTTTTGAAAATAATTGAATTCTTGAGACGAATTTTATTAAAATGTTTTTTTAAATCATTGAATTCTTTTATGAAATTTTATTGAAATAGAAGATATTGAAAATAATTGAATTTTGATAAATTATAGAAATTAATGAAATTTCTACAAAGAATTTTATTAAAATTATTTTGAAAGAAAAAAAATTGAAGTGTTAAAAAAATTCCATTAAAATTGTATTAAAAATAATCATTATTATTATTATTATTATTATTATTATTATTATTATTATTATTATTAAAATAAAAAGAAGTTAATTAAACTGACCTTGTGCGTGAAGAGAAGAAGTTCCGACAGTGCCACCAGTTCCGGTACTGTCTTTTGCGCGCAATTCCTCAAGTTCACGTAAAAGTGCTTTTTGCTTTTCCTCAGCTTCCTGTTCAGCAACCGCCTGGGGATTCATGCGAAAATGTAAAATTCGTGAATTACAATTAAAATCACCTTTCAAAGCACGATGTTCGAGTTCTCCTTTTAATTTCTCAACCTCGTCTTGCAATTTTCTGAATTCTTCTTTCTGTCTTCCGGAATCGATAACCTCTAAATCGGTCTCCAATCTGGCGACTAATTCCCTAGAAAAAAAAATATGCCAAAGGAATAAATATTTCTTTTTTTTTTAAGAAAGAAAAGTAGATATTTACCTATAACCCTCCAGAGCACGTTCGAGTGAAGGTATTCGCTCAGCCATCAAATTATTTGGATCGGAAATTGTAACTTCCTTTTCGTAAAGATCAAGTTGTTGTCGATAGCTGTCTCTCTCCCTAGTGATGAGCATCATTTTCTTCTGCGTTCTACTTATTAGTTTCGTCATTCTCTCGCACAATATTGTCTTGTCCGAGAGGAGTTTTTTCGTCTCATCACATTTTTCTTGAAGACTTTGACATTTTCTTTCGAAAGCTTCGACTTTAGATCGAAGTTGACCTTCGTCTGAGGTTAAAACCGCCTCCGCTTGTTGAAGCCGATTCAGTTCTCGTTTCAAGACAGCGGGACCGCCGGAAAATCCAATTGATTCATATTCCGAGAGACGATCTGATAATTCGATGCATTTTACTTGAAATTGGGAGACCGTCTCTTCCATTTGCTCCATTCGTTCCATTCTGGAAATTAATTTCTTCGATAAAAAGAACCAATGTTGCTATTAAAATTCCCTGACTTTTCCAGGTTAAAAAACGCAATTTTTCCAGGCTTTTTAAAACTATATTTATTTTTTACCAAATTAAATAACTAATAAATTCTTATAAACTAAATATATAACTATTATTATTTTTCCAACGGAATTAAAATTTCCAAAATATTCAAATTCAAAACCTTTATAAAAACATAAAGAATTACAGATGAAAAAATCATTATTTTATATCTATTATAAAAATATTATTACTGTAACTTCTTCAAAATTATTTTCATCATTTCAATTTAATTATTATTTTCTAGGATTTCCAACTAAAATTCTTCATTTTTTAAGCAATTATTTTTAATAATTCTAAAATTTTAATAAATCCTTCTAAACAATTCAATTATATTTTTTAAACAGTAAAATCTTTACAAAAATTTAATGATTTTCAAATTCAATTTTAATTAAATTCGTCAGGAGAATTCAATTTTTTAAAAAAATTTTAACGCATTTAGAAAAAATTCAATTATTTCCTAAAATTTTAATAAATTCTTCGAAACAATTCGACTATTTTTATAAACACTAAAATTCTTTGCAGAAATTAAATAATTTATAATCAAATTTAAATGGTAAAATTACAGGAATGAATTTAATTAATTTCAAAAATTTCTATAAAATTCAATTTCAACAAGAATTTAAAATTCTCGAAAAATAATTTAATTATTCTCAAAATACTTTTAAAAAATTCTATATAAAAATTAAATTACTTTCAGTGCAATTTTTAAACATATTCATAAAAAAAATTGAAAGAATTAAATTATATTTATAAATAGTAAAATTCTTCGTAAAAATTCAATTATTTTTATAAATAGTAAAATCCTTTGCAAGAATTCAATTATTTTCAAAACAATTTTTATTGAATTCCTCTAATGAATTCAAAATATTCTTAAATATTTACATAAATTTCAATTTTATTTCCCAAAATTCTAATAAATTCTTCGAAACAAATTCAACTATTTTTATAAATAGTAAAATTCTTCCCAAGAATTCAATTGTTTTCAATTCAATTTTAATAAAATTCTTTTTCATAAAATTCAATTCTTCAAAAGAATTTAATTAGGATTTTGAAAAATTTTAATAAAATTCTTCGCGAGAATTTAGTTTTTATTATTCTTTATTCATGAAAAGAATTAAATTCCTACAAAGATTTTTACAAAAAAAAGTTTTTAAATAATTGAATTCTTGGGAAGAATTTTATTAAAATCTAACAGAATAATTGAATTATTTCAAAAAAATCAAATTAAAATTGTATTTAAAATAAAAAAATTTTATTAAAATATATTGAAAATAATTATTAAATCCTTGTGAAAAATTCTAATATTTTTGTGAATAATTGAATTCTTCCAAAGAATTCTGAAAAGAAAACATTTTTTTAAATAATAATTGATTTTTTCCAGGAATTGAAATCAAATTTTGAAGAATAATTACAATTTTCGAGGTATTTGATTAAAATTGCATTCAAAATAATTGAAATCACGCGATGAATTTTATTATAAATTTATGAAAATAATTCAATAGTTGGAAAGAATTTTATTAAAATTTTCAAAAATAATTTAATTCCTAACAAGAATTTTATTATTTATGAAAATAATTAAAATTCTACATAAACAGAATTTTATAAACATTGTTTTAAATAATTAATTTTTTTTGGAAATATAATAATTATGAAAATTTTATTTTAATAAAAAAAATTTTAAATTCATGCTTACCGTTGATTTAGGGTCGAAATTTGCTCTTCAAGAATTAATTTCCCCCTGACGGATTCTCGCAAATTGGCGATTGTCTCCTTCGCTAAATTTAATTCCTTCTCAAGATCAGCTGCCTTGGCGGCTTTTGATACCAATTGCATTCCTTCCTCCCAAAGTCCACGTTCCCCTTCTAATCTTTCAATTTTATTATTTAGATTTTGTATTTCAACTTTTTGCAATTCAATTTCCTGCTCGGTGCCAGTGGATTCTTTCAATTTTGCCTCGAGTTCAATTACCCTACTCTCGGTAATTTCTAATTTTAATTGCAACTCTTCAACTTCGTCGTTGTTCTTATCTGGTGACATTGAAGATTCTCTCTCGGTCATTTCTCTCAATTCTCTCATGAGTTCGGAATTCTCGTCTTGTAAAGCGGCAATTTCATGTTCTAATCTAGATTTAACCTGGAAATTAATATTTTCATTCAATATTTAGAATTGAAAGAAAAATACGAGAAGAAATAAAATATATTTAAAGATTTACTTGAAGTAAATCCTTTTCGGCCGTTGCTTGTGAGTCGCGTGCTTCCTGTAAATTTCGTCTGCCAACATCAATTCTTAATTCTAATTGATTAATGACCTGTTTGTCTTGATCGATTTGCAATTCTAAAATATGTTTCTCTTTATCGAAAACTTCCTCCATTTCACGACGTAATTTATGTAATTGTTCAACCGTCGCTTCCTGGTGAGATAATCGAGCTTTTAACGAAATCATCTGTAAGGAAGAAATACATATTTAATCATTATTATTTTTCCATAAGAATTAAAATTTTTATTTAAATTTTTTTTTTTTTTTATTTTTTTTAATTTTAATTTTAATTTTTTTTTTTAATTTTTAAATCGATCTTTTCGAGTCTTTGACTCGAAGCAATCGTTATCTTCATGTTTTATAATAATTAATAATTTATAATAATTCCAGACCTCGGATCGACTTTAACGAACAAAAAAAGTCGCTTTAGTCAATTAAAAATAGAAAAAAAGTCAATTTAGTGTTGTCACAAATATTTTATTTTCTTTCTCCCTGATTCTTCACTGATTTCTAAATTCAATTAATCAAAACTTGTATAATTTTTCTAAATAAAATATTTAAATAGGTACATCTTATTTCTTTTTTCACCAGAAAATAAAATTTAAAAAATTTCAAATTCTGAAATTTAATACATTTCTAAAAATTAAAACTATTACAAAAATTCAATTATTTTCTACAATTTTTAACTAAACTTCATTTCTAAATCAAATTATCTATATTACTTTTTAATTCTTTTCCGAAAGTTCTTCAAGAATTCAATTATTTAAATACAAAAATTCAATTTTTTTTATAATAATCGAAACCGTTCATTTTTCTTTTTTAAAAGACATTAATGTAGAATATATTCAAAAATTTTAATAAATAAATTCGTAAAATTAACTTTTTTTAAAATATTTCTAAATAATTTTTGAAAGACGCAATAATTTAATAATTACATAACAATTAAAAAAATTTTTTTGAAAAAATTGAAATTTGGTAAAATCTTTTTAAAAGATAATTTAAATTTAGTAAAATCTAATTGAAAAATAATTAAAATTTACAATAAAGTATAATTAAATTCCTTAAAATAATTAAATTTGGCAAAAGTTATTAATAAAATTTCTGAAAATAATTGAATTTTGCAAAGAGTTTTATCAAAATTAAAGATGGATTAGAATTTTAATAAAATTCAAAAAAAAAATTGAATTTTGCAAAGAATTTTATTAAAATTCATGAAAATTGAATGTAGACAAAAATTTTTATTAAAATTCCTGAAAATAATTGAATTTTGCAATACATTTTTTTTTAAATTCCTGAAAATTCATGAAAATAATTGAATTTTGCAACGAATTTTAATAAAATTCCTGAAAATTGAATTTAGACAAAAATTTTATTAAAATTTTTGAAAATAATTGAATTTTGCAAAGATATTATTGAAATTATAGATGAATTAGAATTTTAATAAAATTCCAAAAAAAAATTGAATTTTGCAAAGAGTTTTATTAAAATTCATGAAAATAATTGAATTTTTCAATAAATTTTTTTAAAATTCATGAAAATAATTAAAATTTGCAATGAATTTTAATTAAATTCCTTAAAATAAATTTGGTAAAAGTTTTTAATAAAATTTCTGAAAATAAATGAATTTTGCAAAGAGTTTTTTATTAAAATTATAGATGAATTACAGGATTCCTACAGAAATCCGAATTGATCCGAATTTAAAATTCCATTTCTTTTCCATGTTTTCCAGGTCAAATTTTTACGAAATCACAGTGGAATTTTAAATCTAATTTCATTATTTTTGGGCTCTTTAAAATAAATACTTATTTAAAAGTCTCGACTCTTTAGTAAAAAATCTAAAATTATCAAAAATTATAAAAATTTGAAAAACCGAATTTCTTAAAATTCAACATTTTTCCCTCTCTTTGATAGTATTTTAGCTTCATTATTTTTGGGCTCTTAAAAAACACTACTTATTTAATAGTATATAATAAATAATAAAATTTATTTATAAAAAATAAAATTTAATTTATTAAAATTCCTGAAAATAATTGAATTTTGCAAAAAATTTTTTTTAAATTTCTAAAAAATGGAATTTAGACATATAAATTTTATTAAAATTTATGAAAATAATTGAATTTTACCAAACGAATTTTAAAAAATTATATAATATGACACTAAAATTATAAATCCAAACAAAATAACAGCACAATATGTAAAAAAAATAATTAAAATAATTAAATTTTGCAAAAAAAATTTATTTAACAAATAAATAATTGAGTTTTTAGAAAATATTTTAAAAAATAATCAAATTTTTGCTGAATTCTAATTAATAAATAATTTCTCAAAAATTCTAAACTTTTTTCAAAACTATTTTAATATTTTCATTTTTTATCGAATTTACACTTGAAGATTATTCATTTAAAATTTTTAAAAATTCAATTATTTACAAAATTTTCAATAAAAATTCTATAATATAGTTAATTTTTAAAAATTATAATAGAATACTTAAAAAAAAGGATTTATTTTCAATTAATTTTACTAAATTTCTATTATTCAAAATCTTTTTAATTTGTATATTTCAAAAATTTAATTAGAAAAAATTTTCAAAAATAATTCTCGAAAGATTTATTATTTAATAATGGAAATCAATTAAATTTCTACGAAGAATTTTATTAAAATTACGTATTATTTTGAAAAAAAAATTGAATAATTAAAAAGAATTTGATTAAAATTTTTGAAAATAATTTAATTCTTTTAAGAAATTTAATTAAAAATGTAGATTGAAAATAATACTTAAATTCTAATAAATAAATTATAGGAAGGCTTTTTAAAATAATTGAATTTCTTTGATGAATTTTAATAAAATTTTTATGAATAGTTACATTTTTCGTAAAATTTTATTAATAATAATTGATAGTCTGCGATGAGTTTTTATTATTTATGAAAATAATTGAATTCCTGGTAAAATTGTTATTCTTCTAATGAAAATAATTGAATTATTAGGAAGAAATTTATAAAAAGTTTTTAAATAATATATAATTCCTGTGAAATTTTTATTATTTAATTAATTCATTGAAAATTGAAATTTTCTAAAATTTCAAATTAAAACCTTTTTAAAAGTTCATCTATTTATAAAAATTGTATAATCGCAACACTTTTAAAAATTGAATTAATTTTGAAATATTTAAGTAAAATTAGATTTCAACTTTTTTTTTTTTTTTGCTAAGTAGATAATTTTTGATTTTAATAAAATGTATAGAAAATTTGTATAGAATATCAAAGATGGAAATATTAATTCAATATCAAAAATTAATGAGTTATTTGAAAAGCATCAGTAAAATAAATTAAACTCACTTCGCCCTTTAAACGTCTCCATTCCCAGGGACTCTTAGGAACTAGATCAGTAGATGAGGAATTAAAAGAATCGTCCAATTTTGCACGTTTCGGAGATGCTCTGCCTTCATCTTCTTTAATGGTCCTTGACTGCGACAAATCACTTGAAAGTCGCAGTGGAATTCCGGTGCTACGTTTGTAAGCATCCGTTCCAGATCTTAAGTCTTTCAGCATTTTTAAGACACATGTTGGATCTTCATTTGACATCTAGTGGAAATTATTTTTATTTATGTATTAATTATTATTATTTATTATTATTATTTTATATATTAATAAGATATTTTTGATTAAATAAATTGAACTTTCGAGTAGCACTGGAACAATCCTGCAGTAATAAGTTTAATTCTAAATTTTTTTAAATTCAATTAGGTATTTTCCAAATTTTCAATTAGAATTCTTCAAAAATACGATTTTATTTCAAAATAATTTTTAAAAGTAAACAAATAAAAAATTCACTAAAATAAAAAATTTATTTCAATGAAATTTGACAAAATTTTCAATTGTTCCAATTTTTTAAAATTAGTTTCGGAAATACAATTATTTAAAAAAAATGTTAATTACATTTGTTTAAAAAAAAATTGTTTTCGTAATTTCTAAATTAAATTATTTAAAACTTCAATACTTTTTGTTGAAAAAAAATTTTAAAAACTTACTTTTATTTATTTTTCCACAGGAATTAAAAGTTTCAAATAATTTCAATGAAAAACCATTTTGGAATTTAATTATTTCTAAAAATTGCAAATGTAATTCTCCTAAAATTCAATTATTTTTTTTTAAATTTTTAATTATAATTGTTCAAAACTTTAAGAATTTATAAAAAAAAAATAATGTAATTAATAATTTTTTAAAATAAAAATTTTAATATTTTTTGCTTCCCTTAAGTTTTCAAAGAATTTAATTTAAAAATCTTTTGAAATCAAATTCATTCCTACAAATTTATGTTCAAACGCTTTAAATATTTAATTATTTTTTTAAATTTTAACTGAAATTTTTTAAAATCAATTCCTATCAGAATTCAACTACGAGAATTAAATTATTTAAATAGAATAATTTTTGTAAATTCATAAAAAAAATATTTTTTAATAAAAATATTTTCAAAAATTCAAAAAATTTATAGAATAATTTTCACAGATGAAAAAATAAAATTCTTTGGAATATAACATTTATTTTAGTAAAATTGTACTGAACTTAAATTGTTTCAATTTTTAAAAAATTATTTTCGGGAATTCAAGTATAATTCAAGTAATTTTGCAAAAAAATTTTAATTACTGTTTTTCAAAAACGTAATTTTTTACAGAATTTTCAAATTTCAATCATTTTTGTAAAATAAATATTTAAATATTACTTATTTTTCTTTATTTGCTTAAAATTTCGAAATACTTTCAATCTAAAACCATTTGAAAAATTTTTAGGAAAATTTTAACTGCAAATCCTCTAAAATTAAATTTTTTTTAGAATTTTCGAATTTTGTATTCAAAATTTCTAATTTTTAAGGAAGCTAACACATTTATTTTTTATATTTAAATATTATTATACATTCACAGCAATTAGAATTTCAAAGATTTCAATTTAAAAACTTTTTGAAATTTAATTATTTCTAAAGAATTCTACTTTAACACTTTTAATTATTTTCTTAAGTTTTAACTAAAATTATTTTTTTAATTCAATTCTTATCAAAATTCAACTACAAAAATTCAATTATTTAAATAAAAAAATATATAATTAATGAAATAAATTAAATAAAATTAATTTCGAATTATTTTCTAAAGTTTTAACTAAAATTCTTTTTTAATTCAATTCTCATCAGAATTCAATTACGAAAATTCAATTATTTATTATTTAAATACAAAAATAAATAATTAATAAAATACTTAATTATTCATAAAAATTGCAACTGAACCTCTTTATTGAATTTTTGAAATTCGGGTTAAATTTTCTTACTTTACTTATTTTATTATTTACAAATTAACTGTCAAACTTTCGACATAGCAATTCGAACTAGGTACAAAACAATTTGGAATAAAAAACAATTGATTATCGGAAACTATGAAGAGTATTTAAAAAAAGAATTCTAGGCAAATGATTAAAATTTCCAAACATTTGAATTTTTTTTTAAATTTATTTAAAAAATAATAGAAACTGTAAGAAAAGTTAAAATTCGAATTTTTTTTTAAATTAGTGTAAATGAATTAATGTTTAACTAATTTTATTATTATAATAATTTTTATAAATTATCTTAATGTAACATTTTTAAAAGAAATGTTATTAAAATTTTTTACACACCTTAAGTAGAATTCAATTCGCTGTGTCCACTGTTTACACTTAAAGAATTATTAGATCTTTAGATATTTTACGAAATAAAACACAATTCTTGAAATAACAGCAATTAAATTTGCTAATAATAATTTCCTTGGAAATATTCAGTATTTTGGGTATTTTGACAGCAAGATTAAGTTAGGTTAGACCGCAAATAATGCTGCCAGGGCTGGGAAGCTGAATTAATAAAAAAAATTGATACAGAGGTCGGTACATTGGAAAAGATTTGCCGTTTTTTAAGATTTTAGTTTAAATTATTCTCACTTATTGCGCTGCGATCGTAACGAGCGAGTTTTTTTTTCCTTATAATTTATTGTTAACTTTAACAATTATAATCTTTTTAATTATGATAAACTCAATTTTATTTTCTAATAAATTATAATAGACTCAATTTTATTTTGTAATAAATTATAATAGACTCAATTTAATTTTGTAATAAATTATAATAAATTAAAATTAATTAATTAAATTACAATTTTTATTATAGCGACAGCAAAGGTTAGAAATAGTTAGAAATATCACCGGCCCCTTTTTTTAGAAAAGAACAAAAGCTATTTCTATCCTTTTCTCTCTCATGGAAAAATTACGATATGCAATTTAGAACTTTTATTTATTCGTCTCCAGTAAATCTGTAAATGTGTTATTGTGCATATGCCTTTATATTGACCCAAAGAACATACAGCGCCACTGGTGGCGAACGGCGATTATTAGGACAAATTCGTCACCATTAGTCACTCAACGTGCTGTGCATATGATTAATCCAAATACAAAATTCATCAAAATAAGTTTATTTCTCTCCAGTTTCAATCTTCGAATAATAATTTAAAAAGAGAAAATTTAACATGAAATGTAAACTTTTGTAGTTTAGAATTAATATTTAATAAGTAATTTAATAGTGTAAAAATTTATTTAAACCAAAAAATAAGATGTACATAACTTACGTGGCAATTTGTTTGCTAGCCTTATCTGCATTAACATTAGGGGTAAGTATTTAAGCACTATTTTTACATATTGTAAAATTATAAAATTCTTAATTATTTTCTTTCTTCTGATTCTTTTTCCTTCCCTCTTTCTAACCAAAAAAATTGGAATAAATGAGAAATGTTTTAACTACAAATTTCATTTAATTCTTTCAATTTAATATTTTTACTGTTTTTTAAAATGTAGTAAAATGAAAATTAATTTTTGAATTAAGGAATTGTTTCAAATAATTTTTTGTTTACTTTTTCACTTCATATTTATTTTTTCTCTGTTTTTAAAAAAATGTAGATAATAAAATTATGAAATAAAATTTAATGGAAAATATGAATATAAATTTTATAATAAAAATTATTATTTATTATTTTATAATTACTAATTATTTTTTTTTGTTAATTAATTTTTTCTTTAACGCAAAATATAATGATTGTATTTTTTCCAAATTTTAGAGTGAATTGGATCACGATGGATGGTTACAAATGAGACTTTTGCATTCCTTTGAAGATTCGTCGGTACCTAATTTTATAGATAGAGGAAATATTTCCATATCCAGTGTACGTCATGGATCAGCAAATGTTGTTCAGATTGGCCTCCAGGATTCACATGTTGCACAATTGAAAAAACTCGCTCAGAATGGTGAAAAATATCGTCTCAAAACGATCGTTCGTTCTTCCTCCGGAAGCGAAACAACATTCCTCACTTCTGTACTTGCGGTAAAAATGATCAAAATAATTCAAAATTTATTTCCTTATTACATATAAATTAAAAAAATTAAAAAAAATTTTTTTTTCTTTTTCTTGAAAAATTTACACTTTCATTATAGTCTTTAAACATTTTAATTTTCTAAATTTAAAATTTCATTTTTCACTTAAAATTGAAACTAAAATTAATGTTAATTCATTAAATAAAATGATGAAATTTGTTTTAGTGCAATTTATTGGGTATGGATTTAGAAGATGTATTGCACGTATGGCTCGACAGTGCAGCGGAACCAGTGGCCGTTAATTTAGTGTCACGTGGACCTTGCGTTACTGAAGGGCCCTCGACTAAAATGTGGACTACAAATGTACAAATTAAATATCCAGACGGGGGTCCAATTCCTGACACTGCGACTTATATTCATAAATTGGAAAAAGAACGCGAAGCCCGAGAAAGAGGCGAAACCAAAGACAATAGATCATTTTTAGCTAAATATGTGAGTATTTAGCTATTAATATTAATAAAATCAGACTTTTGTCCGTACATTGCTCTCAAAATTAATATTTATCGTTTTGAACAACAGAGGATCCAGAATCAAGAACCATCAAGAATTTATAAAATTCTTAAAAATTTAAATGACAATGATTTTCTTAAACATAAATATCATAATAATCAGTTAACTATGACTAAATACCTCTTTGGCAAAATTTTATGGTTTACCAAAAATCCATAATGGCAATGCACCTCTTCGATCAATTATTTCACTCATAAATAGTAGAACTCATTTTTTGGCCAAAATCATATACGAAGAATTAAAAACTAATTCCTTTACCAAAATCTCATGTAAACGATGGCTTCGATTTAATAGAAAATTTTATGAAAGAATTTTATCAACAAATCTACGGCACTCCGATGGGTTCACTAATATCATCATATTTTGCGGATATTGTGATGGATGACTTGGAAACTGATTGTTTAAATTTACTCAAAAACAATATCAATTGTGTTCCTATATTTTATTTTAGATATGTGGACGACACGCTTTTGTGCGTTCATAAAGATCAAGTTGAACTTTTCATTAACACTTTTAATTCCTTTAATATTAACTTGAAATTCATTCATGAACTAAAAGTAAAATACAAAATAAATTTCTTAGATATGACATTAATAAAAAATAATAATCAACTCATTATTAATTGGTATCAAAAATCCATTTCTTCTAATAGATTAATAAATTATTTTTTACATCATCATAAAAACAAATCTTGATTCTGTTGTGAACAAGCATCAAAGTGAATATAATCATTCTTTTAATTTTGACGATGCAGAAATTTTAGATTATGAAACTTCTTATAAAAAATGATTAATTTAGGAAATGATTTATAATGGGACGCATGAATATTTCACAACTGACAAACAACCAAAAAGTCATTTAACAGAAACATATTCAACATAATTGACATTTAACATAATTGTCATGCAACAGAATTGACATTTATTAAAATAATAAATAATATAATTTTATTATATTTACATTATTGCAGGCCTCGGATATTATAACATTTTCGACTATTTTCAAAAAATGCGACTTCTTTCGACTTATTTTTAAAAAATATGACTTTTTCGACTTTTTTCCAAATATTGCAATAATTTTTAGTATAAAATGAAACTTATTTCGATTTTTATATATAGTGTGAAAAATAACTATAGACAAACCTTCAAAAAATATTTTTTAATAATTTCTCGAATTAAATTTTCGAAATTTACAATTGAAAAGAGTTTTAATAAATATTGGAATTTTGTTAAATTTAATTGAAAATAATTGATTTTTTTCAAAGTCTTTGATAAAAATTTTTGAAAATAAACTTTAGAAGAATTTTAATTGCAAATTTTGAAAATAATTGATTTCTCGAAAATTTTAATAAAAAATCTTCAAGTGTAAATTTAAAAATGGTAATTAATGAAAATTAGCTTCAAAAAAATTATATTTTTAAATATTTTTGAAAAAAATAATTTTTTGCATTCTAATTTTTTAGAATTCAATTATTTTCAATATTTTCAAATACAAATTTCCAAAATTCAAATAAATACAAAATATAATACCTAACATTAAAATTTTTTACAATTATTTTTAACATTTTAAAAAGCATATGACTTTTTTAGATTTATTAAAATTTTAAAGAAATTGCGTTTATATTAATAATTAAAATTCTTTAAAAATTCAATTATTTTTTTAATAGAATTAAATAAAGGACTTTTTCGACTTTTTTGCTATTTTAAATTGACTAAAGCGACTTTTTTTGCACCTTAAAGTCGATCCGAGGCCTGTTATTGTAATTTTTGACATCAAAACATCAAATATTTTTTCCATTTACATAAAAATCGTGTATTAAAACAATTTAATTTTCAGTGGATGTTCATTGTTCCGGGATTGATCTTATTCGTATTGATGTCGGCACAAAATCCAGAAGGTGGTGCAGGCGGTGGTGGAAGCGGTCAACGATAGTTAAAATATTGTATAAAAATGTGTTTATTTTCGTTTTTCAGTGTTAATTGAAATTAATAAAAATTGCATTTGTATAATTGTCACTTTTTCAATATTTAAGTCTCATTGTCATATTATCTCAAGTCACACAAAGAGAAAGTGTAAAAGTCTTTTTTTTTAGTGATACCTAATAGAATTAGATAGTTCAATAAATTTTTTAGACACCTGTAAAATTTCTACATACAATATAATTAAAAATTTAGCATTTTGCTAAAAAAAAAATTAATTATGAATTTTGTATTGATAAAAAATATTATTACTTATGGAAAATTGTAATATAATACAGTAACGAAAAATATATAATTATAAATTAGAGTGGCCAAAAAATTTCCTTGTTCTCTTTATTTTTACTTCCTTTTTAATTTTGTTCGAAAAATATATTTTTTTATATTTACTCTTGATGTCGCGTCGAACTTATTTTCTTTACTTTGTTTTACTAGAAAATAAATAGAATATAATAATAAATAATTTACGACAATAGTGATTATTCCCTTTGTCGCAGGAAAATAATATAACCTTGTTAATGGTAACAGTAGAAAATCAATGAATGGGAAAATCAATAAAACAGGTAAGTTTGTCAGTCGCACCTGTTCATCTGGACAGTGTTTTTTTTATTAGAAAAATAAAATGGCATCGTTCTCATTAAATTTACAAAGACGCGTTGAATTAGGTTTGATCGCGAGTGGCAAATTTGATGGTTCTCATGCATGTTTAACGGCGGCCACTTCGGCTGGGAATGTTCTTGTTCACAGTCCTCATAGAGCGTCTTCAGAAAATTTTGAAGATGCACAATCCGTTGGTCGTTTATCCTGGAGTGGAGAACTTGCAGAACTACACATTGGCAATCAGGTTTGAGAATATAAAAGGAATAATAATTTGTTCAAGAAATTTTAAATTATAATTTATGTCTGAAAATTAATGTTATATTCTAATTATTTTAATATAGTTAACTTTAAAGGTTCTTTTTCCAAATAGGAACTATTTTTATATTTGTTGCGTGCTCTGAAGAAGAAAATTTAAAAAAATCCACCAAGACACAAACATTTAAAATGATTTTATTTTAAGGTTATGTTTATATTAAAAATAAAATCGTTGTAAGGTTATGTTTATGTGATTTTTATACCCTAATTCAAAGTTTCTGTTTAATTGTGTAAATAACGAAAACTAATTTTTATTAATTTTCAATGTAATGAACACATAGACACTATATTGAGATTCGATTTATTTCGTGTATTTTAATTTCTAAGAATTATAAAAATAACCTACAATTTTTTTCCTCTTGAGTACCTTTCTTCGGAGCGCGTCTCACTTGTTTCTTTTTTGAAGGAGTAATTATAAAATTGTTATATATTTAAATCTAAATATCAATTTAGTGTTTAGTCATATGTTTATAGAAATTAATATTAGGATTTTAAAGGTTACAGCATTATGCATTGGACGACTTGAAGAAGATGAGAGAGAATTTCTTGTTGTTGGAACACATACCCATGTTTTGGCTTATCAAATTGAAGACAATGCGGATCTATTTTACAAAGAGGTATAAAGTTTAATTATTTTAAGTTAAAATCCAAATTAGTTCCTCCGATTCAATGTTTGATACACTTGGTATTTAATATTTGAAATTTTTTACTTTGAGATTTTTGGAGACGCTTCTTACGAATCTGAAATAATGACAGTGTCTCCTAAAATCGCAGAGTAAGAAGTATCAAATTAGTATTTCGATTTTTAAATTTGTTCGTCCACCATATTGGATCCGACATTTTGTATTTTTTGATACCTAAGACGAAACTTCAGTTAAAAACCACGGAACAAGAACCACATGATTGTAAATAACTACAAAAACAGTTATCAATTACAAGACAATTGCAAAAATGTTTCATCATCAGTGTACCTACTGGTACCTACTCTATCTGTGTCTATAATAAAAATAAAATCCCAACTATTTTTATTTCTTTAAAAAACAGATGCGTGATGGAGTACATAATATTACAACTGGAAGACTAGGCTGGATAAAATATCAAGTAATTATTGTAGGAGGAAATTGTTCCGTAACTGTGTTGGATCATGAGGGGAACGAGCTTTACTGGACAATCGCGAGTGGTATTGTGAGAGTAATAACTGTTTTCGACTTTGATGGAGATGCTCAAAATGAGGTAATAATTTAATGATTAAAAGCTAATTTTCCATTAGGCTTTAAATACACGTCCTAAGAATGTTCTAAAAACGAAGAATTTTTTCGAATTTTTTTTGTAGCTGCTGATTGGAACTGACGATTCCGAGATCAAAGTCCAGAAGGAAACATTAGTTATGTGGCAAGTGAAGGAAACTTCTCCTGTATCAACACTTCTCCCTTTGCCTGGGAGAAAATTTGCTTATGCCGTTACGAACGGAACTGTAGGAGTCTACGAAAACGGTACCAGAATTTGGAGAGGAAAGGTGAGTTTCAGGTTTATCAAATTTTTTTTAAACTGTTAGTACTTTTGTACAAAATGGCTCGTTTGAACCCCTACATAAGATTAAATAAATAAATCAAATGATTATATATTTTACTAACAGTCGAAGCATAAAATAACCTCGATGAAAACTTTCGACATTAATGGCGATGGTGTTTTGGAATTAATTACTGGCTGGACAAATGGTAAAGTTGATGCCAGAATTTGTTCTACTGGTGAAATTATTTTTCGGGTACAATTAAATTCACCGATAGCGGGAATTGTCGAAGCTGATTATAGAAGAACTGGTAAAGCTGATTTGGTCATTGTATCCGAAAGCGGAGAAGGTATAATATCCATATTCTTGTTCTAATTATAATAATCAGTTTGCTTTTATTTTTTATTTATGTAGTAATAAATACTACCTGACTCGGAAAAAATTGATAAACATCTCCCATTCTCTAAATCTCATGATGGTAGGAATTAAAATTGATAGTAATTGAATATTTCGGAAATTTATAACTTTTGTCGGATATGTAGTACGTGGCTATCTGGTGGGAACCAGTATGGATGTTTCCGAACCAGGTGAACTTTATCGTCAACTTTTGTCCAAGAAGGAAGCACTCGAGGTTGAAATTCGCCAAAGACTTGTTACTACACCTAATCAATTTTTGGGTTCCAAGTTGGCGGTTAGTTTAACTTCGACCAGGGGTGCTGTTCGTTTGGCTCTAGCGTCTGGACCCGGACTTGTGGTAATCAATTTTTTTTTGCAAAAATATATTAATTAACAATTAACTGATGAAATGCTTTTGACCATAAAGAAGTGCATCAGCAGTAATCATAAATTGTTCTTTCAGATATATTGTGCAATTGTATTCGCAGAAGAAATTTTCGATGGCGAAACATTTGTAGCTCATCCTAGAAAACCGAACGGTGAATTGGAAATTGAACTTCGTCCACCGAAAGATGGTCCTATTGATATTCACATGAAAACTTATGTGGGAGCGCCTGGTTCAGATTTATTGCAGGTAAAACTCTTTCTAAATTCTAACTGTTCTTCCAATCTTGATACATTTATATGATACATTTATATGTGTATTTACATTATTCCCTTCAGGTTTATGAACTGATGCAACAATTACCAGCTTTCTGTATGTACGAGATTATAAATCCGGCTGATGCAAAAATCGAAGATCTACAAGATATTGGTGTAACTTTCGAGGTAATTATTGACAAGTCTTTAATTGCATCAAGGTTTATTTTTCCGAACGAAGACGAAAGTCTTCGTTTGGAAAAATAAACCTTGATGCAATTGACGACTTCTGTCGTCGTTCGGAATGCAATTGATGACTTTGTTCATATTCAGACCGGAGATAGACCACAACGAATTGCCCTGTGGTTAAACAGAAGTTTAGCAATTTCGGAAGAATTAGAAATAGCTGTCGATGGTCCTAATGCTGGAAGATTAGATCTCTGCTTACGGGGATTGAGAGATAATAAATTGCATTTCTTGAGTGTAAACGCAAGCGGCAAAATTAATATGTTAACAGAAGATCCAACATTTGCGGGCGATGTTGTTCAATCACTGGCAAATTATCTGGGAATTGTGGAACTCACTTCAGAAGCGAATTTTCCAGCCGAGGAAAAAAGAATGGTGGAAATTTTAGAACGCGTTAAAGGTAATTTAGAATGAAAACAAAATTAAACACAATGATTTTTAGGTATAAATATAATTTGTCGCCTTCTAAGAAGATTATTTTCTTTTGGGGGCAAAAGAATAATGTTAGAAATTGACAAGCGAGTTAAGGTGAAATAATAATGTGCCCGGTTTTGTTTAATTAGGCTGCTCATCAATATATTTTAATTTCTTAACATTGATTCAAAAACTTACAAGAACAAAAGACAGTACGTATTTAATAATTAATATTCTTTTATCGCCGGACGATGTCACACGCGAACAACTGAACTACAATAGTACAATTATATATAAGAAGGGTCTTTCCTTCTATACGTTTAGATTCTCCCATCCTAAGGGTCAAGACAGGGAGGAGAAGTGACTGCCGCGGCTATCGACTAGAGTCGAAGATAAACAATAAAATTAAAGTTACCTTCTTTGCAGAATTAAAGGAAATTGAAGTGAAGCTGCAAACGGAAGCGGCAGGAGTTACAAATATTCTAAAAGCCCTGATGATTCGTTTAGAGGACTCAAGAATTCTTGATGACTCTAAAGGTATGAAGAAAAGAGTAACGCAACTGCAAATGGTGGGAGAAAATTTTATGAGGGAGAATGAGATCAGGGACAACAATTACAGGGAACTTACATCGGCTCTAAAGGCATTGAACACCGGTGTGCAGAATGTTTCAAGAATTAGAGGTATGGAGAACAGAATATTTCATTATTGTTTGTGGCCTATAAGTACTTTTTGAAGAAAACTATAAATCCCAATTGCCACAAAGATGAACAATCCTTTCCTCTTTGCCCCTCTTCTGCCAATGATAAAATATTTTGTTTTCTAAAAGTTTTCGAAAGATTTATTTTTTATATTTCTAGTTGGAGGTGCTGCAACTAATGCTATTAATCGATGTAGAGCAGCAATAAAGGATGAAAACCCAAAGGCCTTAATTCATGCCATTAGAAACGGCTAAGAAATAAAACAATTTAGAAGAATTATAAAAGCAAATTGTTGTTTTGAATTAAAGATATTGTTAAAAGGTAACCGGAAAATACGTTGACTGAAATAAGTTTCTAGTCTTAGAAGATTCTGTAAATTTTTTTGTGATAATAAATAGATTTTTAAATCCTGAGGTTACATACACTTAGGATTTTGAAAAAATCGATTTTTTTTTAATTGCATTTTCGTAACATACATGTATTTAAGAGTACACTCAGAAAATTTCAAAGCAATCTTTGGAAAATATTTAATATTCATATTGACTAAAAGTTTATTTATTTACAAATAATATAGTAATACAAATAAATAAATTAATCTATGTTATTATATTCTTTAATTATCCCCAGTATTCTCGAATTGCATGTTTTTGTTTATAAATAATTGTATCAAGTTCTTCGTTTTGTACTATAGGTATAAATTATTATTATTATTATTATAATTCTCTAAGATTTTATTTTTAATTATTTTGAGCATGATTAAGTTAACTGTATTCATATGCCTTGTCACATACAAGACGTGGATTTTTTCTACAGTATTCTACATTGCTACAACATTTAGCTACTTTATCCATTAATTCTTGTTTGGTGAATGACGATCTTGGAACTCTTGAATAATACTCGCCAATAATGTCCTCCGTTTCTGCATCAGTTACATTGAGAATAAAATCAATTCCCACTTCCTATTTAAAAATTCAAGTTATTAACATATATATATTATTATAAAAGGGCTTTTTATTAAATTTTTATTTAATTTAAAAATTTAGTCCGCCATACTGGATCCGCCATTTTGAAATTTAAAAAACTGACATCGGATTTGTAAACAGCGTTACGCGTAACTTGAAATATAATAATATCATAATAACATAGCCCAATACAAAAAAAAGGTTGGGGTTGGGAGATCAGTCATGTATTTTGGGACGCTGAACACGAATCTAATGTTTTGGTCCGTTTTGGTCCAGCACGTTGGATTTTTTTACTAACCTCAAAAAACATGTCAAATTTTTGGTCAGATTTTCAAAATTCAAAATTGTAGATCCAAAATGGCGGACGAAATTATTTGAAAATTGATGATTTTTTTAGAAATTTCCCTAAAAGTTAATGAATTTTGATGAAATTTAGTACCTAGGGATTTTTGAGGTCGCTGATTACGAATCTGAAGTCAACATTAAAAAAATTAAAAATGTCGGACGAAATTATTAGCAATTTATGGAATTTTATGAAACTTGTTATCTAGGCGTTTTTGAACTCACTGATTACGAATCTGAAGTCAGATTTTTAAAATTTAAAATTGTAGATCCAAATAATGTCGGACCAAATTATTCAAAAATTGATGATATTTAGGAAATTTTCTTAAAAGTTGATGGATTTTGATGAAACTTGGTACCTAGGGGTTTTTAAGGTCGCTACTTACGAATCTGAAGTCAAAATTAAAAAATTCAAAATGGCGAATCCAAAATGACGGTCGTAATTTTTAAAAATTGATGGTTTTTAATAAAACTTGGTATCTAGGGGTTTTTGAGATCGCTGATTACGAATCTAAAAGTCAAAATTCAAAAAATACAAAATGGCTGACAAAATTATTAGAAATTTATGGAATTTGATTAAATTTGTTATCCAGGGGTTTTTGAAGTCCCTGATTACGAATCTGAAGTCAGATTTTCAAAATTAAAAATTATAGATCCAAAATGGCGGATGAAATTATTCAAAAATTGATGATTTTTTAGAAATTTTTCTAAAAGTTAATGAATTTTTATGAAACTTGGTTCCTAGGGTTTTTTAAGGTCGTTGATTACGAATCTGAAGTCAAAATTTAAAAATTCTAAATGGCGGATCCAAAATGGCGGTCGTAATTTTTAAAAATTGATGGTTATTTTTAATGAAACTTGGTATCTAGGGGTTTTTGAGGTCGCTGATTACGAATCTGAAATCAGATTTTCAAGATTCAGAATAGCTGATCAAAATGGTGAACGAAATTATTTGTAAATTGATGGATTTTGATTAAATTTGGTATCTGGGGGTTAAGAAAAGTGGGGGAAAAGAGTCCAAAAATCGTATTTCTGAGGGTTTTTATTATTTTTCTTTTCCTAAACCATACGAGGTGTAGAGACTTCTTTTTAGGCTTAAATTAAAGCTGGAATCTTACACTACAAGACTCAAATGCATAAAACTACAAAAATTTAATTTTTTTGAGAGAAAAAAAAATGAGAAAAAAAATACTGGAAACTTTCAAAAACATGTTTTTTTTGGGCCTAATTCTCTTCAATTTTGATTTATATGGTTCCTAGTAAATTATAAAATTGTTTACTACTCACTTTTGGCAATTTCATGAACTGCAATGTTGTCAATCTATCTTGAAAATGAACATCCGTTGATTGTCTCTTTCTCCTGTGGAACTTTTCCAGAACTGAAAATATGATATTTTCTTTTACTATTCTTCAAATGTTTTTTTAATGTGTACAGTAATATCTACCTGTACTGGTAAAATTCAAACTTTCGCATTCGTATAGCAGTAAAAATTATGATACATGACAATTATTATTGAAAGGAGATGAGCTAAATCGAGGACAATCACATTTTCATCACTTTTCGTAGCACTAGAAAAAAGTACTCTTCTTATAAACACTTTAAATAATATTAAAATTAATTAATATTAATTCAAATATTAGTTCCTTAATTCAGATTTTTAAATTTTTAATGAAGTTTAAAATACTAGCATAGTTGAATGTAGAAAGCTTTTATTAAAAAGATCCCCTTTATTGTAAAAAATTAAAATACTTGATATTTTTAAAAATTTCAAATTATTCAAGGTAGACTGAAGTATAAGAAAATGTATATTATTTTTTTTCCCAGTCCAGTAAATACATTACCGTATTTATCCCTTGGAATATGTACTTCTCTTGTGAGCCGTGAGCCATGACAGAGTTCCAGCATAATTTCCAAAAATGTATTTTTGCAATCGGAATTTTTTGCTTCAGTGTAATTGAGAACAATTAGAAAAATAAAATAGTGGAGGACAAGAATTTTTCTTGTCTTTAGTGTCATCTTCTGATGATGAACACGTCAAAACACTAACTAAGGCTTTAAAATTTTCTAAATGTCAGATGTTTTGAGAATTCTTCTTATCCAAACGTACGTGCTTAAAGTGTTGTGTTATAATCGTCTTAATACCTATATTTACCTGTCTCTTTGGTTTTATGAATATTCTGTCTCATGGAGTAGGAATGCAGTTTCCATGGATCTTAATTGCAACATATTATGATCCCATGAAAAAAACAGGTGTCAAGTCGAGGCCACTGTCCTATCATTGATTCCTTATATATAAGCTATGCGAAATCACTAATTACAATAAACATACAAGCATTGTTTAATGCTTGAAAGACATTCTTGAAGATAAATTTTCTTCATGCGTATAAATTTAATAATTAATCAGAAATATTCTAGTTGCAGCATTAGAAAAATATTTATGACAAATATTAATCTAGACTCACATATATTAGCAATACGTGGCATCGTTATAAATATGCAACATTGTTTAACATTGTTTCTCCTTATGTGTAAAAAATATAGTTTTTAAGAAAATTTTATCCTTTTTGTTATTTTTTCTAATGCATCAATATTTTGATATTTTATTCGAATCCCACTTTTTTGTTAAACCAAAAATTAGAAAATATGTTTTTTTTAAATTATCATTTTAAAAAAGGCTCCTTCATTACGAATCTGACATCATTTTATCAAAATTAAAATTAAAAATTTAAAAATTATTTCAAAATTAAAATTATACCTTATGCTTCCAAAAGTATCATGATCAATTAAATAATTAAAGGTTTTAAACATACCCAGTTCCCTGCTTTTATTTCTGTTTCATTTTATAAAAGTATTTACAATGAAAAATATCCAATAAAAAAAAATTAAAAAATTAAAAAGAATTGAAAATTTAAAAAAATAAAAAAAAAATGTAAAAGATAAAAACTATGAAAAAAAAAATTAAATATAAAAAATATGGAATGTAAAATTGTTTGGCAGCCTCCTCGTGGTACATTCTGGTGTCGTCGATTTTAAAAATTTAATAAATTATAAAAAGTAAATTCACCACCTAATATCAGGGACTACAATTCAATCAATTTTGAAAAATTTCCGCCACTTTGAATTTTTAAAAACTGATGTCAGATTCGTAATCAGCGACCCTGAAAACCCCCGAGTTATCAGTTTCTCAAGCCAATCTAATTAATTTTTTTTTTATCGTCCGCCATATTATGGATCCACCATTTTGAATTTTTAAAAACTAACATCAGATTCGTAATCAACGACCCCGAAAACCTCCGAGTAAGGATTTTCAAAGGAATCCGACTGATTTTTGAAAATGTCATCCGCCATTTTGAATTTTGTAAAACTAACATTAGATTCATCATCAGCGACCTACGGCGCCCTCGAACTCCACACGTGTCACAAAAATCGCCGTTAAAAAATGAATGCCTTTATCAACCTGTTGCTTAAGATACTATTTTTAAATAATCATATTCTATAATAGGGGGGGAAATATTGCCTTTTTAACCTAATAAAACGTGTCTAAAACTGAAGTTTGATCCATTAACATATATTTTGATGATAGCAGAATACCAAAAGTTTTTATTTTCTTACAAAAATTATAAATATTTTTTTGTTATAAAATTATATTACTATTTAAAAGGATTGAGTTAAAAAGGGTAAAATGAGAAACAGATACTAGTTCACAGTCAAAAATTAAAAACAGTTTTATTTCACAATATATTAAAAATCCAATATAGACAATTTTTATTTTTTGTGTACAATTCCGCACGTCATTATTTCCTCATAGTTCCGGTCCTTCCTGGCTACTCTCCGTCCTCGGTGCGTATACCGTCTCCGATTCTTGACTTTTATAGCTTATAAAAGTTGGCTGAACATTGCATGAGAGTTCAAGAAATTTTAAATTCTTTCATGCAATGTTCAGTCAACTTTGGCTTAAATCATTGAAAAACATCTTATTTTAAAGAATTACTTCAACATTGATTAAATTTTCTGTGCTGTGTGGAAAGAGGAGGTGTAATTATACTATAACGTATCTAACACAATAATCGCGAAAGTAAAAACCTTGAACTTTACAACAAAAATATGAAAGATATTGATTTTTGTTATCACTATAGAAACAAAAATTACAAACATGTCATTTTTAAACCATAACTAAAATACAATTTTCGGAGTACTTATACATAATTATAATTTTATTTTAAAAATACATAAATATTTTGCTTGATATTCAACTGACATTCTTATACTATACTAGAAAATTTTTTTCCTTGCTTATTTTCAACCCTCACAACACCCGGATATTCAAGATATCCCAGGGATGTCCTGAGAACGTCCCTATGGGATATCCTGAATATGCCGGTGCTATGAGGGGAGTGCATGAATGACACGAAGGCCCAAATTGATTTAAATATAATAACAGCTAAGTTGCCCTACAACGGAAGAACATACCTATAAGTGGTATTGTCGCTTAAGTTGAATTTTCTATAGATAAACATAAAATAATCAAAATTTATCACTTTTTAGAAAAAATGTTTTTTCACTTGTTTCAGATCAATCATGCCACCATCAAAAAAGTAATGCTGCACTAAAATGCGTGTATCTTTGCCATTTTTAATTTTTTTAAAAAACTATTTGGTATTTACATATAGCTTACAATATATATTAAGAAACAATAAAAATGTCATCTTAAATATTTTCGTCAAAAAACATTTTTTAAAAAAGCAGTCCAATTTAAATGCGTTCAGGGTGACGGAACCCCCTATAAGCGATAATGTTACTCACATATATGTTTTTCTGCTGTAGGCAAATAAGCGTATCCACGCGTGTATTTCTAGCCAAAGTTTCTGAAAATTTTATCTTTAATGTCTTCCTACATGCATTATTGATAAAAAATTATTTTTTCTACAACCCAAGTAGTAGCAAGTCATATTACTTCAATGCTATTTCATTATTATAATATGTAAAATTAGTAATTACTGCAATATTGAAGTGTCCCACCCAAAATAACACTATGGTTAGCATAACAGTAATATTATGTGCTACTTGAAAAACAATACTATTTTCGGGTGCAATAGGCACTTACCCTCTGGGCACGAAAACATCTTTGTTCTAGAAACGTTCCTAAAACGTTTTTAGTTTCATGTCCTCCACATAACGTCTTAAAAACGTTTTATGTTCAAAAAACGTTTTTAGAACATTGGACATGAAATGATCTAAAAATGTTTTAGGAATATTTCTAGAAAAAGACGTTTCCGTGCCCAGAGGGTAAATAACTGCACGCTTCTTAACCAATCTTTTTTTTTAGACGAATCTCTTTAGAAAATCAAAAATATTTTCATCAATAATACTTGCAAAAATTTCAAATAGAAATACAAGAAAAGACAATGAAAATCCAATCGACAGTACGTACAAAGAAATTAGCAATAACTTTTCTTTCTCGATTTCTGTAGGTGGCTCTAAAATCTGATGCTCTAGTTCACCACTTATAAAGAGTTTTGATATGAAACCGTATTGTCCTGCTCTTATAACAATCTTCCTAAAGCGATCAGTGAATGGCGAGTAATGTCTTAATAAGAATCCTTCATGTACACTAGCAACCGATTCTAACAACAATTTTCCATTAAATTCCCCTCTTAACTCCCGTATATGATTAACATATAATACTGCCCTACTGGAAATACAAGACACATTTTGATAATCATTCAAATACTGAAGGCACGCTAATTCTGATCCGTTATCCGGAAGTACAATAGAATTTTCTGATAATTTACGAATATGAGGGTTAGAACTTTCAGCCATTGAAGACATTAAAGCCATACTGTTGACTACAGGTTGCAAAGACGATGCAGCGAGTTCTGCGAGAGTTGTCATCTCTGGTGGGGATTGCAACGAAATGTCCAAGATGACGGAAAAAAAGTAGCCTGTATAAACGAGGCAAGCAACTACAAACGATCCAAACACCATTCTCTCCACCACTTTGACTGGTTCCTCAATAATAGATAATCCCATTATGATTTGACTGATGTTCAACGTTGTCCATGTACTTTCTCTGAACCGCATCATAATTGCAGTTAATTTCAGTACGCACATCATACTAACAGTTCCAAGAATCATGAATAGAAACTCTTGTGAAAGAACGATGGCATTAGATTTTTCAGTTTTCGGTATTACAGCTTTTGCATCAGATTGAATTAAATAACCCAATTGCAGCGTAGTGATTCTTAAACCGTCAATTAAGAAAAATGGGTTTGCAAACATTTCAGCTCTTTGCTGATGTAAAAGTATTTCTTTCTTCAATACAGATGAAGAAATTTGAGAAATTTTGGGTTTGAAGTTCATTTCGTGTGCTAAAATTCCAGTAAATTTCTTCGCAGTATTAAATTTAGTTGCGACTATCCCACTTCCATTGGAAAAGATAAATTTTAATGGATAGCTATGTAAATTCTCCAACTTATTTGGAAACCATTGGCTTTTAGCTGATATCTTAAGTACAGTGTATTTATTTATGAACGGATTTAACCGATGCATAAAAGGTGGATATTCTCTTTTCTTGATGATTTGCTTCAAGTCTTCTTGCTGACAGACCAAAATGGTGACGTCCAAAAAATCATTATTCCATAAAATCTGTAATGTTTTCCTAATATCCATGTCAGGTAGTTTTTGAGAATGCACGATTAAACATTTCGGCGTTGGTAAAGTTTTTGATAACGTTTTAATCGTAGAAAGAGATTTACTAACCATTTTAGTAGATACATAGTTCACACTATCTGTTACAACTACAAATAGCGTTGTCTTTCTGGGTGGTTCAAGTGATTTCAAATAAACCTTGAGCAGTTCACTTCTCCGTTTACTGTACTCGATACTAGAAGATGGGAAGTTTTTAATGATTGACTTGAAAAGAAAACTTATTGAATCGTCGGTAGTATTTTTTTCATAATCAAAAAGAAATACTACCTGGTGTAGTTTCGATTCTTCCTTTAGATACTTTACTAACCCGTCATAATGCTTTTCAATTGCAGATATTTGCAAGATTACTTTCCAAATCACAATGATACATAACGTCTTAACGATTAGATTCATTTTGGTAAAATAAATATTCTGTTGATCTTTCTGTCTACTCAGTTGATTGTCATTTTGTATGGGGGATAATTCTAAAGTTTGGTGGGGATTAGAAAGTATAGTTTTAATGACATTTTTGGATGAGAGTAAATAAGAAACGTTTGTACTGAATGTGTTTAGTTAAATTTTAATTGAATTCACTTTGTGGCTGTAATTATCACACTAAACGAATTAGAGTTTTAACTTCTTTTTAGACACTTCACCAATTTATAGTAATAATTTTCCTTTGAAGGAATTCCTTAGGAATAGCTTAGTAGCTATTGTTTTAGAACTAATTAATCGAATACAAGATGCAAAGTTAATTATCAATCCTCCAAGTCAAAGTTTGGACTTGGAGGATTGACAATCAACTTTGCATCTTACATTATCTTTTACGGATTAAGAAATTCTTTTATCAATTTCGTTGTAGTTACAATTTCACTCTTAATATTCTAAGTGAAGCATGTCTAATACCATCACAATGTTGTTGGTGGAAATATTGAAATCACTTTATAGCAATATTAGATCTGAATTTCGTCGTAGTATTGCTGCCAAGTCGGCCGACGGAAGTATAATAGCAAAACCTTCCTTAAAACTTGTCACATTTTTAGAGCTTGCAGAGTAAACTAACACGTGGATTTTAGCGCTAATAATCCACCATAAAGCTTTGAAGCTACTCTTTACTTAGAAAAGTATATGTACTTATCTAACGCTTACAAGCAAGATATCTTTGTGATAAAAAACAAATAATGGCTCGAGGTTACTAAGTATAACAAAGCCCTTGATTTTTTTTTAAAATTGATTATCCATTCAAGAAAATCAATTGTTTAACTGTGTTGGACCAAGAAAACCTTTTAAGGATGTCAGAATTGATGTTTCAATTATTTAAATGGATTTTTATGCCACTAGGACCTTCTCATTTTAAATCGAAGGAGGCTCTCACAGTTTATCAAAGTGATTGGAAGCATGGGTAAGGTGCAATCAATAGTTCGAAGAGTCCAAGAGATCGAAAAAAGAATAATAATTTAATTTGTCTTAGGATTTCACTTTTCAATTAAATAAAACACATCATATTTACAAGATTCATTATATTTTATTGCTTCCTTCTTTATAGTATCTCGACAACAAGAAGCATAGGCTATCGAGATTTGTCGAATTTTTACAATTTTCTTTTCTTCGCGTAGAAATTTAATAACTAAAAAAAAAAGATAATGTACATTTATTTATTTTTTTATGTTAAAAACTAATGAGATCATTGGTCACTAAAGCGATTTGTTGAGAAAGTCACAGATGAACGCATATTACAAACAAAAAAAAAAAACACTTTTTTTTTTTTTGAGCGTTCGAAATACTTATTTTAATATATAAAAGTCTCTTTTCATTCGAAAAGATATCACAGAAATAACCAGTATACTTTCAGTTGAAAATTTCAACTGTTACAGCATTTCGTTAATCATGAAATAATTAATAATCATGAGAAAATACATTAAAACGTGTAACAAATGTGAAATATCCGTTAAACTTCATTTTAATACAGGGTACAATTTTTTTAAAATCAAAAATAGAATTGTTTTCTTGATAAAAAGGAGAAAAAAAAATTGACAATGGAGAAAAGATGTACATCAGTCTCTAGCTTGAGTTAAAATGAAGTTTGTACATATTTTATTAATTATTGCGGAAAAGTAATAAACGGTTATTTCATGTACTAGAAAAGTTATATTATCTCCAACTGTGATTGTCTTCCTAAACTTAGAAAAACCATGTTTCCGTATTTAAAAACTATTGTAAACTTAGTATTGAGTTTGTAGTGGTAACATATTCAGGAAGCTTAGCAAAGTCATCTTAAGTATATACAAAAGAAATCTTTTATATCCGATTCTTAGATATCTAAAAGAAAACTGTAGGATAAGAAACTGGCTATAAAACTATGTTTGTGAATAATAAAACTTATTTAACTATTTTCCAGATGGAGAAATTCACTAAATACTTATTCAAAAATTAATTTTCTATTTTAAAATTTACATTTAAAAATTTCTATTTTAGTAATTTTTGTGTCCAATCATTTGTGTTTTGGAAAAATGGTTCTTCTTCTAGATCTTATTTCTTTTATAGTCCTTAAGCAATAAAAACAACAACAACAACAACCATTTGCTTCTATAATCGACTTTCGGTTTAGTTTTTGTTTTTGTAATGTTTAAACTCTTTTTGCACAATCACTCATTCACACTACTCTTGCTTAAAGTATAGATGATAATGGTTTGAAATTTGTTTCGGATGGATTGTTCTTCGGCGCAAAGTTCTCATTTATATTTAAAGTGATAAAACTCACTTATTTTCAGCGCCAAAGATTATAATAATATGTTTTTCTGTAAATTCATTAAAAATGACATGGAATTGATTTCACAGCACTATTTGAAAACTTCTTGAAGGATATACAACTTCTTATCCTCTTGTTTTGAGGATGAATTTTTTGTTTTTCAATAATGACATATATATCCTTAATATGAATCGTTTATCACAAAACTTTGGCAAAACATTTTTCCCCTGTTTGAGATAGTCGAGGGAAAAATAATTATTCAATGGAATCTTCTTGTGGATCAAAAATAAAAATTGAAATGTATTTTTCCTGCGGTAAGACTTGAGACTGCATTTTATTTATCGAGAATCTGTAACAAAATAGAAAACTATTAATTCTGGGAAATATTTAACAAAAATTTTTCTTTAAAAATTCTTATTTAGTAAAATTAATCATTGAATCCTTGGGAGTATCAGTTAAAATTAAAATCTATTTACAAAAATAAAAAAAGGAACAATTAAATAATAGTGCATCTATATAGGAGGAGAGCTAAAAATAACCAGCGATATTAGCACACTATAATTTTCTGTCTGCACAATTTTTCATTGATATCTTTGAAAAAACTGATAAAATTTTCTTTTATTGCAATGTTTACGTCTTCTTAGTTTAAGTCGGTAATCATAACATATATATTCTTACGTTTTAACGTTCCTCTTCTTATATCTTTTTTGTCTCAAGTGAGTCCGGAAGATTCACTATTCTCACTGATTCGTCCCTGTAATCATAAAAAAGAATACAAATATTAAAAAATTGTTAATTTTTTTAAATTGTTAATTTTTTTGAATTGTTAATTTTTTTAAATTGTTAATTTTTTGCATACATCGACATTTTAAAAATTTTCTTTTATCTTAAGAATTCTAAAATTAACCCACTGCTGATAATTTTACGACATTAATTATATTCAATTAATTTTCTAAGAGCCAATTAAATGAAAAACGTATATTATAACTGACGTGTTTTTCTATTCTTTTTTTTTTCTCTTTCACATTTGGTACAATATAGAAATCGAAACGCTTGGACTTCGCTCACTATTTTATGCGATCAAAGACCCTTTATAATACGCCGTATAAAGAAACGACCGATTAATTTTTGAAAACAAGTCAACGAACCGCTCTTAATTACTTTTGTGATAATAAAATCAGAAATTCCCAACGTTTCTTTTTTTTCGATTTTTTTTTTTTTTTTTTTTTTTTTTTTTTTTAATATTGTGAGAAAATAAGTGTTGGGAAAAAAAATTAATATTTAGAAAGATTTTAAGAAAAAAAAGTTTATTTTCTTTTTTCAATATTGCTTCTTGTGAGAAAATTTTATTTTTAACGAAAACCCAGGGGTGCGTTTTTGAAATTTCACTTTAAATGAATATAAAGTGAAAATTAAGTGAATATGAAAAAATTAAAGTTTAAGTGAAATGAATATAAAGTGAAAGTAAAGTGAATATAAAGTGAAATTAAAGTTAAAGTGTAGTGAATATAATGTGAAAGTGATTTCACATTATGAAGTTAAATAAAACTTAAAGTGAAATGAATATAAAGTGAAAATTAAGTGAATATGAAATGAAAAAGAAAGTGAAGTGAATGTAAAGTGTAAGTGAAGTGAATATGTAGTGCAAATAAAGTTAAAGTGAAGTGAATATAAAGTGAAAGTGAAGTAAATATGAAATTATATTAAAGTTAAAGTGAAGTATGAGTGAATTGAATGTAAAGTGTAAGTGAAGTGAATATGAAAAGAAAAAGAAAGTGAAGTGAATGTAAAGTGTAAGTAAAGTGAATATGAAGTGAAATTAAAGTTAAAGTGAATATAAAATGAAATTAAAGTGTAAGTGAAGTAAATTTGAAGTGCAATTAAAGTGTAAGTGAAGTGAATATAAAGTACAATTAAAGTGAAAGGTAAGTGAATATCAAGTGAAAGTGATTTCACTTCTACTTTATGAAGTTAAATAAAACTTAAAGTGAAATGAACATAAGTGAAAATTAAGTGACTATGAAGTGAAAAAAAGTGAAGTGAATATAAATTGTAAGTAAAGTGAATATGAAGTGTAATTAAAGTAAAAGTGAATATAAAATGAAATTAAAGTATAAGTGAAGTAAATTTGAAGTGCAAGAAAGTTTAAGTGAAGTGAATATAAAGTGCAATTAAAGTTAAAGGTAAGTGAATATAAAGTGAAAGTGAATATGAAATGAAATTAAAGTGTAAGTGAAGTAAATTTTAAGTGCAATTTAAGTTTAAGTGAAGTAAATTTTAAGTGCAATTTAAGTGTAAGTGAAGTAAATTTTAAGTGCAATTAAAGTGTAAGTGAAGTGAATATAAAGTGCAATTAAAGTTAAAGGTAAGTGAATATAAAGTGAAAGTGAATATGAAATGAAATTAAAGTGTAAGTGAAGTAAATTTTAAGTGCAATTTAAGTGTAAGTGAAGTAAATTTTAAGTGCAATTTAAGTGTAAGTGAAGTAAATTTTAAGTGCAATTAAAGTGTAAGTGAAGTGAATATAAAGTGCAATTAAAGTTAAAGGTAAGTGAATATAAAGTGAAAGTGAATATGAAATGAAATTAAAGTGTAAGTGAAGTAAATTTTAAGTGCAATTTAAGTGTAAGTGAAGTAAATTTTAAGTGCAATATTAAAGTGTAAGTGAAGTGAATATAAAGTGTAATTAAAGTTAAAGTGAAGTGAATATAAAGTGAATAGAAATTGTTTATAAAGTGAAAGTGAAATGAATATGATATGAAATTGAAGTTAAAGTAAATATAAAATGAAATTAAAGTGTAAGTGAAGTAAATTTGAAGTACAATTAAAGTGTAAGTGAAGTGAATATAAAGTGAAATGATATGAAATTCAAGTTAAAGTGGTTATATGTATGAAATGAAATTAAAGTGTAAGTGAAGTGAATTTTAAGTGCAATTAAAGTGTAAGTGAAGTGAATATAAAGTGCAATTACAGTTAAAGTGATATGAATATGATGTAAAATAAAAGTTAAGACGAAGTGAATATATAGTGAATATAATATGAAATTTAAGTAAATATGAAGTGAAATTAAAGTTAAAATGAAGTGAAAGTGAAGTGAGAGTGAAGTGGAATTGCAGAATCGCACCCCAGATTGCTGCTGAGTAGAGACACGATTTCCGAAGGATCATAATCGATTTAATAAAACAATTAAGAAGCAAATAATAATTATTTAAAAAAAAACTACTATCAAGAATAATGTATTTTTAAAATTTTATTTTTTCTATTATAATATTGAGGACGCAGATTAGCGACCTACAGAAAATAACATTATGAACAACTATAGCTAATTGAGATTCTCGATTTAGCTTCCGGGTTTTATTCTATCAACAACAATTATTGATTACTAGTAATGTGAACTTTAAAACATAAAAATTAACTATTATTCTAAAATAAAGAAATAAACTCAATTGTCCTATTCACTAAGAGACAAATATTAAAATAAAAAAAAAAAATTGTCGAATTAAAAATACTACAAATTTTATAAAAATAAAAAAAATTGACAAAATTTCCAAATTCTGTAAATTTAATAAAATAAAAAAAAAACAATTGTCAAATCAAAAATGCTACAAATATCTTAAAAATAAAAAAAAGTGACTTAACTCCCAAATTCTGTAAATGAAATTAACTGATATCTAATTAATTTTAGTTTGACCCGTTAAGTCATCTCTAAGGGTCAATTACCACACGCGCTAATAATATACAAACAACAGGAAAAGTGAAATTGTTTATGTTAGTAAATATTTTTAAAAATTTTCACTGAAGGTTGAAACACGTTAAACAAATAATGAAAATATATCAGATATGAATGCGAAAAAAAATTAAATAAACATATAATAATGATGAAAAATGATATAAATTTTTTTTTTTTAAATTATGGAATTCTCCATTAATAATTTAAGAAAATGATCAATTTACTTGTTAATATTTAATCTCGTGGATTAAATCTAGAAAACTTAATAAAAAATGAATGATTTTGTAACTTTTTTGAAATATATCATGAAAATTGAAATATGAATATTAAGAAAGTCACTTATTGAGAGCGTGATCATTGATACTACAGAAAAAATATTTTTAAATATTATGTAAGTTTTGCTGTATAGTACCCCCCACCCCTCAGATTTGAATATAGATAACTTTTAGGCAAATATTTTAGTCGTGAGAAATTTTTAGCTATCTAAATTATACTTAATATTATATCGGTTATATAGTAATTTTATCTCCATTTAAAATTTAATGTAATAAAATTGCAAATTTAAGAAAATATTCATAATACAAAATTTTATAGACAAAAATATGATTTTTTTGTTGTTTTAAAAATGAATTTTTAAAAAAATATTTTTAAAAATAAAATTTTATTTTTCTTCGAAAATTTTTTTTTTTTTTTGATTCTGTAAAAGTTGCGAAAATGTTAAAAAAAAACATTTGAAACAATTAAAAATTAATTAATTAATTAAAAAACTTGAATATCATGAAAAAAATGAATTATCAATTTTTTTTTAAAAACATTTCAATATTTCTCTGCATTATTTGGGGTTTTAAAGTACAGAGTAATTAAATTTCTTTATTGTGATAAAAATTTTTCCGCACAAACGTATATTTAAAAATACTTTATTTTTTAATTTATTATCATTACTTTACCGATTATTTTATTTATTGATATGCAAGATCCTGTATATTGTCTTAATATATGAACTGGTAAAAAATTACTAATTTTCAGCAATAGAAAACTAATTTTTAAATAGAAAAAAAAAATAAAATTGTAAAAAATTAAAAATTGCTTAATTTTTAGTAAAAATTTTTCTAAAGGTTTTAAAATTTAACTAATTAATTATATATTAAATATTATATTTTAAAATTAGAATATTTAGTACAATTTTTGCTGAACTATTGTTTAAAAATAAATTTTTTTAAAAACTTTAAGTTTTTAGTTATTTTTAGTAAAACTTTTAGTGACTTATTGCTTTTATAAATAGTAGAAATAAACTAATCATTTTAGTAAAAAAGTTTCTTATTTTTAATAAAATTGTTTTAGTGAAATACGATGTAAAAATTTTATTTAAAAAAAACATTATTGTTATTAAAAAACTAATTATTATTTAAACAAACTAATTTTTAAGCCAACTTTTGAATTTTTGCCTTCTATTCTTACTTAGTAAAAAGGAACTAATTATTCGAAATTTTATTTTTTTAATTTTAGTAAAATTTACTATTTTTTAATAAAAACTTATTTTGTCTATTGCTTTTACTACAACAAAAAATAATTATTAGAAAAAAATTGCTAATTTTTAGTGAAAACTGATGCACCTTTTACTTTTTCATAATTTTTAGAAGTATAACAATTATTAGTGAAAAATTAGTAATTTTTGGTAAAAAATTTCTAATTTTGTTACTTTTACAATTTCTATTAATTAACAAATTGTTGGTTAAAAAAATAACTCATAATTTGTTGTAAAATTTTCGTCAATTTTTTCCTTAACTTTAAATTAGTAAAAAATTTGCTAATTGTCAGTAAAAATTATTAAATGTTTAAAATTACTATTTTTTAGTTAATAATACTAATTTTTAGTTAATAATACTAATTTCAGTTAAAAATATTTTTTTTAGTTAAAATTACGAATTTTTAATTAAAATTACTATTTTTTAGTTAATAATACTAATTTTTAGTTAAAATTACTATTTTTTAGTTAAAAATACTAATTTCAGTTAAAAATACTAATTTTTAGTTAATAATACTAATTTCAGTTAAAAATACTAATTTTTAGTTAAAATTACTAATTTTTAGTTAATAATACTAATTTCAGTTAAAAATATTTTTTTTTAGTTAAAATTACGAATTTTTAATTAAAATTACTATTTTTTAGTTAATAATACTAATTTTTAGTTAAAATTACTATTTTTTAGTTAATAATACTAATTTTTAGTTAAAATTACTATTTTTTAGTTAAAAATACTAATTTCAGTTAAAAATACTATTGCTTCCTCATAAAGGAAGCTTTGTATTAGCAAAATTTTGAATTGTCATTTTTTGACATATTTATACATTTTTTTTTATTATGCCTAATACTTTAGTACTTTATATATGCACAGGAACTCCCCGTATAAATGTTCTAAATAAATAAAAAAAAATTTCGACGTATTTTGAACTCCGAAGTCCAAAAAACAGATTTTAAAAATTTGTCCCGATGTGTGTGTGTGTGTGTGTGTGTACTAACATTACATTTGCCTCAATATCTCAGAACGAGAAAGAGCTAAAGGCATCAATTTTTTTTTAAATTGTAGGTCTCCCCGGGGGACATAAAACGAGAGTATTTTCAGCCCGATTCATGAAGTTTAACTATTTTTTTTTTGCATTTTTCATTTTGTAAAAAAACGTTTTTTGGACATAACTTAAAAAAATGTTAGGACACTTATAAATGTTTTTCTTTAGATTTGTAGAGTTTTTTTACACGCATCTTTTGAGCCCTAATTGAACATTTTTCGTCCATATTAACCGGAGATATTAAACTTTTAAAAATCTAAAATTTTGAAAAATAAGACTTTTATAAAAAATTTTTTAAATTATGTAAAAGTAACTTCAAAAAATTATTACCAACTTGAAGAGCATTAAAAAACGCTTCGATTGACCTGTTTTTTAACCTGATTCGGGCAGAAATTATGAAATTATTGGTATTTGGAAAATCAAAAATTGTGAAAAATATCATTTTTAAACATTCTTGTTTATTAACATATGTGTAATTATTAAACTATTATTACCATCTTATAGAATATATAAAAACACATTTTTTGGTCCAAGATTTAATGATTTTTAACCCTCTTATAAAAAGTAATTCATATATTTCAATTATTATTATTTCTATGAGGAAGCAAAGTGTTCATGAAATGAACACCAAAATTAGAAAAATGTACAACTTGGCAGCGGTTTTAGTTAATAATACTAATTTCAGTCAAAAATACTAATTTTTAGTTAAAATTACTAATTTTTAGTTAATAATACTAATTTCAGTTAAAAATATTTTTTTTTAGTTAAAATTACGAATTTTTAATTAAAATTACTATTTTTTAGTTAATAATACTAATTTTTAGTTAAAATTACTATTTTTTAGTTAATAATACTAATTTTTAGTTAAAATTACTATTTTTTAGTTAATAATACTAATTTTTAGTTAAAATTACTATTTTTTAGTTAAAAATACTAATTTCAGTTAAAAATACTAATTTTTAGTTAATAATACTAATTTCAGTTAAAAATACTAATTTTTAGTTAAAATTACTAATTTTTAGTTAATAATACTAATTTCAGTTAAAAATATTTTTTTTTAGTTAAAATTACGAATTTTTAATTAAAATTACTATTTTTTAGTTAATAATACTAATTTTTAGTTAAAATTACTATTTTTTAGTTAATAATACTAATTTTTAGTTAAAATTACTATTTTTTAGTTAAAATTACTAATTTTCAGTTAATAATACTAATTTTTAGTTAATAATACTAATTTCAGTTAAAAATATTTTTTTTTAGTTAAAATTACTATTTTTTAGTTAATAATACTAATTTCAGTTAAAAATTTTTTTTTTTAGTCAAAATTACGAATTTTTAGTTAAAAATACTAATTTTATTAAAAATTACTAATTTTTAGTTAATAATACTAATTTTAGTTAAAAATACTAATTTTTAGCTAAAATTACTTATTTTTAGGAAAGTTACTAATTTTTAGTTAAAAATACTAATTTTTATTTAAAATTACTAATTTTTAGTTAATAATACTAATTTTAGTTAAAAATACTAATTTTTGGTCAAAATTAATAATTATCAGTAACAAAACACATTTAAGTTCAATTATAAATTTAGTTTCTACTTTTATTGACTTTGTTTTTGCAGTATTAGTAATAATACAAGTAATTATTAGTAAATATTACTAATTTAGCAGTTAAACCTCAAGGTTAATTCAACTTTATAATTAATTAATTAATTAATTAATTAATTCAACTTTAAAATTCAACTTTTAGAAATTATAAATTTAAATGATCTATGTTGATATAATTTTTTAATCAGAATTTAAAAGTAAAATTTCAAAATTAAAAATCCTTTTGCCAAAGTAAAAACCTAGTAATGATCTCTTTCCTTTAAGGTCGAAAGTCGCATACCTGCTAAGCGACTTTTGACCTTATGAAAAATTCCTTTTTCTAGGTTGTTATTTTGAACAGTCAGGTTAGTAATTAATGATTTTAATAATTTCGATGAAATATTTTGATAACTTCAATGAAATATTTTAATAATTTTAATAGTTTTAATATTTTTAATATTTTTAATATTTTTAATATTTTTAATATTTTTAATAGTCGGTAAAATAATAAAAATCGGCATGTGTTTGGAGTAACTTTAAAGTAACATGTTTTTGATATTAGGCGAAGAACTCATTATAATTATTTTAAGCAATTTACGAACTGGAAGTAATATTAAAAATGAAAATTGATTTTAAAAGTAACTTTTAAAGTTTTTCTTCTTCTTTTAACTTCTTTTTGTAAGATTCTTCTTAAAATTATACTTTTAAGAAGAATCTTACAAAAAGAAGTTAAAAAATATATAATTTTTATTATATATATATATATATATATATATGACCGGGTCTGAGAAAAGGTTATGACCAAAAACATTTTTTAACCCGGGACTAATTGCATTTCATTTTAAGGGCCTTAAATTTAAGATCCTTAAAAATCCCTTAAAAGATCCTTAAAATTAGTTCCGAGTTAAAAATTTTTTTTTTTGGTAATTAACTAATTGCATTTCATTTTAAGTACGCTTAAATTTAAGGTCCTTAAAATGAAATGCAATTAGTCCCGGGTAAAAAAATTTTTTTCCTCATAAGGTTTCCAAAAATCATCTAATAATAATTAAAAATTTAAGGTTTTAAAAAAAATTTTAAGTTAAAGAAAAAAAATGAAAGTAAAAAAGATCCTTACTCACATGCCATCCTGGGATGTACTATCATCGTTCGGCGGTTTACAGTACAATTCAAGTTGTTTGATGTTGCATGATTGCAGACAACACTCATCAACGAGGCCAGGACCATTTGTATTTGTTGTTCTTGTATCGTCTTCGCTACTATAAGAAAATGGACTGTTATATCCTCTGCCCTGACAAATGAGGTATAGGGCATCACTGAGACTCCTAGAACAGAGTCGAATTGTTTGTTGACCGGTACCGAAGGGCATCGAATATGAAAAACCGAAAATTTGTACTACCACTAAGGTTACGAAGACGCAAGTCCACGCACCACAGTTTCTTGTCGCGATGCTCGACTTCATTGTAGATCAACGGCCATCTAGCAATGACGACGCCTTTTATATAGCGCGCGGTTCCAAACAACGCTACTGGGTGGGGCGAAGGGGGTGGGGGTGCACACTATTTTTTTAAGGGTAGACAATAAATCAACGTTTTTTTTTTAAATCTAAAAATAGATTACGATTTTTTTTTTATTCTAAAACACTATAAACAATTAAATATTTATCATATATTCTATTATTATTCTCTTTAAAAGTCTGATGAACTTCACCTCTTTTAAACGAGATTGTATTAATTACAATTAATCGAATATATATAATTCTCACTTATCAATCAATATATAAGGGTAAATGCACTTCGTATATGAAAATTTACAATCTCTTCGTCTAAAAATAAACTTCTTTTTGGTATAAAATTTAATGATATCTTTGTAACTATTTTTGGATATTTAGAATATTTAGAATGAGATTCAATATGTTGAGATTGAGATTTTAATTTTTTTTTTTTTTTTTTTTTTTTTTTGAGGAAGAAAAATTGAGGGAAGTTGTAATATAAAATTTTCTTGAGAGAATTTAAAAATAATTGTTCCTACTTTACGAACTTCCTCGATGCTACTAACTGACACTTGACAAGTTTTCTTCGCAGTGTGCGGCTTTCAATATTCCCCTTCGATGCATTAAGAAAGGTTTTTGTGATAAGCAATGAGGGAGGCCTCCGTCAAAAGTCCCTGAAGATTGCGGTCATTCACGATTATGATTTAAGCCGGGTTAATCGCATTTTTACATATTCATAACAATAAACAGTGTTTAAATTAAAACTAATAATTGGAGCATTCTACATTTAAAATTGATTCATCAATTATGATTAAATTAAAAAAAAAATTATAAATTGATTGGATATTAATCAATTATTATTTCTAATACGCAATTTAATTATGTAATTTTTTTTCATTTATTTTTTACTTTATGTTAATTGGGGTTCAACATAATCTAGAAATTGAAATTTGTTAAAATATTTTTAATTTTTTTTGAAATATTTTTAATGAATATTTTTTTAAATCAATTTCATATTTTTAATCCCAATTTTCACTTAATTAGCAAGTTCAATCAGATTTTCAAAATTCAAAATCGTGGATCTAATATGGCGGACATTAAAACTAAAAAGTTGATGATTTTTTATAAAACTTAGTACACGAAGGTTTTTGGGATCGTTGATTCCAAATTTGACATTAGATTTTGAATTTTGAAAATCTGATGCCAAATTCATAATCAGTGACCCAAAAAACCCTCGAATAATGAATTTTAGACAAATTCAAAATTTTTTTTAATTTTGTCCGCCATTTTGAATTTGGAAAATCTGATGCTAAATTCATAATCAGTGACCCAAAAATTCCCCGAATAATGAATTTAAGGCAAATTCAAAGATTTTTTTAATTTTGTCCGCCATTTTGAATTTTGAATATCTGATGGCAAATTCGTATTTATCGACTCCAAAAACCCCCAAATAATGAATTTTAGACAAATTCAAAAATTTTTTTTAATTTTGTCCGCCATTTTAAATTTTGAAAATCTGATGTCAAATTCGTATTAAGCAACCCCAAAAACCCCCGAGTAATGAATTTCAGGTAAATCCAAACAATTTTCAATTTTTATCCGCCATATTGGATCCGCCATTTTGAATTTAAAAAAATTTGATGCTAGATTCATAATCACCGACCGCAGAAACCCTCGAGGAGCATAAGTACAGTGCTGCCAGATGATTGAAATGACAAAAGTTTCAAAATTTTCTTATTTATCTTCAGAAATCTTTAAACTAGTCAAAAGAAATTCTTCAGATTTTGGTTATAATTTTTTTCTAAAATATAATAAATGAAATTAAATTTCACAAGCAATTTCAAAGAAATAAATTAATATTGTTGTGTTTGAATCTGTTTGCAGTTTATAAAGTTAGTTTTCTGTTTGCTTCTCAACTTATATTTTTAATTATAAATTTTCTTTATCAATGTTTTGAATTTTAAAATTAATTCATTGAACACTATACGAAAATCTTGCAAAGTTTTTATCTAAAAAATTTTGAAAATAATTAGTCATATTTGAAGAATTTTATCAAAAAAATTTTTTTAAATAATTGAATTCTTTCGAGAAAATTTAATTAAAATTGTATTGAAAATAATTGAATTCTAAGCACAAAATATTAATTTACTTATAAAAATAAAATCCAATTTATCCAAAGAATGTTATAAAAATGTATTGCAAATAATTTAATTCTTAACAAGAATTTTATTAAAAAATTTGTAAAATAATTGACTTTTTTTCGTGAAATTTTATTAAAATTGTTTTGAAAATAATTGCAAATTTCTGCAATGAATTTTATTGTTTATAAAAATAATATTGAATTCTTCCAAAGAATGTTTTATTAAAATTTTTGTAAATAACCTAATTCTTATCAAGAATTTTATTAAAAAAATTTTTAATAACATAAACATAACCTAAAATTTTTTCCAGCTAATTTTTAGTTTATAATAATAACATTGTTTATATACACAAGGTATAGAAATAACAAAGGTCTTGAAAGAAAATTTAAAAGTGTTATAGGGGAAAAATAAAATCTGCAAAATATGAAAATTAGTTATTTTATTTCAGGTGAGTGAAAATTTACTTATTACTCTATAGAAGGTAATACAAACTACAGTTTGCAAAGTTCGCGCGTATAGGTTATATACGCGTTTGCGTCAAATTTTGAGAATTTTATTTCTTATTTTGCAATAACAGCCTTTTTCAATATTTATATAATAAGATTGTAAAATGTATAATATACAATAAATAAATGTATATATAAATATGAAAAAAATTTAGAACAAATAAGTTCGCGAATGCAAACTCGTGCGAGATTGAAAAGTGCTGAACTGTAAAATCTGCTCACACGCGTGGTTGAAAGATATACACGTGAAAAAATATATTCTTTCGAATGTTTGAATAAAGCAGACAGTGATAAAATGATGAATGGCATTGAATTCTTATTGATGTTTACAGTACAAATTACATAAAGTTTGAAAAAACAAAATGTTAAAGGTGTTTGATAATAATAACTAAGATCCGGCAGGGATCCTGGTGGCATGTGGACTAACTAGAAAATTCCATTAGTAAGAAAAGGAAAACACTACAAAAAAAATGTTTTTTCAACAAATAGACTTAAAGCGGTTAAAGACACCAAAAAATGGTTTTTCGTGCAAGAAACATCTAACCACATCCTTGAGACTCATTTTTTTTTTTCAAAAAATGGGGTCACAAAAATTTTTTTTTTTTTGCGAAAGGTGATAAGGTTTTGAAATCGAATTTTTTTGAAATCGTTAATTATAAAATCTTTACTGAACATTTGCAATTAAATTTTTAAAAAAATTTGTCAACTTGAGAAAATAAGGAAATTTATCGAATTTTCGTTTATCCAAATTATATTAGATCAGAGGCAAAAAGCATATATGAGAAATGATGTGAAAACATAATATAATATAATTATACTATTAGTTATGTAAAGCAAACTTGGTTTATTGAAGTGCTACTATACCTAATTAGAGGCTAAAGGCCAAAGCAAATGTTATCAACGTGCTTTCTACTTTTTCTGAAAACAACTAACCACACGAACACGAGTAGGTTATGACTTTTATACAAAGATGATATATCTGCTGATAAATTTTTTGATAAACATATCCAATGAGAAATACTATTTTTAACATTTCGAGAAATCGCTAAATTTTTTTATAGTTAAAAAATTTTAAAAATAGGCCGTGCATGATTCAGTTTTTTTTTTTTTGCTTTTTTAAAAAAATAGTCTTTAAATTTTGAAAAAAATTCAGATTAGACTTTTGTGTTTTATTACCTTGTGAATATTAATAATGAGATTGCAAATAAAATAAAATTTCATGTGTTAATCATAAAAAATAGTTATTAATATTTAAAAATTTTTAAATATTATATATTTTGTTACCTCAACAAGATTTATTGTTATTGGAAAAAATTTGAATCAATGTTTTTTTTTTTTTTTTTTTTTTTTTTTTTTTTTTTTTTTTTTTTTTTTTTGAGTCAATGTTTTTTCTAACAAATTTAAATTTTGGTATTTAAAATTATTTATTTGAAAACATACAAAATTATAATATGATTCGAAAAACTAAAAAAAAATTTAATTACATAGTTACAAATTTTTTTAAATTAATATCAAAATTATCAAAAAAAAGGAACTACTCTCGTAAGTTTTAATTTTCATTGCCGACTTTTTATACACTTATTTTATGATTCTAAACAATCAATCGTATGGATTTTCAAAAATTTTAATTTTTTCAAAAAATCAAATTTTTTAAAAAATAATATTTAATAAAAAATTGTAAATCAGTTATAAATTACTTTTATTAACTTTATATAGTGTATAATTTAATATGATTTCAAGTATACTGAAAATGTGTAAAAAAAATTCGATACCCCTAAAAATGGGTATTTTAAAAATTTTATTAAGAAATGTAGGAGTAACTTTAAAAGTCGCATAACCAACTTGTAGAGCATTAGAAAACGCTTCGATTGACCTATTTTAAAACCTAATTCGATATAGAAATTACGAAATTATTGTTAATTTAGAAACCAAAAATTTTCAAAATTATATATTCAAAATTTTAATAAATTCTTTGAAAGATTTCAATTATTTTTTATAAATAGTAAAATTGTTCGCAATAATTCAATTTTTTTTTATAAATAATAGTAAAATCCTTTATGCAGAAATTCAATTCTTTTCAAAACAATTTTAATAGAATTCCTCGAAAGAATTTAAATTTTCAAATATTAACATAAAATTCATTTATTTTGTAAAATTTTAATAAATTCTTCGGAACAATTCAATTATTTTTATATAAATAGTAAAATTCTTTGCGGGAATTCAATTATTTTCAATTCAATTATTTTCTAAAATAACAAAATTTTTCACACAAATTTAATTCTTTTTAAACATTTTAATAAAAATTTTCCCAATAATTCAATAATTATTTAAAATAAATAATATAAATTTCTCAGGAATTCAAATATTTTTGAAAATTTTAATAATTTAATTATTTTTAATACAATTTTACAGAAATTGCTAAAAAAAATGTAATTATTGTTAAAAATTTAATTTCAATTCCTCGCGAAAATCAATTACTTAAAAAAATGTTTTTTTTTAAATTCTTTGGAAGAATTCAATTATTTACAAAAATATTAGAATTTTTCACAGGAATTCAATTATTTTCAAATATTTTAATAAAATTGTTCGAAAGAAATCAATTATTTTAAATACAATTT